TTGTGTACGCTGGAGAATTCGTACACGGTACGCACCCTGTTCATTTCCTCCCGCAACCCTGGCATTTCTTTGTCCAAACGCTTCTTTCTCATCGATAGGATAACCACATAATCCAGATAACCTTGCAGTTGCGTTTCCAAAGGGTCGACGCACCATCGACACGTTCATGGATCACTCAGATTCTTGAAGGCAGACAGGCACATTAACGTTGGCGATAAGGTCACGAAGAGCCGGAGCTCACCTTTCCCTCCAAGATTGGCAGGTCGGTGACGGAGCACTGACTTGGGATTTGTCTCCTTGCGATCAGGATCAGGACGAGTCAACGCGTTAACTCCCGAGGCAGGTACCGCACAGTGCCGCCGGGAACGACTCCTTAACTACGTATATGAAACTAGGCCTTTCCCAGCTACAGCTCGACAGGCTTGCGCGTGTATACCACACACACCTCCATATACATACGTCTCACGTCTCATGCTGGAAGGGTCTCTGATTATCATGAAATCATGAATACCGTGAATATCATGATCAGGCAGAAATCTCGAAATCGAAATCGCGACTCGCCAATCTCCATCTACTCGGGTCGACACTTCATACTGCTATTCACGGTCATGCGCACTATCTCTAGGAGCGACATTGCCTTCTTCGTCGCGGGCCCGGGCGGTCGGTCCATCTGGTCTATCTGTCAGTGATTTATCTCTATCATTATCTAGTGGGCTTGAAGTTTGGAAACGCTGCCCTGCTCGGCGAAAACCTGTCAAAAAATCCGTATCCGTACATCTGGATCACGGTGTTGTGGAGCGATCTCATCGATTTAAAGGCTTTTCGATTGGGCATCAATTGGGCATTGGTGCATCAATGCTCAGCGCTCAGTGGTCATTGGGCGGAAAGACGTCGGTCGCTCAAAGAAGGACAGCCCGCAGACGATGGGACGCCTCGTGACCGGGCACGACATGGAAGGGGAAGGAGGGAAGGGAGCAGATCGTGTGTCGGGCTCGGAGGGTGCCTTAAAGTGCCTTGGAGGGACACGCTTCCTTGCTTCTTGTGAGGGGAAGAAGAAGAGAATATGTCTTCTTGTCACGTTTTGTCCATGAAGTCCCCGGAAAAGTCCCCGGAGAAGACAACTGGTCGTCAACGTATGCACCTCCAGGCTCTAGTGCTGCAGATCCCTGCCGCGGCAAGCCAGGGATTCCTCTGGATTCCACCACCGCCGGTCACTCGACCATCCGCATGCCCTAGCGTGCCCTAGCGCAGATCTTCATGTACATTGAGAGGGAAGATGTGGCTGGTCCGCAGTTTGCTGGTTACCGGTTGTACGTACCCAGGCCACGTTCGCCATGGACTTTGCGTATCGGTGTCAAGATATCAAATGCTCGTAACTGAAACTGGCGATGCGGCTGCGTACTCTGGTCTAGGGATCTTCTGGTTGCTTCCGTCCACACTCGTCTCGTGTCAGGCTACTTCTTGGTCTATCTGCCCTCCACGGAGGCGTTTCAGGTTGTCGCCTGCTCGACGTCAGATGCGATGGGACTGTCCGTGGTCTTGGAAACATGTGACTTGCAAAGTGACTGTATTATGTTTCAACCCTGCTGCTACGTGGATTAATGTTTCTATCGAGGTTCCCCCTCTAAATCCCTGCCGCCAACATGAAGGACTTACCGCACATCTAGTGGCGTGTCAAAATTAATTCCGCCGGCGACGAAGAGTTTCTCATACATGTCGAGTTGCGGAGATCTTGGATAAGGGCCTTCCTCGGGCTCAGAGCTAAAATGGGTGTTGGTGGCTGACGCATCTCACGGGGCTCAGCTGCCAACGCTATTGCCCCCATGGATATGTGTGGTATGGTGTCTGTTAATTGGCAGAGCCAGCAAGGTTCACGTCCCGCTGTGGTTTCAACTTTACTGGTTACTGGGAAACTCGATTGAATTCGGGATAAACCGATAGCAGTCGTTGCTAACGCACACGGACTTGAAGAATCAAGCGATGGACGTCTAGCGTGCAGCGTGTATCAGCAAGTTAATCGACGGTCGCATGGGGTGCTGGCGGTGGAGTGCTACGTACCGCATGCTTCCCCTAGAAGTGCTCTCAAGCATGTCATCTTGCATCATGATCTCTAATTTTCAGTATCGATACTTTAGGCTTCTTCCCGTTTCGCTGCGACCCTTTGGCCATGACTTCATGGTCCCCGCGGAGTCGCGTCTAGTTGGCTTTAGAGCTTACGTTTGTTGTATGAGTTCATCACCACAACGCTCGGTACAAATTAACTGACGTCTGCGAGCGAGAACCAGGAACCCAGGGTGGTGAGTAAAAGTATTCCTTTCCTTCTGATGCGTTGCTATCACTAACGAATCGGTGTATATACTACTACCTTCCTTAGACGTATATGATCGTTGTGGTAATCCGTCTTGGCCTATGTTAGGCATGGCATTCTCCCGCCGGCCCCAAGCAAACTTTGATTCCTGCGATTCGATTCGCTCATGGACCGTACAGGTCAATGGGCCGGCTTATCCGGACGTCATGCATATGCAGCACATCGCAATTTAGAACTATTAGCTATCGCAGTATGTCCGCAAAACATATCTGGCATCTCCCCGACTTCGCATCACTCCGCGAACGTTGCATCGGTGATCATGCGGCACGCGTTGCGATTACTGAGGTGGTGAGTCCGAATATTGATCTCAGCCAGCGAGCGAGTCTTATCTGCGATCTATCGTCCTCAGAACTGCAATATTAACTGATATCGTTTCAGTGCCGCATTCTCATCGCGAGATGTTTACACGTAAAGTCGACTGTGACCGAGCGGAGACTATTGTTAACTCGAGGGTGCTCGCGGGTCTTCTAATTCTACGAGCTCCACCAGTGTGCCTTTGTGGCGATTAGAAAACGTCCTGGGCATGCATGCATCCGCAGGCTGATTGACTCCTTATCTCACGTCTCACGCAGGAGGCGAGGACGTGGTGAGCCTACCCCTATCATAGCGAGCTGAAACGCAAGTCCTACTCCTCTGTGGGATTCTCTGTCCGCCTCTCCTGAATTGCCTTCGTCATCAGCGTGGAATGAGGGTACGTTCTCCTGACGGCATTACTCTATCTTGCGTGTTCTCGTCGCACGCCAATGTGTGTACACTTTACAGCTTCAGCTTCCAGTACTCGGATGTATTTCATGGATCGGATCGGTTGAGGCTCCATCCCTGGCAGATTACCTTTTTGAGTTCTTCTACTCCCTCCAATGTCCTTCGTTCTTAACTTCCTTGCGAGAGTTCAAGAAAACCTGGAAGTACCCCGTCCTTTCCAGACGGGCACGGGGATCAGGCAAAGATACTTCGGACTTGAACCTTCCCAGTGACTCCGAATCCACCGATACCCCAATATCAACGATATCCCTCTAAACCCATCAATTCGAGAAGTCTACTTCTTAGTTAGTTAAGGGTGGCCCATTATAGAACAATGCAGTACAAGGTTTCCCCGTTCAAACGTGCAATTGTGCATGCAAGCTCAGGCTCATCGCAATATCGAAATTACGGATACTAAGTATACAGCTTTGACGTCTATATCAAGTTAGATAGAGATATCTATCTCATTTCCGCCCGTCTATCGAGTCATCAGTATTTTAATGCTCATCATAAAGAGTCTCAGCTCCGATTGAAGGATCGTCGAAATGAACGCCCCCTGGGCCCCTAGAGCACGGTGCGTAGCATAAATCGAAATGCATATGTGTATCAGAGCTGATTATCTGTAGTGATCATGAAATGCCGCAGGGAGTCGCGCGTCTTGAATTCCCGAGTACAAAGGATATGAATTTACCCCAGTACGGCGTTACCTCGATGTCGGTCAGCCTATGATCATGATCAAGGACTACATCAGTGACATCCACGCACCGATCTGGATTTGCTGAGGCGCGCCTTTGTTCAAATCTTCAAGGGTTGCCCGACTCGATGGTCCCTCCATTCTTCAGGAATTCGCGAAGCTGGTTCCTCGTGGAAGATGCATATGGATGCTCCGTAGTCTGCATTTATGTTTCACCGCAGCGGAACAAAGCGCTGGTCGACTACGCGATGGGGTGTTGATCATACATCGATTAATTGTGTGAGTGCTAGCTTCATTCTGGGGGTACGCTTAAGTCCTTCGATCATAGTACCTCAGCGAATCATCTGCTCTCTCTCTCACCACCCCGGAAATAACAAAACAACAGAGACATAGCCAGGTGGGATACACGGCGCCCTCTGTGATGAAGGCGTCATATTACCGCTGACCCCAAAATGCAAGAATGCGTAACTCATTCTCCGTCACCTCCAGGGGGACACGGAGGCACTGTGGGGCACTAATAGTACAGACCGTCTTCCGGGCTTAGTGGCGTCTGGACCCAGCCGTTATGCGTTACGACGCTGTCCATGGGAGATTTTGTTCCTTGCAGGAACATATCAGCTGAGTCCGTAGAACATATTGCTATCAAACTTGCCCCTTCTTGTGGTTTCTGGGCCCAGAGAGACTTTCGAGGGTAAGAATCTTTAATTTGATCATACGGGCGTATTGCACTCTAAATAACTTGGGATTGTACGAGACGGGGGCGGGTCTTGGCTCTAATAATAGTAAAATAACGGGTTTGACTTTATCTAAGAAGAAATGTACCAGAACTCGAAGCCTGGCCATAATGGGGTACCTATGGGGTCTGTGACCGCGGACTCTTTGACAAACCGTATCATGCGCCACACGGCGACAAGGTCCCCACTGTATCTTCAACTTATCATAGTGCTTTGCGGTCGCCACTGATACGGACATTACACTCGAATGCTGCCATGCACAGTACCTTCAAGGCTGCAGGAGCAAGCGTGATGCGTGGGGTACTAAAGGACTTACGAGCACGTTGCCCTACTGGCTGAAGCGCTGACCACTGGCTGATGGGAGTATCCTGCGTCAAGCTCCCCTGACTGCGACACCCGCGTGGGTCGCCACCAACCTCCACTTTGACTCATACCAGGTATCTGCCTGCGATACGAACACACGATGGGCCAATTCTTCGAAGAAATCCCCGAAAATCTCATCACATGGATCCTCAAGCAGCAAATGTTCTGGGTGTCGACAGCCCCCCTGAAGAGCGACGGTCATGTTAACGTTTCGCCCAAAGGGCTGGAAGGCTCCTTCCATGTCGTGGATTCGCGCAGAGTGTGGTACGAGGATCTGACTGGGAGCGGTGAGTGCGATTCTCGCAGCGCTGGAACTTGTTCGTCGTAGCTGATATGGACGGGTTGCGCTTGGATTCCGATAGGAAATGAGACTATCGCCCATCTACGAGAGAATGGGAGAATTACGATTTTGTTCAATGCATTCGAGGGTCTTCCACGCATCGTGAGGTTGTTCGGGAAAGGTGAGTACCAGCCGCAGGGGACATCTTGAATGTGACGTTGAGACATTCACGAAGGAACCGTCTATGAATACGGTACACCAGAGTACGAAGAACTCCTGCCGCCATCCGTGCGCAAGCCAGGCTCCAGGGCTGTCATCATGGTTGACGTCTACAAAGTCGGCACGGTACGCATCATCCTCAATACGTCCTGAATCTTTCTTGACTCACTGTCCACAATAGTCATGCGGATACGCCGTCCCCTACTACGACTTCAAAGGCCACCGTAGCAAACTGGTTGATATGTCCATCCCGATGCAGAACCTCGACCGCGACGCCGAGCTCGCTTTAGATCCATCGACTCTTAGCGAACCACCTCGCCCAAAGAAGGGCCTCAAATCTTACTGGGCGGAGAACAACGCAACGTCTTTAGACGGCCTCCCAGCTCTGCTCTACGCGCAGACCTCCACTCGTCTGTTCAACCCCGTATCGCCAGCGCCCAAGAAAGACGGTGTCTCAGCGACCCCGAAGGATGCGGCAAAGGTGACCAAGGGTGGCGAAACCGTTGCTACTATCTTGGACAACCTGAAAGTCCCCCTAGCTTTCACTTTGGGTATCCTGACTGCTACGATGTATACGCAGTTCCTTCCCAAAATTCACGCTGCCATCGATACTTTGCAGGACCATGTAGCATGATATTTTGTAGAGCTTAGTGCTGTTGTAAATTTTCAATACCATAAGAACTCTGTGCGAAGGCACTCGTACATAGGAGGCCTAAGGTGGTCATAAAACACACAAGTTGAAAACGAGGAATCGCTACGCTGAACTGCCAGATCTTGCTCCGGGAGGGGAGGGGTATGGTGAGAATGTAGTGTGCGGGAAGATAAAAAATGCACCATCGCTCCGAGAGATGATCATATCCACGGTGTCGATTCGGCGGATCAGTGAGATGACCACATCTTTGGCGCGCTCGGAAGGGCGAGTCGAAGATGATAGTGGGAGTCTCCGAGAAAAACATGTTGTTGATAGCGAACGTGGATTAGTCAACCAGCGTATCTCTAACCCACATTCATCGTGAGCATGCGTTAGAGGGAAAGCCAGATTTCGGAGGCGAAGACAGATCAGTTCCCGAAGAGCGTCCAGCAGATCCAAGAGGATTCACTAGGTCCTTGATAGTCACTCCAAACGGCGATCGGAGACAACACAGAACATGAAAACCTGTGATGATAACCTGTGAGTCTTCTGCCTTCATTATACTCTTCGAGGGGCGAACCGGGGCGAAGTCGTCCAGTAGGAATCCTAACACTATCCCTGCTCTAACCACTTCTGATCAGTTATTTGAAAACGTCGGTTATACGCAGGCATACGGTCAAGAATAGCAGAATCACGCCGCCGTAGCAGGAAAGGCATTGGCTGTGAGATATCTCGGTGCGAATCTGGGGATATGGCAGCTGTTAGCTTACACTAACACTACTCGCAGCTGAGATGAATTCGCCACAGGTCCAGGAATTTGAAATCTCGAGGCTGTTGCCGATCGCCTTCTTGGGTCAGCACGTCCGCGTACACTTACCGGGCACAGGGCCTCTGGGTCTCCCATTGAGGCAGGCGTGTGCTATTAGCGTTCCGCACCGTCTTGGTGCGAGTCTGCGAGATAGTGCCTTCAAAGGCAATCTGGGAGCCGCTTTCTTTATATCTGTGCGAATACGAGCAGTCAGCAGGACGGAAAGAGCAGGAGGCACAGCGCAGCACTGGGAAGGGTGCCCTTTAGCTTATATATGGACCAGCCCCAGGCCGGGTGACCAGTCACAAGGGCCCCAAAGCCTGCACTCCTCGCTTCTTGTTGATGTTGATGTTGCTGATGCCATGCATGGGTGAGCGAGGCGCCGCCGGCCTCCGCGTTATGGAGTTTTCGCTATTTGTAGATGGCACGTTGCACAGGCGTTGAAGTGCACGAGGGCAGCATGCTGTATCGCATCTACGTACGCCTGCGTGCCCAACCCGGCCGCACTCCGACTTACAGCAACTAGCTATCGATAGGCGGAGGCGTCCCTGGTTGCATGCAAGCAGCAATACCAATGAGTATGGGACCCAGTATTGGACAATGGTACCTGGGTTGGACGAAGCACTGAGCGATAATCCGGGTGCGTCGGCTGCCTCATCGCGATGTAAAGATGGAGCCAGAGCGTTGGTGTTGATCGCTTGCCACCTGCCCACACGGGACCCGCTCTTCGCTCTTCGCTTCGATGCCTCTTTGAGAGAGCACGAGACCCAAGGCTGAGATAAAGCCGCTGAGTGCATTCTTGGTTAAAACACAATGCCTCCACTATGTAGTAAATCGAAGTCGAAGAACCAGAGCGGCCGTAATACGTCGCTCCCAGTCAAACGGCATGAAGAGAGGGGTCCCTCTGCTGACGGGTTCGCCTGCCCCGTGCCGCTATATATGTAGCGTGAGCAAAACACACTTGCGAGCGAGCGGGCAATGCAGAGGAGCTGACGTACCCCCTGATCTGGCGGTTTTATATGTGTTGTGCGAATTGGTCGTATTGACAGTTTTCACCCGGTGAGAGTGGGAATTGTGGGTCACCGAATTGATGTTGTTCACGATTTTGTCACCGGCGATGACGGTGATATTGGCGTGTTCCGGAACGACGTGAGGAAAGCCCTTGAGCGGAGAGGACGGGGTGGCAGAGTGAGTGGGGGACGCCGACGTTGCGTGCTCAGGGCAGATGGACATCACGGCAGGCGGCGGGGAAGCCAGCGAACCCGCCTGGGTGCTTATGCTCGTGTCGATCTTTCGCAGAAGCGCTGTCGCCATTCGCTGGTTCAAGAGCAATTCGTCTTGCTTGGAGTGCATACCCTCTTGGCCCGCAATCAGCCTCTGTTGCGCCAACCGAATCCGCTGCATATTCTCGGCATTCGTGAGCGCCGCACGGACCTATCGTCGCGGTGAGCGCCACCGACGTGCACCCCCCCCCGTGTCGCGAAAGCTCACCCCGAATATATCGATCGCCAGATCAAGACTTCTGCGGTACTTTTGCACCTTCGCTGCATCGCCTCTGGAGCCCATGATACGTGTGAAGATATTTCGAGCCACCATTCGTCTGACCGCGTCTTCGATACCCTGTAACACGCTGGGCGCTGGTGAAGCCATGGGGTGGCACACGTAGGGATACTGGACTCACCGATTCAGTTGCTTGATTTGATCCAGCGTATCGCTGTCTAGATTGCAAGAGGCGGTGTCGTCAAGCTTCGCGGCTACTACAGCCACCAGACGGGCTATATCTACCGCTAAACCAGTCCATAGCGCTTTATTCTTTCTGACCGCCTAGTGACCTGGCTCAACGGCTGCGAAGTATAGATACGGGAGATATGGAGACTGACTTGGACAGTTTTCAAGATAACGAGAGAGAGCTTCGCGGCGTCGCCTAAGAATGGCACTGGAGAAACGGCACTGATATCTTTGAGTGCGGTCAGAACGACTTCAGATACGTCGAGAAAGCTATCTAGGCTGCTGCTGCGCTCTGGGGGAGTGCGACACTCTTCCATTTGGGAACGCAGGGAAGTTTGAGGCGCCGGTTTGCTCACGGGTGACCTATATATGATGATCAAATGAACGTGGATCAAAACACGAAGGGAACGTCTGGAAACATTCGGTGAAGAAGCAATACTGCTTGTGAAGCGACCAATGGCAGGTAAGTAGAGGAAAAACTTATCTAAGAGCCCATTAATATTCCAAGACGAAGTTCGAGCTTCTCTCAGACGTCGATAATAAGTGGGAAAATTGTTTGATGAACTGATCTTGGCATACGAGACTGTCATGGACTCATGGCAGATAGAATCCTCCCCGAAAGCGTACGCTTGGCGTGTCCAAGCAGTTCGGTGGCGTGCTGGGAAGAAGGAAGAGGGCACAGGGGAGTTTATCAAGAGGCATCGCTGGTTGAGAGATGGACTACTCACGCACTACGACTTAAGTGGTTTCAGCGGGGAAACAGAAAATGTGAATTGGCATGCCTCTCTCCTCGCCTCCAACTCCCGCTTCAACTTACCTATCAGACTGTACCCAGCGGCTGGTGCTGCATGGCAATCTTCGGGCAAGGGCCACAACGAAGAAACTTTTGGTACTTCAACGCCGGAAACGGGTCCGCAGCGAACTGAAATGTAGTCGCACCCAAGCGTGAGGTGCTTACAGAGAAAGTATGTCAAGCTTCAGCGAACGTGTGCTGCAATAGAGACTCTATCACGGTCACGTAGTTCCCGCAGTTGGCGTCGGCTATTCAGTCGGAAGCGGGGAAATTAGCTCATTTCCATCTTACAACCCGACTCGCTGACAGCGTCTTGCAGTTCCAACATCTGGATCAATACGCGGCCCACTGCTTGACTGCTTCGATCCGTCGTCTCAGACCGATTGCGAACCAGGTACGTCATCGTGTCCGTTTCGTATTGTGGTTCCAAGTGAGAGGTGGCGACGCCGAGAGGAGATCGTGGACGGTGGACGGTAGAGGTGCCCTGCGAGTTTAAGTTTACATCCCGATCCTGGAACCCTACCAAGCTACGACCCGTACTGTACTGGGTGAGTTTCAAACTGATTCGTTCCCACTACCTGTATCCAACGCCGATGGTGCGTACCTCCCTCACTTGCATTGCTCACTCCCGTTCGCGTTCACCTCTTTTCGTTTCCCCTCGTATTCCTTAAGTTTAAGCCGTCCCTGCTTCGGCTTGCCCCTCTCAGACGGGATCATTGACTCGACCTCGACACAGGCTCTCTGACACTCGGCTCACTCGCCGGTCGATGAAGCTACGAAGACAGGGCAACAATAACGGTGGAGCACGTCGAGCTCAAATCTCACAACGCCGCAACGCCCAAAGCATGTGGCTCAAAGTTTCGAGGGTCGTTCACCCGTCCACCCGTCCACGGCTTGATACCACTAAAGTGATCGCGCCGCCGCCAAGTACGCTGGAACAACGGCGAGCGAACAGATAGATCAGGAGGGAGCTGCGGCGTAGCTTTCCATAGATCGCCGACTGACACGATGAGGCCGTCCGTTCGTGGCGTGTTGACCCGTTCGATGCGCGGACGAGTAAGCTGGTTTGGCACTCACTCACTTATTGTGTGCGCGTCTGGGGATCCAAGTTGAATACATGAGCTATCTGCAGACTGCGAGCATCAACAACTTACAACTGATTAACAAGGGAGGTCAAGCAATCGAAAACATTGAATAGCCGCCCTTCAAGCGTCTATTCATTTGTCTGATTCCAACTTGAATATTTTTAAGCCATTCCATTACTTCTTCATGCTGGATAATTCTTGCGGTCTTTCTTCTGGTATACGTTACAGCGAGGCTCGAATTCGGCGGTTAGTATGGCCTGCAGTTGCATGGCGACCAGAACCAGCAAGCGGTACTAGTGAAAGAAAGCTAGCATGTTACCATACTATTGCCCGACGTGATGCAAGGGCGCAGCACCAGTCTCACTCGATTGCCTAAAGCCTACGTGCCGCCTGCGATGCCCTACAACAGCACACCAATGGGTAGTCCAGTGAGTCCCCTTCTCTGCCGTCGGTGTTGATCTTCACATAACACGGCTGTCGATAGGCAATGGCGGCTCAAGGGTTCAAGGTTCCCGATCCGTACGCTGCATGTTTCATCTGTCATTGAGCTTTCTTGTTGAAATATATTGGTAGCTTCGCTCCTCGACGGAGGCCTGCGGCAGCAAGCTTCGTGAACGCGCTCCTGGCGACTGCTTTGCTTCGTTGTTGGCATATCCTGCTGTTCTATGGTTTCTGGGCGACTGCGGTTACGGTTGTCAGCCACAACTGGTACGACTTGTCCATCAAGCCGATCATGCTGACCGCGTACGTGATGAATCAACCTCGACGACACTGCGGACGATGTTGACGCGGAGATACCACTAGGACAGGTACTATACTCGGGTTTGTGGTTTCCTACAGGACGACATCTTCATTCGAGCGATATAATGAAGGTAGAAGGCTATGGGCCCAGATTATCCACGCTAGTCGCGTCTTTGCGCGCTCGATATGGTTCCATGTTCCAGGTCAGTCTTTCTTACCCAATTTGCTAGTCCCGGGTCGACGCCTCATCGGGTCTACCTACGCAGATGATGCAGCCAAAACAACACCCACAGCACATCTCACCCCCGAAACCTTGAAGGCCAGAACAATCATCGAGAAAAAGTCTGCGCTCAACCTCCTCGAAGCCTTCAGCGTTGCGATCAAGCACTATCTTCGCGGCGAGGATGGGATATACTATGAGGACCTGTATCACCTCGTTAAATTCCTCCCGGAGTACGCGCTTCCAGCGGGGATACCGCGTCGGCCTGATATGGCTTCTCCTGTTGTGCGCCCTATGTCAGCGGAACCCGGCGACAGGTCATCGCCTGACATGGACTACTTCTCGCCACAGCCAATGACTATCACGATAACGTCTGCATCGGAAACGGACCTGCCTCTGCCAAACACTACGCGTGGCCCCGTTCCGGACTACGGAAGATCTCCTGGCGGCCATCTCAACCCCCACCCACCGCCGTATCCCATGTTTCGCCGTCGTAGTACTGTGAGGAGTACAATGCTCAATCGGAAGGACGAGGCATATCTTCTTCCTGCCAGCTTGCCTCCAAGATGCCAGATCTTCGATATCTTTCCCTTCTCGTTGATCGTTAAGAGGCTGACGAAGAACGGGTTAGCGTTAGAGGGGAAGAAGGCCGCAAAAGTACGGACATTGATGAAGAATAAGACGATATCGCATAACATTCCACTTGAGATATCGTTGTATCTAGTATGTACACGATATGCATGGCTATTGAGAGCGCGTCGAGGTCTAACTGACATCGTATTAGGGCTCGTATGTCTCTGCACTTCAGGCGAGGAAGTGTCTTGATGTCCCCACCCAAAGTTCGTGTATTTCAATCTAGACACGCGTCATTGATCTCACTCCTGTCTAGATGTACTACTTCTGTCACTCAACCAGCTAGTGGATGCCTTGACAGGCCTAGAAAGAGTGCTCACAACTCCTATACCATTCTCGTCAGTGCCCGCTTCGTGCATAGCATCCCCAACGCCTCCGCTGACTCCGGTTTCGTAGGTACTCCTTCCACTTATGGGCAGTGACGGTGATATTCTGCCTAGCTCTGGTAGGTCTTCTTCGCACCATCTCGCGCGAACACTCCGCTCATGCACTTATCCACGTCCAGCCGTTTCAGATTTGGGCTTCGCTTCAGTGGATGACGATTCCAGCTACGGTTATAGCAGTGCGTCGGTTGCTACGTTGATGTCTTCATTGCTCTTCGCTGACTCCGCGCTGTGGTTGTCTGAAGTCTTTCTTCTTTTTTGGCTTCTTGGTAGCCGGAGAAGAGATCGAAAGTGAGCATTTAGCGCTGCTCTGTCCAACATTGACTACTGTTATTGACTTGTAATCCTCTAGACCCCTTTGGTAAGTACAGCCCTTACTCAAGGGTAGCGACTGTGATGCTTATACATACATAAAAATCAGGATATGACAAGAATGATCTCGTATGGACTTTCTTACCACCGCCTACTGAACTCCCGCTTACACTCCCCTTGTAGAATCTGGATCACTTCACCCATAATATCATCCGTAAGTCCGCCGTCCATCACGGCGACAGTCGCGACTGCTGCGTCCCCGTGGAGCCCGTCGCTAGTCGCACTACCCTTCCACTCGTGCATCGCTGATATTGTCTTCATGCAGGGAACGAGATGCATGCCATAACATCCACGCCTGCCCCTGATCCATCTTTGTGGGCATTCTCGCCGCATAATGACCTCCTCTTCGCCGTGCGCGTCGACGACAAGGTGGAACGGTTAACACCCGATCAGTGGGTTAGGAGAGGACCCATGCGAATGCAGGAGGCCATGGCGGATATATGATTTGCTACACGGATGAAGGTAAAACGCGGAAGCAAAACTCGAGATTCAGACTTGGCATGTACATATTGAAAGCGAGATGAGTAATTGAACCACCTATGATACCTCAAACCGCAGCAAGGATCTGGCGTGCTCACGTCACATCTACCACATTGTTGCAGACCCATTTCTAAGCAGGGCTAAGGAACGGCTAAGAAGGGTTGCGCGATGTTTCTGAACGGCACGATGCTGACGACGGTTCCGGCGTACGCTTCCAGATGAACGGCTGCGGAACCCCTATCTTTAACAGATAGTATATATTGTATCCGTTGTTCGCTACGATACCAATATTTTCCGCTGAATTCCTCTACCAGGCATAGAATGGGTAACCGAAGCATCCCCTCTCTGTTCAAGGAGCAACTTGGCAAGGTGCCGCCGTTGGAGAAGTACGACTTGACAGGCAAAGTCGTTTTGGTGGTTGGTGCCAATACTGGGCTGGGATGGGAGGCAGCAAGACATTTCGCGACCATGAATCCCGCACGTTTGTTGCTTGCGTGTCGAAGCAAGGAAAGGGGCACTGCCGCTATAGAAAGTTCGTGGTCTATTTCTGCGCGTGTGATGACTTAACCTCATTTGTGGTGCAGGAATCAAGGAGGTTACTGGCTTCGAACGTGCCGAGCTATTGCTTGTTGATCTGAGTAGCTTTGATTCGGTCAAGGCATTTGCAGACCGATTTGAGCAGGAGGTCGAACGATTGGATATCCTCGTTAATAATGCCGCTGTGTCCCTTCCCCGGTATGAGGACACTGAAGACGGCTGGGAGCAAAAGTGAGCACTTTGTTTCCCCCACACGCTCGAATACTGCTGATTTTGGTCAATAGTCTTCAGGTCAATTATATCTCTCCTACGCTACTCCTTTTGCGCCTGCTCCCGAAGTTGGTGAAGACAGCAGAGGCATTCAAGACCACTCCGAGGGTGACCATCGTCGCTAGCGGTATGCACCAGTTCGGAGAAATACCGAAAGGCGTCTTTGGCCAATCGTCTGTACTTTCCGCGTTGTCGGGCAAAGAGAAATATACTCCCCTGTGAGTAGCTCACTTACAGATTTATTTGGTTGGCGCTGACCGTCGCCCCGCTCCCAGGGACGCTAACGCGCGTTATTGTTTAACAAAACGTAAGAGCGCATGGTCACCACAGTTAACCTATCACTCACCTCTCGCTGCTTAGTTCTAAACGTTTTGAGCACGCTATCCTTCAACGATCATGTATCCCCCTCCATCGCTGTCAATAGTGTCGATCCTGGGTTCTGCTATTCCGAGTTACGCCGTGACCTGCCGTTTGGGATTCGTATGGTGACACAATTCTTCGAAAAGATCGTTGCGCGTACCGCAGAGGAGGGTTCACGTCAACTCGTCTGGGCCGCATTAGCGAAATCCTCTGAGGAAGAGTTGATGAAGGGGGCATACGTTACATCGATGGAAGTCAGGGAACCCAGTGATTTTGTCGTTGGCAAGAAAGGCAAAGACTTCAGAGAGGAACTTTTCGTGAGTTTTCCCGCCCGTCTTTTGGCATGGCTCTGACGTGTAGCGATATAGACGGATACGCTTAATATTCTGTCGGCCGTTGATCCAAAAGTCAAACCCATCCGTGATCAGTATTTACATTGATTTAACAACAGAAGTGTTGTCTCTTTTGGCGCTACCATCACATCCCGCAGTATCTTTTCGATAAACTGTATTCCTATTCCTGAGCCTAAGTTATGCAAGCATCTGAACATTGGCTGTATCCCATTATTTATCTCACTTCGTGGAACAAACAACTTGACTGTGGCCTTTCAGCAACGGTAGAGACCTGGGACGTATTCCTTCTACGAAATGTAGAGCCACATTAGCTGTGATCAATATCTTGATTGCGGCGCCGATTGCAACTGTTCTTCGTTGTTCCACACCTTTACGTATCAAATTCCTTCAGGACTCTAGACTTTTGTTCTCAAACGTCATGTGCAAACATCTTACGGACTCTTCACCATCGATGGGAAGACTTGTTTCAGATGTACCGTTGCGTGGGATGTACAACACACAATTTCGTTGTGCCGACATTTTGTTGTGCCAACACGACATCGACCCTCTTATAGTTTGAAGTCGACGGCACAGATCGTCTTGCATCATTGGTGTATATAGTGACAATAACATTCTTTAACGAAAGATAAGGCAGCGTTATTTGTTCCTTATATATCCCTCTTGCTAAGTATTGAACGTGTTGAGCGCCCTCTCATTCACGGACCACGTCCCTGCGTCCATTTAAACAATCAACCTAGATTCTGCCATTAGGACCTATGCCGCGACATACCATACGTGATGCGCGTGGCGATACATTTCGTGGGGAAGTTCGTTGGACGGATCGCCGAAGAGGGGGCTCGCCAGCTAATCTGGCCCGCGTTAGTGAAATTATTAGCCAAAAAGGCAAAGACTTTAGGGAAGAACTTTTCGTGAGTCTTCCAGTTTCTCGCAGTATATGCATGGGGCCCTGAAATTAGGCGTGCAGACAGACACCCTTGATATCTTGTCGATGGTTGACCCAAAGATCAAGTCGATGGGTGATCAGTATCTCAATTGATTGAACTTTGTTTTCACCATTCGCTGCGTTGCATTTGCACGCCTACAATGTCTTTCAATCATTTCTTGGGTATATGGCATAGACCTTGTAACATTGTGGCATCATCCATACTAGTCAACAGAGAATCGTCCAGACTTACCGCAATCCACCTAATCATAAATGCCTAAACATCGAAATTCGAATCCAGCACCACCTTCGCTCGCGTAACACCCGATTCCAGCCGTATCCAAGTCTCCAGCGGGGCCTCAGGTTTAGGTGAGTTGAAAAGGAAATTGCGAACGCCAAAGCCCCAGGAGCGGTCGCCATATCCGCCGTATCCCGAGTGTTTGTCAAAGCAGAATATTACATCTGCCTTTGGCTCGCGAGCACACCATTCGTTTCCGTGATCTAGAGTATGATAAAGCATCATGACAAACATGAGCTGGAGGATAATGACGACGACTGAGACTCAGAACGTACCGTGTCCAGAAACGATTGCTCTTAAGTTCTTTACGTTTTTCGTCAAGGCACTCCACCACACCTCGTCGTTGCCAAGGTCGTTGGAGTCCACGGTAGCCTGCGTCGACCCGCCTCCCAGTGTATCGGCTAGCGATCATTCGCGTAAGTACAACCCTGTACGCACAGCAGGAAATACGGAATTACCGTCTAAACCTGGGTTAGTATCTGGGTCCAGGGTGGCTTGTACAGCCTGGATTGCATGCCTACAAGTAAAAAGAATCAAGTCGTCCGTCAGCCAAATGGGTCCATACTTTACAGCTCATAATCAGCTGGAAGTAAAGGGGAAATGTGCACTCACGGGGGGATATGCACAAACGCTAACGCCTGTCGACCTTCAGCGGGCCCCCAAGCATCGTTCATTATTCGAGTCTCACGCTCAAGCCACCTTGCAACGGACTCGTCTACCCAATCATCGACTGGCTGTGAGGTTTTGCCTGGACTGAATCCACCTATCAAATGAGTATGAATGAATGACTTTACTTATTTAAGGGGCAGGCATCGTACCTCGAGAGTCAAAGAACCATAAAATCAAAGCGGGAACTTTGTCTGGACGCGTCAAGACGTTCCGAGACATTTCATTCAGCCTGAACTCAGAGCGCGATTATGGACATACCATGAACACTGTAGTATACCTTCAAGAAAAGAGTAAGTTATATCCGTTTGTAGTCTCCTCTCATCTATAAACTGACCGGGACCCAGTAATTCCCTTCCCCTCCAGCTCCACCAACTCCCTTAGGTGCAGTACGCGTGTAGCTCATAGGAGCAACGCGCAATTCGCGCTGGATTTCCTCTAGATGTGTTATATTGGCTTGATTGTCGTGGTTCTGCGTGTATTCCGCGTGTAAGCCGCATGTCTGTAAATCGACCGAGGAGGCAATCGTGGCACACTTACGCCTTGGGTAGAAGAGAAAGGAATCTTGGCCTCGTTGATAGGCCCCATTATTTCGTCAATAAGAGACGTCGAATTCTCCCTGAAGGTATCTTCGAGTGTCTGCAAGTAAGTCTGTTTCTCAGTAAACTGCTGGTATGCACGTACTTTCACCAGTGATCAAGTCCCCATTGATTACGCTAGACCCTCCAGAATGAACGGAGCTTCTATAGTGAATCATAGAATAATACTAACACATAATCTGGCCTCTCGCTTGGGAGCACCGTCCTCATGAGCTTCAGGCTATTCGCATCCTGCACTGGTCCCCAGTCATCCCATGGGTTCTCCCCGAAGTGCAAGTCCGAGAATACGGTGATCTTGAATGTCCCGTCGTTCTTGAACGTGATCCGAGGTTTATTGGGGTACGGGTCCAGTCCCGACAGAAATTGAGAAATTTCATCGTTATCTGCGGCGAAAGAAGAGAAAGGGACTTCTTCGCCAAATGCAAGCAAAACGTCAGACAAGTTCTCTTGGATAGAGGCCACACTACCCACGAATCCGCGAAGGAGCGGCCCAGGTTACATAGACGGGCACAGAGAGCAGCGACAGTGCAATACGCATGGTCCTCTTCAAGTTTCAATGCTGATGGGTTGGAAAGCAAGCTGATATCCTCAAGCTTTGAGTCCAAGCTGAAGTACTGAAGAATCCACAAATGGGGCGCACGTTCCTCCTAGATACCGGGCTCAGGTGGTTGGCTGTGGTTGGGAGGCGGCTTCCAAAGGAATCCCTGGCCTGGTGACTTCTGCTCCTTCTAGCCGCCAACAATAGCGAACCAATATCTGGTGCAGGCCGTTGTCGGGCGTAGAGGGCGACGATGCCGAGGCTCAAATTTTGATCTGCGAGCCACGTGTATGTATCTCTCCGATCACACCCAGTCGGCGGAGCCTTTTTCTCTTCTGGCGCTCATTGTTGATGGCTTGACTCGTCTTCACCGCAGAACAAGTCTTCTATAACCCACTCCAACCCCCCGAGTCCAATGCGTCCAAATTTAACTCAAAGACGCTCATATTGCGCTGCTGGGCAGTCATTTACGATGAACAAGGAGTGTGCCAGAATGCAAGAACTCATGAAGACCTTAGCGCACTCCCGTCAAGCCAGGATCACATCAAGCTTGGCGCGGGACAATCTTGTTTCCGACATACCACTAGAACTAGTATCACAATGATTCCGGCATGCGGAAGACGTGAGGCAACGAACGTTCCACCAATGGACGGTGAGCCGTAATACTAGCGGTAAAAGCAATGGTGCAGCGCTAACATATGTTTGTAAAAAGAGGATCAACTCGACGAGGCTCACATCGCGCCATTGTGCAGTAATCTACGAGGAAAGATCTGAACGCAAAACCTGATTTCGAGTGTGGTGCCTCATAAGGTATTCTCAAAACGATAAGAGTAGCTCGCTGGGCTTAAGAACTAGGTCTCTAAAGACTTTGGAGACTCCTGAGTCAGGAACGCAACACTCTCAGAGCGTGGAAGGTGCGAGGCTGCGAACTTTGTTCAACGAGTGTCGTGAGTTGCTTAGAATATTACCGTGACAGGATTGAGACTTCTGAGAGCTTCTGAAGGCGCTCCGAGATGGATATACTTAACGGGCCCGGGATCATGGGGCACAACATAGCTGCCCAGCTTTGATTGCCACTGCAGCAGTACGGCAATCCTTGTTCATTTCCGGTGTTGTTTACTGCTCTCGTTCGTCATCGGGTTTCATGTTTTGTTTCATTAAGTGAAGTGTATCTGCTAAACATTACAAGCATGATTTATTGCGGGACCTTGCAGTTCGCCTCGTCGAAGCCACATGGAATCCCTCCTTACTCATAAAGCATATCAAGCTATCCAGCGCCGCTTTACGTTTGTGCCGTTGCGGTCTCTCCGCGCCACTATCAGTGTTGACCCCCTGCAAATATGGCATCGTCCCATATACGCCTATTTGAGCGTCTCAAATTTATGTCGAATGCTTACAAGGATCTATTGGCTCCAATGGGATGGGCTTCTCTATTCTTAGGTGTGGTGTTGGATTCCTCAATGATCCATCCCAAGTTGACGCCTCATTTCATGCAAACGCCTTGGGTCACCGCGCCTTCATCTCCTTGCTCTGTTATTGGCGCCATCTCTCGCCCTGACATCGGCCGAAGTATGTACCTCTTACCGTGACATTGGCAGCTTGAAATCGTGTAGTTTGTAGACGCTGAGATTTACATTGCTGCGATACGCCTGGTGGGTTGTGCGTGTTCAAGGCACATTTAAAAGCACGCTAGGCTCCTCATCTCATTTCCTCATACCCCCTTAGCTCGACTTGACGTAGTCTTCCTCATACCTTTTTGGCGACATGGACACCCCCTCGTGCAAACCCTTCTCAAACCTTGCTTACGACTCCAAATCGGCATCTGAACTCGCCCTCTGCATCAAAAGCCACCTTCTCGATATCAGAACTCCTCACAATCTCAACAACTCCCCCGACTTTCGTCGCAGCCTTGGCATCCTGGCACGTTTGCTGGAACGTGTCGAACATGCTATCGAGTCGGGATATCCTTCCAACGTTCAGCAAATCTTCCTCAATACCTATTTAAAGAGTGTCCATAAAGAATTACTGAAGATCCTTGACGGAATCCTTTACCACCGAATTCTTCTGTATTGGACTCCCATCAACCCAATATGGTGCTTGGTGTACACAAATAGCGACCATTTCAGATACGCCGCCTTGCGGGTTGGAAAATTATCTATGGATATGACCCGCTTGTGTATTGGCAAAACTATGAAAGCTGTCGCCCCGTGAGCCCTTTCTCTGATGATCTGCGATAGACATATCTAAAACATTTTACAGAAAGTCAATGCTCAATCCTAAGGTCCACAAACGCAGCCCAATTGCCAGGTGGTTGGTACCAGGCACGGTAAACAAAAGTAACTCGCCTAGTACTCCAGCACCAGTAAGGTCATTTCTTCTCACCGTGTCTTGATCTCAAACGAGCCCCCTCTCCCAGCAGAAATCATCGAGTACTCGCCTTTTATCACCCCGTTCATCTACGAACATGCCTGGCCGTGTCCAAATCCAGGATCTGACTAAAGAGGACAAGATCATAGTGTGCGTGGATTATACAACATATTGTTTCGTGCATCTAAGCTTTCACGGACAGTCTGATGGGCGTCACTGGAGCCGGTAAAAGCACAGTAAGACGCCCTTTTCAAGTCCTTCTTTCCTTGTTGACTTTTCTGTTGCAACCGTAGTTCATTAACACTGCAACCGGATTGCAAGATGGGGCAGTCATTGGTGATGGCCTTGACCCGTGTACACAAGACGTACAAGCATATCGTTGTGCCCACCCCCAAACAAAGGAGCAAATTGTTTTCGTCGACACCCCTGGATTTGACGAGACCCACGACGTCGATATACTTGTGAAAATCACCACTTGGCTGGCAAATTTGTGAGCAGCACGTCCGCACTTTGCGTATATTGTCTCGCCTCATTCAACCCTGATAGGCATAAGCGACTTCTCTCTCCAAGCGGCTTCTTATACCTCCACTCGCTTTCGGCCAATAGAGTCGGACCCACCCCTCTCAAAAATATGCTGCAATTTGCGAAGATATGTGGCCTAGACGCATTTTCGAACGTCTCGATTATCCCCACCATGGGTGAGGGACTTGAAGAGTCTAAGCGAGATGAACTAACACGCCAAGTGAATCAATATTGGAGATCCCTCAAACCATTAGATGGCCGGTATTTCGACAAGACCAGCTCTGCCGCCTGGAACATCATAGACAGCTTCCGCGGTGGCCCAACATCACCTTTGGTTGCGAGGGAGATGGTCGAGGAGAAGAAATCTTTGCTTGAAACTACTGTGGGCCGCTTCCTATACGACTGGCTTCAAACGGCTCTCCTTGCAATCGAGAGAAGTATCGCTTATATCAAGAAGAATTTCTTCAAGCCTCCTCATTACGACTATAAGGAAAAGACGAAGTCATTGAACAGCGCCCTAGACACCATTTTCGAGCAGATCGAACAACTGCAGGCTACGTCGAAGAAAGTGCTCAAATCGACGTTCCCAGAACGGCGCAACTTTATAAAAGACTCTCGACATACGTCCGCGCATCTGCTTTTGACGATCAGCTCCCTTTCGACACAGTTGAAGCAGATGATTAACTGGGCGCCGTTTATTACGGTACCGCATATACCTGCAGGGGTTAAATGTGTTAGTGATATATTTCAGACGATCGTGGTATGTTTTCCCCCGAACGCCGTTGGTCAATGTTGACACGACTTCAGGATAACAAAATATATAATCCACACGTCATTACACTTCTTCAAAATCTGAGTGATTTACTCTGGGTCGGGTTCGACGGAGGTGTCAATATGGAGGGAATATGGGAATACCTTACACAGTGAGTTGTTAGGCCATCAGCCACCATATCAGTTTACTTATGGGACCATCCCGCAGAACACTGGAGCAGAGCAAGCACTGCATCCAAAAAGTAGCTTTGTCAAGGCCTGACGTGGGCCTGACGGAATATAAAATGCTGCTGACGTGCCAAAAGACTGTCAATGACATTTATGACGTCCTTGAGGTATGCACACAATCCATGACGGAGATGCAACATTTTATACAGCCATCCCTGCAGATTGATACTGGACTAAATCATAGTAGATCATCCGCTATATCCGATTTAAGTGTACATAGTTATTAGGACATTTGAATCGGTCTACGTTGCAGGTTACGATACGATAGTTACGCAATGTCTCTCGTTACATATGCACAGTCTATACTACGCAGTCTTTTTCTTCGTGTTTTACGACGCCGGAACACGTAACCCTCTTTTGATGTCTCCCTCGTTGTACCAGGGTCGGCGATGTCCTCCGATCATTCGCTTACCCAACGGCCCAACGGCAGCCAAAGGCTTCTGCAAAATTCACAAATTACTGTTATGGAAGATAGTAAGGAAGTTTGAGGGTTCACCGTCGCTACATAAGCGTTTCATTCAATACGCCGTTCTCGAGCGTTCTCGTTTTATCTTGGGTTTTGACAAACCCATTCTGGTTCGAAGGACCATCTGGACTTGGTGGGCGCGTCCGGGCGCTACCATTGGGATGGGTCGATCTTACTTCCCTAGTATACGACCACGTGATCCCATCGTCCCCGTCCGCTTAAAGTTAGTCCTACATAAACCCTCTGCAATCTTCATGTTCGACATTTCGGGTCCACGTTCCTGTTTTGTCTTGTTCTCCCTCTCTTTCCCGTACCACCACCGCGTCTAGGCAGCCGCAACGAACTCTTGACCCCGCTCGACATTGTTTATATCCCACTGGGTGGACTCTTAATCGTCACCTACTGCACTCTTTTAACTTCATATCATGGGTGTTTCATCACTCGTCGCGCTAGGAGCTCTCCTGGCCACCGTTTACCTCTGGCAACGCAAATCCAAGAAGAGCCTGGGTGCACTACCGCCAGGCCCGAAACCTGTACCGTTGTTAGGCAATATCTTGGACCTAACTGCTAAAGAACTTTGGCTACCTGCGATGAAGTGGGCGAAAGAGTTTGGTGGGTGTTCATACTACAAATTTTTTGCGCCCTTGATGTGCTGGGTCCCTCCTTTTTCTTTCTCCTAACATGTCGGAGAGAAGTAGCATCACGGAGAGGGAAGGAAGGATGTCTTGCTCGGCGCTCGTCTATTTTAGTGGCTCAGATGTCACCACGATGCTAATTTTCTGTGAAGGATCTGTCACGTACTTGCACGTACTCGGTCAAGGTCTCGTTTTCTTGAATACCAGCGAAGCGGCGTTCGACTTGCTGGAGCGCAAGGGATCTACCTACTCCGACAAGCCATATCTGGTGATGGTCTGTGAGCTGTGAGTATTCTTCCATCATTCGCATGGTGGACACGTCTGATACCGGTGTTGATGGCTAATTAGTTGTGGGTGTGAGAACATGGTGAGCGCAGTCCTACGAGTCCCGGCTTGACGTTAACGTAGCTTCCATTTCGTGTAGGTTGCGTTCACCCCCTACGGCGACCAGAGCAGGCGGCAACGTAAACTCCTGCACCGCGCGTTCGGTACCCAAGTTATTCCGCAATACTTCCCCCTCATCGAAAACTCTACAAAAGCTTTCTTGCAACGCTTGCTCGTCGATTCTAGCGAATGGGTTAAACATACTAAACTGTGAGTCCCGTCATTTATACGAGTTATGGAGGTCTAGTTTCATAGGAGTATCCTCTCAGATACGCTGGAAGTCTCACTCTTTCGACTGTCTACGGCTACGAACTTCGTTCCAGCGACGATAAATTCTTGAAGCTTGCTGATGAATGTGTGGACATCCTTTCGAATCGAATTGCGTCAGGGGGAGGCATTTGGCCCGTTGATATATTCCCTTCACGTGTGTAATCCATTTTGCCTGTGCATCCATTCACAGTTCCTAAACGCATTACAGTCAAGAAACTTCCGCTATGGGCTCCTGGATCAGGTTTCCTTCATAGTGCTCAGAAATGGAAACGTAAGATGGAAGAGTTCGTAGATGAACCATATGAATTTGTGAAGACGTCCTTGGTGAGTTATCCACTTCTTATGATAATTTGGCCTCCTTGTTTACGCCAGGCAGAAATCCGGCACTGCTAAACCATCGTTCTGCTCTACGCTCTTATTGGATGACGAGGAGAAGAGATCGGAGACATTCGAATTCGACTTGAAATGGACCGCCAATTCGATGTACTCTGCCAGCATAGATACCACCCTTACGGCTGTCTCGCACTTCCTTCTTGCCATCATGCAGTACCCTGCCGAGCTCGCCAAAGCACAGAAGGAGATCGATTCTGTTGTTGGTTCTGATAGGCTCCCAACGTTCGCCGACAGGCCCTTCCTCCCCTACGGTACGTTGACATATGGCACCCGGTTTAATGGCATCTTATGTTGTTAATTTAGTTGAGGCTCTGTATAAGGAAACACTCCGATGGGCCGCACCAGTGCCACTGAGTGAGAGAATCGCTGCTTTCACAAGCTTGCTGGCGTATTAATCTTGGGACACCAGGTTTACCTCACCGATTGATGGAGGATGATGTTTACAATGGAATGTTCATTCCCAAGGGGTCACTTGTGAGTTCATGATTCTCTCGTCGCCCGCCCGGTGGTACCTTGGTACCTTCCTTGAAAATTTTCGATGTAAACATATACTGACTACACCCTATCCCACACGGAATCAAATTTCGCCTTGATAATTCCGCGGTATGCGCACGCCTCTCGCCCCTCCATTTCCACGATGCTCTTCACACACATGGCACTTCTTCGCCCATATGGTCGCCCCCCAGATTTTCGGCAACATTTGGTACGCAGATACTCCTTAGTTACGAAGAAGTTCTTGCGCTTACGGCTTCCCTTTGTTCATTTTGTGCTCCCCCATGACAACTACCCCCATCCTGACAATCGGAATTGCTGATACACGGTCGCCATTCGGTCCCGACGCATCTCGCCACTCCACTCCAATATTTGTTTGAACGGATGGTCAATTGCTGGCCACGTTTATCCATATAGGGCTATCGTGCGAGATGAAAAACTGTATCCAAATGCCCATGCATTCGTTCCGGAAAGGTTCCTGGAAGAGACGGATGATGTGACCAAGAAGAAGATGGATCCTAAGAGCTACGTATTTGGCTTTGGTCGAAGGTGCGCATCAGATACATATTTTCAATCTTCCCTGCAACGTCGTCCGCATTCACCCCGCAATGCGCGTCAGGGTGGATTTGAAATATCTCGCATGTGCTCACGTCCATTGATCTCATGTTTTGTAGACGATGCCCAGGAGCCAACCTCACTGACAGCTCGCTATGGTACTTGATGGTCTGCATGATGGCTACTCTCGATATCAGCAAGGCAACTGATGACTTTGGCAACGTGATCGAGCCGAAGGTAGACTTCAATAACTCTGTGTTCAGGTTCGTATACCCCCTAGTCTGGACCCATATCTCCGCTCGTCCCTTGCTGTTACTGATTTTCACCTTCTATAGAATTCCTGATCCATTCCAAGTCGACATTCGCCCAAGGTCAGAACAAGCTCTTAAAGTTATTTCGCATTGATTATTCTTTGAAGTCTTCATATTCCATGTTGCTTGCTCTGTTTTGATTCAACTGTGTAGATTACTTCTCCATAGCATTCCGTACTCCACGCCCAGGATACGTCGCGATTCTCACGTTATACTGGTTATCACATCCATAAAGGACTCTTTGCATCGATATCGTTCCTGCGTTTTCCTTATCACAACAACGATTACCTCACTCCGCTTTTCGTTCATGGGCGCATCACCCCCGCTGAAGGACTTCTAACTTCCATGCAATTGTTGAATCGTGTCAGGTCTCAGGCCTTTCATTCGCCGGAGGCAGTAACTGTTCCAATCATTCTGTCAAATTTCGCAAGTGTGCAGGGTTTTCGGGGACAGATGGGATGTAGGAACTGGAGCTGAAGCGCTGAAGCCTGGAGGTCATAATTTCCCATAAAAGGTAAACGAAGCCTCGTGGGTATCGGTGCCCTTAGAGCCTGTGTAGAAGTTCCGGTGGAAGCTTTTCGGTCCTCGAGATCGTGATCTGGTGCCCAAGCACGATTATATATATGACCGGGACAGGTGGACGGCTGGTCTCCTCAGAACCCCCACCTTTTGGTAGTGTTCCGTTCAACTTCCTTTTCGTCCATCTTTACTTCGACCATGGCCGCGAACGTTGATCCGACAGCTGCTGGGGCCGGAGCTGGTGTGACATTGCCATCGTCCATGTCTTTCGATAGCACGCTTGGCTCATTGCTCGTTGGTGGTCTGGCTGCTGTGGCGTTAGTGTTTTCCCTAGTTTCTTCCGTTTTACTTGTGAACGCTGACCGGGCTGCATCGTAGTCTATGGGGAGTCACCAATGTGCAAACTTTCAATTATTTCTCGAGAGGATCCAACGACCGACCATCATTCAAGTTACTGGTGAGTTTCCAAGAACAAGCCAGCACTGCCCAACGGACTGACTTGACGGTCCAGATCCTGACCCTATGGTTAGAAATATTTTATCCGGCACGCGCAACTGAATTAACTGGGCATTCGTCGTAGGGTGCTTGACACGTTTGATTCGGTGCTGGACGGCCATATACTTTACTTCTACCTTGTCAGCAACTACGCCTCGCCAATGGCTGTCATGACTCCCGTGTGGTACGTGGTATCACATAGTATCCTCTGAACACCAAAGCTGACGACGACTGCTGCAGGAGTGTTATTGTGAGCTCTCACTCTATGCTTGTAGGCCCTCTCTGACCGCGCGCTGTTCATTAGATACATGTTGCCATCACGGTATGGAACGCGCCGTTTACTTTCGCCGAGAGAGAAAACTTACGTCTTATTTTTAGTCCGTCTGCGATTTTATTATTCGAAGGTAAGCTTATGCCGACATTACCTAGAACGCATCGTTGACCTTCCTTTACTAGCATGTTCGCTCGCCGTGCCTTCCGGTGTAAGTTATATCGGTGACCTTGTGTGCACAAACCTTCATCTGATGGCACCTGCCAGTGAGCGGGAACTGGCCACTTACAATTTTCATCGTGAGTTAACGCTAATGCCCGCCGCATGACCGTGCTAAATACGCCGTGATCAGGTCGCAGTTTCTTTGACCGATCTAAGTACGTTCATTTCTCGTCACCCCGCGTGGATTAAGCTCATCATCGGCACCCTCGGCCATATCAGTCTGCGGACTTGGTAAGAAAGCAAAGCTATGCCCGGCTACGCTCACATCCTAACCGAGAGTTTTCTAGTGATCACCGTGAAGGCCTTCAAAATTTCGTCGTTCATCCAGTTGGATACTCTCTCAGTAGGTCGTAATTTATCTCGGCCCCGGCAACGTGCTCATGCCCACTTCAGACACTGTTCTACATCAACTTTGCTGCAGGGACTATATCCGATGGTAGCGTCGCGATCGCGCTTTGCTACTACCTATACAAATCTCGGACCGGATTCACTAGGTCGGTTATTGACGTTTTTGGGACATTCCGTTATTGATACAGTTCTTTAGGACTGACTCTCTCATCCGCGTGCTGATGTTGTACATTGTGAACACTGGCTTGATCGTTTTGTAAGCCTGTCAGTCATCCCCGACTGCATATGAAGCTAATCAGGAAACAGCCTCGATGCTACCCTCGGGATGATTACAGTGAGCATCTAGGCCTTCTGCACCATTCCTCAGACTCATTCCCACGTAGTATATTGCGATGCCAGACAACTTCGTCTTCCTCGGATTTTACCTGTTACTCAGCAAATGTGGGTTCCCTCACTTCCGATGTTAGGTTCAATCTAACCATTCCCCCCAGTGTATCTGAATTCATACTTGGCATCGTGAGTGAATTCTGTTGGAATCTCCCCCTATGATACTTAATAAGTTTTAGCCTGAACGCCCGCGAAGGCCTGAGAGACAAGGTTGACGAGACCCCAGTGTCAATTCACTTGTCGAGGATCACGAACCAATCGAATCGCTACGACGTTGAACGGTCGATAGTAGCCAGTGAGAAGGTCCGTGTTACTCCCGTACTTCTTCCCTTCCCACAGTGCCACCTGCGGCGTTTACCATACCTCCACACCATTTCCTTCTCACAAGACCCGTTGTCCCCTACTATTCCTTCGCAAATCACCGTGGTTTCCTGAGACTGACACCTCATCTTACAGCGATTATCCAACGATCGTGTCGCTATCTCCGTAGAGACGATGGTTGACCGAAAAGTCGACGGCGACTCCTCGTCCTATTAAATTTGGTGTAGTTCGCGGTGAGTTCCTGCTAACGGCCTATTTTGAAAAATCCTGATTTACATCGGTCTGGTCTGCTATAGCTGCTATTTATCTGTGTATATATCGCTCTCGCAGTTGTCATCCGCTCGTTCTCCCCTCCGCAATCCCCTTCCGCAATCCCCCACGCTATATGTGTATCATTACATTACTTGGTTTACCACCAGATGCCTCCCAGACGGACTTGTTTGCTGCAATGTCATCCTCTAGACTAGGCTGGCATTTACTTCTACTTTGTTCAGTGATCCCCTGTATCTCATCACCATCATCAAGCTTTTTGGTTACGTCGTGTATGTACGCTAGATTTGGGCTGTACTTTTTCTTTCTGGCAGTACTGGGCAAGTACATAGAAGGCCTCTACGGGAAATGAGAGGACAAAGTACGCTTGGAAAGTGGGATCAAACCCAGGATTTATAACAGGCGCAGGTGCATGTAACGCTCCCAGCGTTCCTTGTTTAGCTGACGGAAAGAAAACGATGATGCTGAAGGTACAGGATGGAAGCAAAAACTACGAGAAAAGCTTGTTGACGGACGTATTCCCCTCTTGGTTCTTCAGCACCTGAGAAAGCCCCGTCAGCAACCCGGAAAAGCGTGGTCAGAAGGACACCGCTTACCTTCGCAACCGCGAACTCAAAGTCTTCTTGCGTTACGTGGTGCCGTCGCTCCCGCAGGAGCGTACATGGTGACTTCCGTACATATATGCAGCAATTCCAGCAGTCTGACGCCCATTCGTGGGGCCTCCGTGAGCTGTCGTCCCTTGTTGAATGCTTTTATTTCATCCTCGCCTTGAAGAAGACCGTGGACGCTAACTTGCGGAAAGGCTTCGATGAACTACGCCAACGCGACTATGCGACACTGATTCGCTGGGACGCATTACAGAAACGACAGGAAGACATGACGAAGGACGAACGAAGACGGCCAAAATTAAGCGCCTCAAGGCCGCTCGCCAAGGCCCCGCAGGGGCAGGGGCGCACAAGATAACAATCAAGGTGGCAATCGAGACACCAAAGATCCCGCTCACTGCGACTCCTCCACCGACGAGCGCTCTGGCGGACACAACAATGAATCAACCAATGTCCACCCCAAGTCCGATGACTATGAGATGGATTCTGATGAAAGTAGCAATGATGTCGAGGCGTTGGACCCCGAAGAACACGGTGCGAAGTACGTGTCCATCCTAAACTGGCGGCACGGCAAGGAATATCCTGTGAAGGACCGAGATGCATGGTACCGCGACCCCGAGTCACTGAAATTGGTTGACAACGTTTAGCTTATTGGTGTAGTAGCCATCGACGACCGCTTTCTGTTTCCTGTATACAACGATTGGTTTCCTGTAGGCTGTGAGCGAAGCTTGAGTAAAGGCACAAGTAGATGAGGATAGCAGAGATACTTTACCAGCAATGCAGTTGTCATTGGAGTTCTGTGAAACACCATGTACCAGGCTGTTTTGCCGAATATTCAAGCGCCTGTGGTCATGGGTGCAGGAATCTTTCCTAATGGGGGGAGTAAAGGCCTGACGCCCGCCACAGTTTGATCGTGGACTTGGTCCTCATGCCCTTGCGATTTTCGTGATGTCTATCTTGCTGTCTATGGAAAGAATGTCAGACACTTGCGACTCTGCTCTTCTACCATCACCACCACCACCACCACCAACTCCATGATACCCAGAGGCAAGCGATATCTATGGCCATCTTTCCTCAGCCTTCTCCTTCTCAATATCGCCGAGCTCTCCACTGCTTCCCCTGCCAGCATTGAAAGTCAGGCGGGGGTAAAGAGTCAATGGAGCCGGTGCAGTTTCGTTTCGAAACTTAAGGTCACTCGAAGTAGGGTCGGCCCCGGGCCTAGTAATCAAATACCTCACGACATGTCTGTTGTAAATCTATGCCCTCTTATCGATCTCGGTGCACCTACCCAAGTGGCCCATCGACTCGCTGCTGGTTCAGGCGATGAAATAAGTCGTAACCATAAGGACTCAGGGCATATTCGATATGTTTTTGATTTTGGATCTTCTGTTGTAGAAGAATCGGAAGAGGTGCGCCTGGATGAACATTCGACGTTTCTAATATCGTGCTGATTGATCCTCTTGGCGCCGTGCCTCAGTGTGGTCGCGCGTTGGAATGCCTGATAGGTGAGGGCGTCCATTCGCGAAGGGAAGTCGTGATCTGACGGATTACAACCATAAAGCTGGCCCGCACAACGTATCCGTCGCCGATTCTGGTCCGTGAATTGCGATTTAATGCTCACCCGCACTCATCATTCTTATCTTCTACGCAGAAACGGGAATTGTCTGGACTTCAAGCCTTGATGAACTCTCAACTCCGTCGCCAACCAGGGCTCAGGCGAAAATACATTTCAAATGCAATCGTAGTTTGACAGAGGTAAGGCTCATTGCGCATCACCTCGTACCTTGATTCGATCGTGCTGGCTGCTTCCGCTGGATGCAGAATGTGCCTGAATGTACATCTTCTTACAGCAGCCTACACAGCTGTACACCGCCGCACAATAGTTCAGGATCCTGACGCAAGTACTTCCACAGATCTCATTTCGTTCAGAGGAACAACAGGGCGACGTATCGGTGCACTCATTTGATTGGGAAACCCCGCACGCCTGTGAGCATGTCATCAACAGCAGTGCCAACCTCGACCAAATAGGGACCCTTGAAGAAGGAGGCACTGACGAAAGTAACCAAGAAGATCAAGATGGCGGTTCCGAAGATGAAGAGCAGAACCTTGTGCCTCCCGCCCACACGTCCCATCGACAAATCCTTCGCATTCTTTTCTTTGCCGGGTACGTTCCGTTGCAAGAGCGCCTGATTGATTGCTCACATGAGACCCAGGTTGACGATTGTGGCCATCTCTGCCCTGGTAATCCGTAGACCTTCCATCCTACCTACACCTCTTCGCTCCCTCCTCATGATCCCTCTCCCTAACTCGCCGCTTCTCCGTTTCGCTGCCAAACGCCGTGCGAGATCGGCTGGAGACAATCATGCGGACCAGCTCCCTGATCATCGCTTCCGCGTAGACGAAGGACGTCTTGTTCGCTGGGCTCACGAGGACATGAGTCTGGAGGGTGAAGGGGAGCTAGACGTTATGGTTAATGGATCCGATGATCTGGCCGACCCAGATGAAGGCGCCCGTTATGCTTACGGGTACGGGTATGGTGCGGCGGGAGTCGGCCGGATGGGTGCTGAGTATATTCCTCTGAAGCCCAATCCGTTCGCCGGTACGAAGTTTGGTAAAGCTAAGCTCTGGGGTGCCAAAGCAGGCTACGGCAGTGTCGTCATTGGGAGATGATCATGAAATTGTAGACTAATGTTGTAGAATTTTTATGTAGTTGTAGTCCCTTCGTTCAGATATTTCGCTTTCGTAGTTCGGACTCGATGGATTATGCTAAACACTGATTATGTATGACCCTAACTATGCCGTTGTTACAAATTCGCTGTATGGTCGGTCCTCGGGCGGGAGACTCTGATTAAAATTAAAAATCTGTTAAAATGACAGGTATAACACAGCAGCGCTCGTAATGGGCGCTTGGGACCTTTGTATGCTTGGGACCCCTGGGACAAACAATGATTCCTCCTCCGTCCCATCATGGCGGGTGCGGCACCAGACACGCCAATTAGATCATTGCCTTCATGGGCTCACCAAGAAGCTAGCCAGATACCCGAGGAGGCCATTTCTGCTCTGGAGACGTATAAGAAGAAGGATCCAGCCAAAGGTGACCCCTCCTAGTAGTCTTCCCTCGTTGTTAGCTGACGTTACTATTCGAACAGTTGTCGTACGCTTCAAAGCTGTTGGAAATGCGCCAATTATGAAGCAGAACTTCTACAAGATCACCGCATCGAACAGGTTTCAGGCTGTGATTCAGTTCTTGCGAAAGGAATTGGGTTGGAAGACAGGAGACCCACTGGTGCGTTACATTCACACCAGATTTCGGCTTTGCGTGTTCATTCGGATCCCAGTTCACGTACATCAACCTGGCATTCTCGCCTGCCCCTGATGACACAGTGTCGAATCTATTCAAGGTTTTTATCACTATTTGAGCACGAGCATTCTGCTGACGATATACCTCCTCAGTCGTTTGCTACGGATGGACACCTGATTGTCAACTACAGGTATTTTCTGACCTAAATTCGTGCTTCCAATATATCAAATTGACGTCTTTCCCTAGTACAACAGCAGCGTGGGGCTGATAGCAATATATCAATGATGTATCTCTGCTATGCACATGATATAGACCAGTTCTCTACACGCGATGATGCTTCAAGTAATCGACATTACCTTCTACCTACAGGTGTTTGGTCTGCAAGTGGCTTCGGTCCATTGTTCTTTGATTTGCCCATAGCTCAAACGGCTTCCTGTGGCTAGCCCGAGTGGCGGACGATGGAACTACCGTTCTGCTGTCTGATACCGTTTCCGTCACTAACTATGTATATGTCTATCCGTAACTCTTTTAGGCTCACTCCTCGTTATCATTCAGTGGCGTTTTCTCTGAAGCAAACTGGACAGAACCTAATAAATGTGTAACAATTGCTATGTATGTTGAAAGCGACGTACGTCTAAACCCCGGCTTCGGTGGGAGATTGGTAGGAGATCACTGGCTATCACCGTGCTTATTCAGTCTTCGAACTCTTAGGCTTATAACATTATCCGTGATCCACCCCAGAGCAAGTGCGGGGACCTGGCCTCTGGCGCGCACATCAACAAGAAGAAACTTCCCCCCCCTTTACCACGGGAGGCCATTATCCTATTCGTTTGTACCGTGGAATAGAGAATATGCGACCTTCGCTCAAAATCTTCATCGCGATATGGGTGTGCTTTACCTGCCGAACTGATGTATTAGGCTAACCTTCGAAAGTGGCGGGCCCTTCTCCATAGTTTGTGGTGCCCGGATGTCTGCACCCATACGAATACAAAACTCACGCGCACGCGTTGCCTTTGCTGTCCACGGCCAACCAAATAACGTCCGGAATGTCCCTCAAAGTATATTTGACAAGCTGAAGACCGAGATGAGGGTTAAGATCAAGACCTGAGCATGTGCGGGGTCGTCTGACTTCCGTTGAGTTGTAACGCCTTATGGCCTCAGGTATGCAGTCGCTCCTTCTTGAGTGTCCTTGCTTTTCGCACAAGAGACTGAAAGACTGAAGCATAATGTTGTTTATCGACGTTAATGTACGCTAAGGTCTCTCCCACGGTCAATATCAGAAGCGTTATTTCAACAAGTGACGTCAGAGTACTTGAGTACTTGAGTTATTAGCCAACTAACTCAGCAACGAAGGGACTCTCCATGTACTACACCTTGCGGTGCGTCGATATATATTGACTGCCCCGTAACTGGGATAAACGCAAAACTTGGCCGAGAAGTTACCGGAGCCGGCACCACCGATCCCGAACATCTTCCGCGTTCCAACATGGCAGCGCAGCCCGCAGCGACAGGGAGAGGCTACACGAGTCGTCAGCGAAACTACGTTATTTCACATTTGGAGCTCAGACAAGCCATTATGCATTGACTTCTATCATAGTATCTTCTCAAGAAACTTTGTGCACAAGATTTTACAGGCGGCGCTGCGCACGATATTAGATAAAAGTTCACCCAGAAGCCTCCAGGTCCGTTACGGCACGAGATAACCAGAGTTTCATGAGCCAAAATCTGGCAAAGGCTTTGCAGAGTCTATGGGAAGGTACCGAGAAGAACTCAAAAAACCGCAGATCATCGCAATAACTCCTTTGCCGTCAGTGACACCCCCTTTGCTCCCACCCCGTTCGACGACCCGGTGATACTAGGGTTTTGTTCTAGTTCGAGCTTGCTGTCCTGGTACTGCTGGATGGTCTTGGCCCATCCAATGGAGCATTGTTCCAACGACCGGACGGCGGATGGACTCAGGATTGTCGAATAGAGATTTTTGAATGATGCGTTCTAATAGGCGCGGAGACTCAGGACTGTCAAACACCTTGGTTCGTTCGGGCATGGAAAGTCAAGCAGATTGCGCAAAAGGATAATAATTCTGTATATATCCTGCCGGAGCGTTCGCCACTGTCACCCTCGGCCGATTGCGATCCCCTCTGGACTGGTCTTGCCGCACAAGTGGACCAAAGTGGACCTCTCTCTTTCTTACCGCCACCATCTCTGCCGCCGTACTGCCCCAATTCGCTCGCGAAATCGATACTGCCCCCCCTCGTTCCTCATCGCGAGGAGCCTGTCCGTGCCCCCGTTCAAATCTCGAATATGACTTTTGCGACACTCCGCGCATTGCATGGAATTATCGGCGATGCAATAACTGACATCGAACGTGTTTACGCCGAGAATTCAGGCGCGCCTCCCAGAGAACAGTCTCCGACTCCAGCACCGTCTCCATCTCCAATAACGCCCTCGACGCCGTATTACCCCATGGATACGCCAGATGACGACATACGCAGACATCACATCCTATATGCGCCCAAAGAAGAAAGTCTAGAGGACCTCCTCGAAAGTAATTGTCGTGAAGACGGTATCAGCCTTGAAGGCGTGTCGGGATTGGGCCTAGGGGCGCCTTTCTCGCCCAAGGGTACCAAGAAGTCATCTCAGGCCAAAGTACAAATGATTCCAGCCCAAGACAGGCTCAGGATGACCTTCAACTCGCCTCCTCCTTCTCCAATATCACAAGACACGCCCAGCCCAGCGACTCCTGCATCTTCACGGCGAACGCTAAGGACTTGGCAATCAATGGCTGCATTGTCACCTTCTCGTCGTAATCGAACCCGCAGAGATTCCCTTCAAGACCAGAGTACCACAGCCTCGTCAGCTTCAACGATGCCCGGACATCAGGATACAGCGACACCACCAGCATCACGCAGTCATACGCCGAGGCGACACGTTCTACGCACACTAGAATTACCACCTCCGAAGTTCCTCCATTCACCTTCTTCGTCTTCATCCGATCCACCAACACCATCGTCGGAATATCTTGCGTTCCAAACGCCCCCCACGCCCTCGCTATCATACCAACCACATCTTGATTTCCCATCTCTGGATGCATCATACGACAAATCTTCGCCAGCGGAAACGCTGAACGCCTCCCACCCAGTGATAGCTACATCAATCGGACGGATCGTTGCAGCGTCTGGCCAATTGGCTGCGATGGTGCAAACGCCATTTCTTACTATCTGTGATGCCGTCATGCAGGTAATCTTCATTGTGCGATGCAATAGCCATTTTAGTGATCTCTTTGCTCATTTTAGTATCATCTTCCCGCATGTATGCGTCTTTTCGAGGCAAGCCACGTCCCTGAGATACTTCGCGAGGCTGGTCCTGATGGACTGCATGTTGAGAAGATTGCTGAAAGGAATGGAGTTGATGCAAGTAAGCTAGGTGAGTCTCGTTCTCATCACATTATCACGTGTTTTGTGCATTGGGGCTTCGAACCTGGACGTAAATTATACACCTCGCCCTCAATTCAACTTCTCTTCTGTGCCCTCTTATCCCCCTTCGTCTTTTTTACCTTGTTGTGTGATGCGGCTCCAATTCAATTCCAAACCTTGACATCTGAGCTAACCAAATCCGCTCATCTAACTCACCCATTCCCATCCTCTTAGCGCACGTTCTTCGCCTCCTCGCAACTCACCACATCCTGCGCGAGGTGCGACCAGATGTATTCGCCTTGAACAGAATCTCCTCTGTGGTCGATACAGGCAAGGACGCCGCCTGGCTTCTCGGTGAGAATAAACGAGCACCCACTGGGACATTGGAAACAGGAACGCAAACGTTCACACGTGACGAAATGCCAACTTCCAATCAAGATTACGACGAGCGCGTGAAATGGTGCGTCGTCTTACCCAGATCCCGTCCATCGTGTCACTCGATGGCTGCCAAAGTCTATGAGGGCGTGGTTAATGGGGCTCATGTGCGTTGCGGGGCCTGAGCTTGAGCTTCAGGATTAAGCTTTCCTTCCTGCTTGCACCTATTTTGGAAGTAAACCATTCAGCACCAGGGCGAACATCACGTTGCAGCCGCATGGGTCCTTGGCCCTCTTTTTCCGTAGGGGAACTGTCGCGAAAGCTCGTTTGGCCATATCGCACTTTCCTTTGATTGATCGGGGATATTGGACAGAATTCAGCCGTGTTGCTGTCCGTTTCCTCGTCTCCATACGCCCCAAAAACTCAACGCCGCGGTGTCTGTAGTTTCAGACCGCTGTGCCTCTGTTCGTGGCTTTACTTGACATATGGGCTGACCCCGTTTGTTTTAATTGATTCAGTCCAGAGAAGAAGTACGAGGATACTAATGGAATAGCAGCGTTTGTTGGGTTATGGTACGGCATCTCTCCCATGTGATCCCGAGTTATCCGAGGCAGAAAATCTGATAAAAGGTTCTTTACAGCACCGATGAGCTATTCAAAGCTGCTTCATATATGACAGAAGCATATTATCTGTCAGACAAAACCAAACATTCGCGAGAGCCCGTACATACGCCGTTCAATTTCGCGTTCAATACCCGCGCCGGTTTCTTTGGCTGGCTTGAAGGGTGAGTCCCCATGCTCTCAAACTTCTGCACACTTTTATCTGACTGTAATGCTACCATGAACGAACGTCGATGAACCCGTTGTTCCGGCGCAATGACTCCACCCTAGGGATGATTCTGGGCCTCCTCTGGACACAGACGGGCTTGGAGCGGAGCTTGTACCAGACCTAAAGACGGCCTTTATGGTCAATAGTGGAAGGGCTGTGGAAAACCGCGTGCAGGATGACCAAGCGTCCCGAAAAAGTCTGCCATCACCGCGAGAGAAGACCGCTGAGAAGGATGTGACCCAAGGTAGCAGGTTTAGATTGGAGAGGTTCGGCAAAGCAATGGTTGGTACGGCATCGTGGGAGGCGCCATATGCAATCTTGCATGGTCAGTTGTTTCTGTCCGATTCATTAAAGCCATTTTCGGTCTTGCAGCCCTTTGTCTGGCTTGTTTTCCTGTCATCTCATTTCGAGCGTATCAACTCGGCTGTTCTTTCTAGTCTAATGGTTTTTCGTTACCACGGCCCTCGCTCACACACCCCTTCCTGCAGGTTTCGATTGGGCCTCCTTGCCCCCCGGGAGCACTATCGTTGATGTAGGAGGAGGTATTGGATCGACATCAATGTTACTGGCGAACGAGTTTGCTTCCATGCGTGAAGGCGGCATCGACCTAGGCCTTAAATTCGTAATCCAAGATCGTCCTGTCGTAGTGAAAATGGGTGAAAAGGTCTGTTCACGGTTCACGGTTTTAGTCCTTGTGTTATATGCCACTGAGCTCACACATTGCCCGTCAACTCGCATAGGCTTGGCGCGACCAACGACCCGAGCTCCTGGATTGCGGAACCGCCAGATTCCAAGTTCACGATTTCTTCAGTCCGCAGCCAATCAAGAGCGCTGCCATTTTTCTCCTACGTGCGGTCTTACATGACTGGCCTGACAATTTTGCTAGGAGAATCCTTCTGGAATTACGAAAAGCGGCTACGACAGCCACAAAGCTAGTCATCGCGGACTTCGTCCTTCCCTTAGCATGCGCCGACAATTTTGGCTTGCCGAAGGAAGGAAAAGAACGCTCGGAGGGGAAACATTGTGAAGAATTCAATAGTGTTGGTCATACCTCGACGGGCAGGAACGAGGGCAGCACAACTGCCAATGGCGAGGTAGACAACAGTATGACAGAAGGGGTCGAGGGGGTGCAAGTGAGGCTAGCGCCTACCCCTCTACTAGCAAACTTGGGGAAAGCGAACGCGAATGCGTACTGGATGGATCTAACGGTGGGTTTCGACACATTTTCCCCCCTGAACCATCTCATCTTTTCCGTCTATGAACCCTATGCCCAATCGATAATAACTGATGGAACTTGATCCGCGGACCGTGTCCACGATGCAACGTCCGCTTGATTGGACTACAGATGCAAGTGACGTTCAACAGTCAAGAGCGCACTCTACGCGAGGTGGTGGCCCTCATGCGCTCATCCGGGTGGAAAGTTGTCAGAGTCACCCACGCTGCTGGATCTCTGTTTGGGTATATCGTCGCCGTTCCTGTGCCTATTCCGTCTAGCGATGGCATCAGCGATTTGAGGCTGAATGAATGCACTGCCCTTGGTGCTAAACAACATGCAGAGTCCAGTCATACGCCACAGGACGCCGGGTCACGATGTGGAACACCTACATTCGGTTCGAGAATGGTGCTTCCATCTCAAGACGATGCTTTGCTCCGAGTTCGTGGGCGATTCGGTAAAGGACGGCCGGCCACGACTAATGTTGCATTTGGAAGACGTGTTCCTCGATCGTCTGGCGCAACAACCTTGGTACAAAGTCCAACTCAACAAGCGAGCGTAACATCAACCAAGCCTATGCGAAAAAGACCGTCTCCTCTGTCAATACCGCCACCAACTACACCATCTCGAGGCGCAGCGTCACCTCGTCAATCATCATCCCCGTCGATTTCACGAAGATCGTCTTTTGCCAGCCTTCACAAATATTCACAATCACAATCTCGAGTCGCTTCGCCCATTCCCGCCGTTCCACCTTTGCCCGGGCAAGTAGCTAACGTTAATTCTCGCCCACGTTCTGCCACGGTTGTGACGAAGATTCCTACTGCTCTCTCGCGACTGCCACCATGCTCGCCCCTCGTTCCACGGAATCTTCCGCCAGTACCACAAATTCCTCCATTTCTCACGTCTCCACCTCCTCCAAATAAATCCGGACCGTCTGCATCATCCGCGCCTTTAAGACAGATTCAAAGGACTGTAATACGCCGCGTATCTCATGTATCACTACGTCACGACACTCCCAGGAGAAGGGCAAACAGTACCATCAATAATGGTGGCGCTGCCATCGGCGGCGAAACCATGTTAGGGCCTTACGATAGGGAAGCAGGTGGTAAATTGCTCCGGGATTATTCATCTTAGAAAATCGCCTGCGGAATTGGATGACGTTTCTCTGGCGATGTCAGAGACAAGATCGGAATCCGTATCTTCTCTACTACATCTCGCTACCCGCCGGTGAATGTCGCTTCTCGCCGTTGTCACCCCACAAGATATCGATAGCTTCGTTTCCCTGGGAGAAACTCCCCTCCTATTTTCGCCTTCTTTCCCATCCAAGACGCAGGGGTTGATGTCCTACGGCAACGAAAACACCCCCCTTCCATGGTTGGCACCATTCTAAAATTCTCGACGCATGGTCGGTGCTCGAATTGAACTATATATGACCTTGGCTTGTATCTTCGACGGAATGACATCACCCTATATTTTGTATTCAAGTTGTTCTAGCTATGTGTGCACCTAATGGTAGTGCCACCGGAACGGACAAGATCTCCATCATCGCTTCAAGTTTAGTCCTCCCACTTCGATCCTCGCCTTACTGCACTTTCACTTTGTTTAGGAGCTGTCAAATCTTGAGAAACCAAAACCATGATATCAACTTGCGCGTCGATATTGCACCCAATTACTACACGCGCATCCACGAACCTGCCATCGATATACTGATTACACGAGCTTAATTTTGATCAAGCTTCGCAAGTTATGTCAGAACCTCCGCGCCCACGCAAACCCACATGTTCCCTTTATTTTCTCTGCCTCAAGCCTGAAGTTCGCTTCTAACCACTGCCACAATTGCGTCAAGCCCCAGGTGTCAGTCGTCCTTTGGCCATACCATTTCCAGTTGGTTTCCTCTTGTCTGTGCTCCCAACATCTCTATCGGGGTACTCGATTCCAATACCGCCGATTAGTATAAAGGCAAGGTGAGTAGCCCATGCTCGTCAATCTACTCTAACATCCCTATTTCGCTCATTGGTTTCATATCACCTGCCTGGATCCTCATTAATGCCGCACCCGACGCACGTCCTAGGGCCTGTGCTAATCGCTGTGGTCCTCAACGTATTATTTTATGGTATATGCGTACTACAATCGGTTGCCTACTATACATCAGGCTTCAACGACCGAAAGGTTATCAAGTCAGTTGATGCTTATTTTCTGCTACTCTTGTTGTACTTCTCTCGTTCACCGTTTTAGAGCGCTCGTCGTATGGGTCCTGTCACTCGATACGATACATACCGGCGCGTCGATCTACCTGATGTGGCTATACGCAGTCGACAATTTCGGGAATCGCGATATTTTGACTGCGGCCCCTTGGCCGTTCTCTTACACGCCGCTTATGACTTCCCTGTTGGTAATTTCCTCTTCACCTCAATCTTCATGCGAACTAACAATGAACCAGAGCATCATGCCCTATCCAAGCTTTCTTAGCCTGGCGCATTTACCAATTCGCGCGCTCATGGAAAGTGTACATCGGCGTGGTATTGTTGTCCGTTGCTCAGCTTGCGACTGGAATAGCTGCTTCTGCTGGCGCACTCGAATTATTGAGGTGCATCGATTTTTCCAGAGGATGATAGCATGGACTAATTTTACGAACACAGCATCGTCCATTTTTCTCAGCTAGTCCCCATCGTCGACTCCTGGCTTGGTACTGCTGTCATCTGCGATGTGACCATTACGTTAGTTGTTCCCCTGAAGCCGCGGGAAGAGTTACCGACTTGATCACTAGTGTTCTTTTATGGTATCACCTTTCGAAGAACCGTACGGGCTTTAAGCGTAAGTGTGCAATATTTTTGAGCTTTGGAAGACGTCGACAGCTCTGACTAGACACTGACAACGTCATCACCCGACTCATCCATTCGTCTGTGGAGACGGCTGCTTTTGGATCTTTGTTCTGTGTAAGTCTTCCTGAAGTACCTGTCAATCAGATCATTTTGACCGGTTCTATCTATATAGGTAATGGACCTGGTGACTTTCGTATGTCGCCTCGGGCGAGAGTGCCACACTTCTGCTGATCAAAGAATACTAGACCGTCTTTCCGGGCACGAATTATCATGCCATCTTTGCCTTTGTGAGTAACTACCCTGCGCAATCTGATTGATTGATTAAAGTTCCACAAGCCCCTTGGAAGAATCTACACGTAAGTGCGCATGTATTTCGGTGGATCTGTACTCACCCATTGTCACTCGCGTAGGAATACACTCCTCCTGGTAACTGGTTTTGACCCCTCGCAGTGTCGTGCGGCGTGTTTACGATCGTTCTATAGACCCTCAACTCTAGAAATGCCTTGCGCTCAGAGCTGCACAACAACATCTACACTGAGACGCAGGTATGGACTTTGTTGGTGACCCCATTGGATGGTTTGGGAGACTAATTTGTTAAATATAGACACCGCTCCCTGTCTTCACATGCCCACCTATTGCGATTACAGGAAGCGACATTATCAGAAGCATTCAACGGAGTCAACCGAAGCCCACTTACCTTTCGCAGAACCGAAATATGGAAGACGTTAGCCAAAGCGTTACAAGTGCAAATCTTGAGTCTGGCAGTGGGAAATCTACGCCGACATGACTCAAGTATGAATTCCATGCTCACGAGTTTCCCATACACGACGGAAATCGAGCAATATCCACCTATAATGAATCCGCTATGTACTCAACTTGACCCATCATGTCTACTGAGCACGAACACTGACACAGTAGACACAAATAAATGTATTAAAGCCTCAAGGCGTCTGTAAAACTGCATATCCCAATAATACTCTAGCTGTATAAGGTCCGTTGAATGTAACTACTCGAAACTGTGAGGTCATAAATGGGGTATGTGCATGCTAGTTAGGTATAGGAAGATCGTGTCCGTCAAGAAAGCCGAATTGACAATGTCTCAATCAGAGATCGATTTCTTTAAAAGGGTACGGTGGTGAACCATATCCCCGTCAATATACTCAAAACCACACCGTAGTTGGACAGATCCCATCCGCCAAAATTGAACAGATTGTCAAAATGCCTCTGGGCGGCGTTAATCACAACGCCCCCACCGATTCCGTTACCGGTCCCTATAGGCAGGGATGTAGGTAGGCCCACTGGTCCCTGTTCCGGTATGAATGGTTGACTAGCCATCGCAGCAGCCTGATTGTACCTATGATAACCCAAAGTTAGAGCCGGAAAAACAAGAAGTAAAAGGAGCTTACGCCGCATAAGCCGCATTATCGTCCCGGTATGGACTCATGAGTATCGAATCTACAACATGCACCACACCATTATGCGCGAGAAGTTCCGTTGACAGGATCCTAGCGCTATGAATGGGTCCTCCATCGTTGTGGTTGATCGTAACGAATGTGCCAGTATTGTTAACCATGAACGTAAGAGGACCGCCTGAAGAGGCGATGGCGTAAAAAGGATAAGTGGATGAACAAAGAGTAGGGGAGTAAATGGTTGTGCCGTTAATGATCTATTATTATTCGTCAGTTAGGATCGTTTGGGTACGAGTCTGAAGATTGTGGTCTCACATGATTCTGCATAACAGTTGCCATTGCGTGAGGGTCATTGAGGGTCATAGCGGGGATCATTTCTTTAGCATGCATCACGGCCTCATCGGAAGCCGCGAAGATAGTGAAGCCATGGCTTCCGTATCCATTGCTAGCATCAAGAGCATCGAGGAGACTGCGGCGTAAGTGATTAACTGATGCTGTGGGACAGTGCAATGATCGTATACGCACTTCATGGGCATCCCGGGCGCTGTTGTTTCCTTGAGCATAGCTTTGAAGGCGACAAGTTTATGTTTCATAAGCAGCTGGGGCAGAGAACCGGGGATATAAAGGACCACAGGGACGACATTGATGATGATTTCTTTCCACTTCGTCGACTTCAAAACAGGGCAGTCCGAGCTAGGGGTACATTAGCACTGGAAAGCGAAACACGGATGGAGCCGACTTACTCTTGGTTCAACATCCTTGTCTTCCCATCTGTTCCAGTAACGTTAGACCACGCTACCACTTGTCCTCGATCCTTTCCCTCCAGCATCACATATTTCGAGTCGATAAGAGTGGAACGACCAATGGTGACATGATTAGGGGTGTTGTAGGGGATAGGAGGATTACCAACTAGAATGCTAACGTCAGATATCGGTAACGAAGAGCCGAAGCTTCCATACCAATTGCGGATTGTAGGTCTGGAATAGGCGATTCAGATTCCTCGCGGCGGACTGGTGTCTGCCCATCTGTAGGAGATTGACCCTGGTCGCTCGCATAGACATTTGGGTTGCCCATGTTGGTGCCAGGTTGACCTTGCTGGCCGCCTTGATTCCACTGTTGTTCACCCCCTTGCCATTGTTGACCTGTACCAGACCATTGTTGACCGTCTACGACGCCAGGTTGGTTGATGCCGGGTTGGTTTATGCCGGGTTGGCCCACGCTCGGCTGGTTTATGGCTGGTTGCCATTGTTGTCCACCCCCAACACCCGGTTGGTTTATGCCTGGTTGGTTTGTACCTGGTTGCCATTGGTGCCCGCCAACTCCGGGTTGGTTTAATGCTGGTTGGTTGACGCCTGGTACTGCCGCTGGTGGTAGCGCCGTTGGCAGTGGCGCACCAAATGATTCGTCGTGTACGCCGTCATCGATCCCGAGAGGGAAATGCCCATGTACTAAATGATATGAAAGGATGCTGGCGAGACGTTCTGGGGGGTTCAGCTTGACCGCGAAGTTATCAACTGATATTCGTGTCAATCGATGTTCAGGTCAGCGGGTTGACGGTACTCACAAGCCTGATCGGTTGGTGCAAAGAGTGTCATCGGACCTGCGTTGCCCATCGAAAGAATACCGATGAAGTGCTGGCCAGTAGGAGTATTTGCTGCTGCGACATCGGATATATAAGATGATAGCTTCTTTAGTCCCAGACTGCGAAGCGTTTCGCAAAGATCTTGTAATGGATCGGCAAGTGCGAGTTGAAAGAAGAATGGCGCTGAGTATAACAGAGGCGAAAGCTTCACCATTAGGCCTTCCGGGGGCTGTTCAACAAAAAGGCGTGGAAAATGACGCCGAAGTCAAGCTTGGGGCATATATATGCGCCACCTCATCGAAGTGTATGTGTGCACGTACGCGAAGCATTGAAGCCGGGCCCGAGAGTTTTAGCGCAATATGTGCTGGACAACCACTCCGCGCGCCACTAGCGCATTGTCCGCTGGATCCAGAAGCAAGCGGTATCGAGAGGCAACGTGTATTCCTCAATATAGACCTGGGCGTCAGGAGGCGTACATTTCGGCTGTCTTCAACCTTGCCACCGTACAGTGGCAAGGCGACACAGCAAAGCCAGCACGTCCGCGATCAGCATTTATTATTTTTACGCCACCACTAGTGCGAGAAAACGTGCTCGCCGTCGGGGAGGAATGTAAATGGCATCATGGTCAATGCTGGTAGACCTGGTAGTATAGTGCGAAACAAGTCAGCTTCCGGGAGCCATCTTATATATTGAGATACAAACATTTCCACCTTGATGAGACTCTAGAAGCGCGACGAAATGACCACGGCGTTGACGATGGAGGGGAAGTCGCGTCTTCGCGAGGACCTGTGACGCCATGGACCGTGACATACTGTGACCTCGACCAGGCGAATACCCACGAGCGCTGCCGCTTCACGCGCAAAAAAGGTTCCTTCTCCTCCCTCACTGAAACGAAAGCACAGGTTTATTCAGACTTGTAGACGCGTTGTTGTTGTTGCTGACGGTGCAATAGCTCTATCAAAATGGCTCGTCGCGGTGCACCAGCAAACGCTGTCCCATCATTTGTCCCTCAAATTCAACCTCGGCGCGCCGCTCATGACCCCGACGAATCAGCATTTTCTCGGTTCCTTCGCGAACAAATTTGGGCACCCGAAAAACTCAGCGGGAATATCAGTATTGTTACTGGCGTTGGGATGTTTATTGGTGGCATTGTAGCTGTGAGAACATGGGGAGATTTGATGATTCCTGCGTAGAGTGCTCTGGACATTGTTCACTCGTACGTTCTCTACTCAACGGTAGCTTGTCGCCACAGGCTGACTATATTCACCACCTTTGTCCACTCAGCATCCGTCGCTCTATGCCTTGCTTATATGGACAGGTTATTGGTCATCTAGACACTCTATCATCTTCCATGCGTCGCTTTAATATTACCTCACAACTTTCACGCCGTTAGTGCCCTGTCACTTTCCCTTTCTATCAATGCTACAACTTGTGAATTCGAAGCTCCGTGTTGCCACCTGGGGGGCAGCGACCTTGATAACGCGTGAGAGCTACATGGTCTCTTCCACTGCGGTTTGCGTTGCGCTTGCTTAAACTTACTCCGATATTCAGAAGTATACCAACACGCCCCCCATACCTCCTCTGGATCACTCCGAAGCATTGTTCCATGGTACTCCGCCAGGAAAAATATTACGCTCATTCGAGGCGTCCTATCGTGAACTTGAACGCATCTTCCGTGTTGCGGTGCCAATTTGTGGGATCCTTGGCCTTGATTAGCCCCCTGCGCGGCCCGCGTAGGTGTGTAAAATCAACTATCCGATTGGTACAAAACATCCTCACTTGAACATGCCTCCCTAGTGGTTATCGCAACGGGACCACCCGAATGTTTCCTTCGCTCCGAGTTCTGTTAGTTCTTCCTTGTACGTTTACCTGGTTTACGGATCCCTCATGAGCTGCCCCTTGCTCAATCATTGACGCTGCATGCGAGCACCACCACACCCTCGAACATACTCCCAAGAATAATACCCCCGACCTGCCTTACTCAGCGAACCCAGTAATCTCGGTACATGTTATCTAAGATGCACGGGCCTTTTCCCAACTTTATTTCCCTCATTAGAGGCTATTCGTCTCTTCCAAAGGCTGCACCCCTAGGTCTGCGAAATTTCGGGAGAACTGACGGCGATGCCCCACAACCTCGTTTACTTCCCCAATCACCCTCCTTCCAGCAAGAATAGATCACGAGGGTGCATCGTGTAACCGTCGCCCGACAAACTATGGGAAGTCGATCACAGGACGCCTGCCTACCGCAACAAACGACACCGCGATCTGCCAATCAAGCACCTGACTCTTTGCTAGCAGTACACTACCTCCTGACTCGCAGCGCTGACTGCTTAGGCCGTCGATGTGAGTTGGGTCAAGTTACTTGCTTTTTAATCAGGCTCTCAGATGTATCCTTTCCACCCTCTTCTAGACGGGCGTGCCCGTGGCGAGATCACGCATCCTGGACCTGATGCTTGTGTGCGGGTCCCGTCGCACTAGACGCTGAGAAAATACCGCAAATAACTGTGGGTTTCTTTAAACGAAGCATGGCGTTACTTCTTCGAAGTGAGCTAAAAGCCGCCGCTCTAAGGTAAGCTTCTTTCTACACTACCCACTAAGAAATATACAACTTTAACGGCTAACTTGCACTTCAATCACCGCCAGTGGTTTTTGTTCAGAAAGCATTTCGATCGGAGACTTGTTCCTATGTTTTAGCGGCCATTCTTCGGTCGTCGCTACTCGCATGTGCCACCGATGTCCTTCGTTGATACGGACCTGACGAGTTCTAGCTGGCGTTTCGTCCAAATTTCGGCAGCAAGACGTCAACTGTGATTTACCCATCATAGCATGAGCGACTCATCTGCGCAACGACACATGCGGTGCACTGCTCGTCGTGTTACCAGAAGTACTAGCGGACTTCAAAGTTTAGCCGTGTATAACCATTATCAACGAATGCCGATTTTCAGAGGCTTGCCAAATCGAGGAAGCTGCCATCAGCCAACACTGTTCGGGTGTGTTATCTGCCTAGCGTCTTCTTTGTCCACTGCATCTGGGGAACTTGACCGCTCGGGTTTAGGTTCCGAAGCCTCGTCATTCCCGGGCGCGTTTTTCGACTGCGGGGTTGTGCAGCATGTTTACAACGTGCTCCATTGTCTGCACACCGTCGACGAGGCGGCTCCAGAGCGTCATCGAGCAGCACTAGTCCCACCAGACATCAACTTTCCCTCGTCAAGTCCATCCGTTGGGTCCCTCGTGTGCCCCCACAAACCAGGGTCCCCAGATTTCCGCAAGGATTCCACCCTTTCGCCGCTAGTTCCCTGTCTAAGGAGTCTGGACGACAAACCGGAACGGTGGTTGAGGGCCAACTCGACACGCACCAGCTCAGTTCAACCGGTTCACAAAATAGCTTGCCTGTATGTACGGGCATTTGCATGCTTCTTGGATTCCAGCGCGCGGTACGTGGCGTCAGGTGCTTCCTAGCTCTGGGTAGAAGGCTCTCATATCTCCCCGGAACTATCCATGATGACTTGTGTCTGGCGTGGATACCTGCATGTAATTTTACATAACTGGAGACATATGAGGAAGAAGATTCTGATGATGACGGGTGGTAAAGCTGGGGTATCAATTTCAGTGGGATTTCCACCGATCGGGGTCTCTCAGGTAAACGATTACCTCCATGTGTATGTAGAAAGGAACTGGGAGTCTAAGGCATTCCCCCAAACAATTACTCCTCTGGTCATGAGTCTACACGGGCAGGGGCTTGAGGCCTGCATGAGATTAATAGCCAGCTTCTGACGTCCGTGTGCGCGGGCTCATGTATGTGGAATATGGCAGTCGGCAAAAATACAACCACAATGCTGTTATTTGCGGATCCGTCCTCACTGTTCGTAACTTACTTCCTGGGAATGGTGAAACTGTGACACTTTTATGTACATGTCTATATCATGATCAAGGGATGCGACAATTAAACGCAATTTGGCGAGTCTGCCGTATCTCGTCATTCATATGGACATGCTAATCATGTCGATACCAGGGGTGATCAGCAAAGTTCCTCAGCAACCGAGATCACAGCACAAGGAGAGCCAGCAAGTCGGGGTTAATGTTCTCGTACACATGCAAGATACGTTACAATAGAGTCCACTACAGTAAGAGTTTGTTCACAATTTTGGGATCAACTTCAGCACGCTCCCTGGGTCGAGCACGGCCTCGGGGTATGGCAGCGACGTGGTCCTTAAATGTTCGTTACCCCCATCTACGGGAAGAATTTGGCCAGTGATGAAAGAGGCCGCGTCACTGAAAAAGAAGACGGTGGCGTTAGCGACATCTTTTATGTCACCCAAACGACCAGCGGGAAGGGTGCTTTGGAATCGGCGTTGGGCATCGTCTGATTTTGGTGTTAAGCGGTCCATTCCTTCGGTACCGCTGATTGGCCCAGGGGCAATTACATTCGAGCGCACACCATGAGGTCCTTCTTCGACGGCGATGACGGCAGACAGGGCGTCTACGGCCGCTTTCGCAGCAGACACATGAGCCTGGTAAGGTGTACCTGGGTAATAGCAATCATTGTAGTACGCTCATGCAAGGAAACCACCACCCTTACCCTTGTAATGAAGAGTGGCGCTAACGTGGATGTAGGAGCCTTTGGAACGTCGAACGTGTTCAATAGTTGCCTTGACGGTGTTGAAAGTCCCGAGCTACCCATTAGAAGTCAGGGAGCCGTGCAACTTGCGAGAGAATCCATGACGACCCACGGTGTCAATCTCGATGACGGTTCTGAATGCGTTTTCCGAGAGGCTAGCAATCGGAGCCAAAAAATTGCCAGCAGCACCTAGGAGAAGGCAATCTGAATGCGATTCGTTGCGAAAGAGACAGCCTGTCTCACCGCAGATTACGAAGTCGATTCTGCCGAAAGTATCTATGGTCTGTTTAACTGCAGCATGAAGTGCCTTTGGGTCTCTAACGTCGGCTTGCACTGGTATACACTTTGAGCCAGTTGCCTCTGCCAATTCCTTGGCTGTTTGCGTCAAGCGGTCAATTCTGAGTGCCGAGTTAATTTACAGAGAGATCAACTTGGGTGTATCAAACTCACTTCCGTCCAATGATAGCCGCACTGGCTCCGTGTCGCATCTGTGTGCGTGAGCGTCCGGTCACGGTGAGGCTGGTTGCGAAGCGTAAGGTCGGGCGTACCACAGCTTCTGTCATCCCCCGACAAATACCGGAACCCCCACCCGTGCAAAAGAGCACCTTGCCCTTGAATATATCTGGCTTGAAGATTGCAGTGGAATCTACTATTGGCGTAACATAACTTGTGGGTGCCATTTCGAACGGTACAGAAGTTCAAGCGGTCAGAAAGGTCAGTTAAAGTAGCCGACCGGGACTCGGTCAGCACTCGGGGACGGCTCGTGGCAAACCCGGCAGCCGGCTTAGGGGTCGGTCCCCTGCGTGCAACAAGCATAGAGGGAAACAACACGCATTCCCGACTATGATACAGTCACCAGTGCAATAAAGCTTAGGCCCTTCAACGTGTCTTCTATCCAAGTTCAACCCTTCCCGTCGCACCTCACTGTTGAAGATACCCGCCCAAAGGTTTCTTGGTCACTCCATAGAAATAGAAAGGACTTCCTGCGTGCTTTAGGTGTCAATTTACCTTTAAACCTTGATACTGAAAGTGGTGGTCTAGCTGGTACGTGATTTTCAATGGCACGCAGGTATTATGTACATATCAAGCAACCTTTTGGTTTTCACTGCTGATATTTCCAGGGATTCATTCGAAGCTCGTTCCTCCGCTAGTTCTAGCCTGATCTTTGCCTTGCGAAGTTCGGGCACGCGTTCATGGGACGTTCAAGGGAGTTCCGAGGAAGGTTGCCGTTATTGCATTCTTCAATTGCGTCAGCTCAGCCAATGGTATTCCTCCGTATACCGTGTCCGGCCTGCGCAACGAAGTGTTTCGTGATTTAATGCATGAGAGGCATTCATTGTTCTCACACTAAGTAATAAGGTGACGCAGCATCACAGAGCGACGTGCCGTGGTCATCAAGTAGCCACAGTCTTTAATGCAGATTGATGTTCGTATCCTCTGCATCAACCTCCACCCATAAGATTTCCAATACTCAGATCATGGACAGCACGCCGTTGTTTCACGGACGTTCATTTTTTCTTCCAATACTGTATTATTAGCTTCTCGGCCAAGTTCTCGGCATGTGCAAAGTGCTTTCTGGTGCTTTTACCTGCCAATGCGTCAATCAAGTAACCTGTTTCGCCGGTGCCGCGTTTCAAAATCCGCGATTGCGTGCTGAGTGGCTCTCCGAACTCAATCGGGCAAGTGAAGAGCCAATAATCTGCACGGGTCCGGACACGGACGCACTTTTTACTAAGGGAATTGAATTGAATACAAATACAAGGTGCTGATGATGCTACCGCCGGCACAAAGGTAGCCGGTGTCGATCATCCGTATCGATAACTTATCTTGGCAAGATCTTGCTAGCCGCGGGATCAAAATAGACGAAATGATAATTCCAACAGCGTCGGCCGCCGTGCTTGAGCTGGATCCAGTGAAGAAGTAAATCGGTGGCGGTGACCTCTTGGGGGGCAGCCAGGGTAGCAAATGTATGAGGTCCCTGGGTGGATCTAACTCTCAGGAAAGGTAGTGTTACTGGGGACGGTAAACCATTTATTTCACTACGTCCGAATATATCTATCTACATTAACGAGGCGAATGTACAGCAAAACTACGTCGGATGTGATAAACAGCAAGTGCAAATAATAACTAAGCGGTATGTTAAATTAATGGCACACATGAATCGGAAGTTGGCTCTATGGTATTGCTACAGAGTGCGTATGGATGAAAATGACACAAGAAACCACGTATAATAACCCAGGAAGCCTGCGGAGAGGAAATTTACGGGACGATGCAGGGTGAATATCTATATACAAGCACAGCGACAGGCTGTGATTTATGATTCCCTCGGCCAAAACGGAGTTCTGGATGTTGCTGGAGAGGAGGACGGCTGGTAGGGTTGATGATGGGAGAGTGAGTGAGTGTCGGTCAACTGCGGAAGGGGAGGATGTCCCCTCTGCATTGCTCGCTGATATGGATGATTGTCTTGCGTTGAGATGGATGAGTAAGATCCCATCGACGACCCGTGCATATTGGATGATCCCGTATAGCTTCGGTTGCCATACCCGGAATCAGGCCTAGTGTTTGGCATGGCAGCGCTGGCGTGACTCATATGGGAGGTGTTACCTCCACCCGCCGCAGCTGTGGTGTTATAGGGTGATGGGGAGCTGGAATGGGGAGATCCAGACGAGGTTGTGCCCGCATAGTTCCCTTGCGGTTGAGTGACCGGAAAGAACGGCGAACTTAGCGTCGGCAACAAATTTTGAGCGTTTTGGTGTGGCATATCGCCAGGACTAGCGCTAGGCGACTGAGGTGGCCAACCTACTTGCGTAGTTGTCGGCGAGTATGTATGGAGCTTCGGCCCTGGATGGGAAGAGAGTTGCCGCTCCATACCGCCGCCCGACCAGTTGTTCGAGTTGGCTCGTCCGCTCGGTCCAGTGTCCCAGGCGGCGTTGGTGTGGCTGGGTTGCTCTGACATATATGGATACGGCTGCGGGTGGTATGTGGGCGTATAATAGGCAAGGGAGGGCGGTAGTCGGCTGACATTCATGGAATTATTGGATGGGATCGGGTCCTGAGATGAGCGCCTCTGACCAACATCGTAGCCTGAGCGATTGTCGTTGTGGGAGAAGGACTCCTCCGCGGGGGAATACATATATGATGGGTTGGGCGTTTCAACGGGCGAACTAAATCCACTAGCCTCGTTGAAAGGAGTAGACGAGTGGGCGGAAACACGAGGATGTGATGGATCGGCGCTATAACACGAGGGAACTTCGCTTTCTACGGGGGATGGCTCGCCGTACTCCCCACCAGGGGGGTGCTCGTCTCCTTGGTCAGACACTGCTGTAGGGTCGACCAGATGGCTACCAGAGTCAGCCCTGCGCTTCTTGCGTGTGTTATTGGGACGTCGACGATATACATAGTCGGGGTACTTGTTATTGAAGTTGTCCTTCAGGATTTTGGCTTGTTCCAGGTAGAACTGCTTTTCGGTCTATCAAAATGTGCATCAGAGGTCATACGAGGATGTATGGAGATAGAGAATTGACCGTTCCCATTGAGTTCCACTCTTTACTCAATATTTTACTGATTTCTCCAGTGCGCATGGACTGATTTTCTGCTGATACTTGGGGCCGCCGCCTACGAGCGAAGATCATGAAAGCGTTCATTGGACGCTTCGGTGTGCCATCAGTGTTTAGTGTTTGCGAAGTCAACGAATTGGAGTCGTCTACAGTTCCAAACATAAGAGCCCGGAGCGACGGGCTGTTGAATTAGCGCTCACCATCCAATTCGACCTCTCCCCTTGGTGGATCAACATACGCCCCGTACGCCCCGCCGTCATCTGAGCCCGACTGAGAGCCATGTTCTTCATGATGCATAGTGATTGAGTGCTGTGGATATACACTGGCGGCGTCCGGGTGTACAGGGTGGGGTGTATATGTACCGTTGAAGCGACTCATATGAAAGCGTAGCGGGGGGACTTGACGAGGAAACAGTGGGCTTTCAAGACCTGAGTAGTGGGGGGTTAAGATCAGGACGTAACTGAGAAATATGGGTTGTTGAAGAGGGAGATCGGGAGTTTGAAGGACTGAGATGGATCGCTATAAGGTTGACGGGCGGAAAGCGATGCGGGAGAGATGTTGTAGGGAGGAGCTGCTGTTCGCTAGCATGAAGCAGGCAGCGTGCTTCTGCGTTGTTGTAGTACTGTTAAAGGTCGTTGACGTATTATCCCAGGAAATTCGTTCCAATCCAGTTTGATCATGAACGAATCTGGTTCGCGGAGCTCATGATCGCTCCTGACATGGACACCGCTTGACAACCCTTGAGACTCCTTTGGAACGCAAACATTAGGGTTCTATCAAGGCACGGTCAGCGGATTCCCCGCCTTGGTCTTCGCTTTTAGACACGAATTTTGCAATTTTTGTTATTTCTGATTTGACCGGAACTACGGTTTCATACCTCTTTCGGCTAGGTCCGAGGGCGCTTACCCTCCGCAGAATCAGCCTGAATCAGTTGACCTCTGATGTTTCACCAAAGGCTGTGCTCACCGTGACCACTCGACTCCATCTATCCCGGGAATGAAGCCCTCCAAATTTTCTTCCGAGGTCGCTGTCGACCCCACGGTTCGCGTGCTTTTGTGGCCCAGAGCGTGCATTTATTTACCATCTGCCACGCATGTCCGCAAGTTTAGCCTTTTCACATCCAAGAACTATAGATCAACCGAGCTCGGATCTCCTGAGTCCTCTGGACTAACAACGAACCAGGAAGAAGCGGAGTTGTAGTCATCGGAGGTTCAAATTTTTGGGAGACGCGGCAGCGGTAAATTCGTGTTAATATTCTGCAGAGTTCCAGGCAAAGCGGTTTGCGTACCGCGAGGCCAGCCTAAGTCGAGACTGGTTCGAATAATTTCTCGTCGACAAGATTTCACAGATTGGAGGCGCCATAATCGTGATTTGCCAGGCTTATGACCGTGGGATGCACCCTACAATAAGCTTTCTGGATCGGGTTTAGATGGCTGTGGTATTACGGTCCCGAAGAGGAGACGTCGGTCGGTACGCGCTCGAGTTTCTTGTTTGACTCAGCTCCCAGTTTGGGTCGTCTTGCCATCGCAGACCAAATTCATGCACCACGTTTTCATAGGTTTCACCTGTGGTATATCTATACTCCAAACAAAGAGTCAAGGGAGCCATCAAGGTACGGGCGCTTGGGCCCGCACGGAATACGACGACGGGGACTGACACAAAGTCGGGCAAAGCTCTGATTGTGAGTTCATCGGTGTGATCGTTTTTGGTATCCTAGCTGGCATTTCTAGTACCTTGGTGATTGACAAGCTGAAGACTGGCCGATCAGCCCAGCAGTTGGATACCCGTACATGGATCACTGGTACCATGTCCGCGCCTCTCCCCTGTCAAACAACGAGAGGTAACATCGGAAATTGACATCATCAGCCCATCAAGCAGCAACCTTTTCCAACAGCAGCGAAGACTTTTTGACCGGAAGTTCCTTGACCTAGCACGAACCTGGAAGGCTAAAGAAGGGTAAGCATGGAGGGTGACCAGATAAACCAATTTGCGAAGCCTTACGTACAGTGGCACGGTTAGGGTGGAACCTCACTTACCAATCATACATTGCAGCCGAAAGTGCCTAAACATCCGAAGAAGAATGACAGCACACATGCTCCCCCGGAGTCTCCTGAGAACGGTTCCAGAACGCATCATGAAAATAGCACGGGGAATTATGATGCTTATTTATCGATGTGTTCGCGTGACGCACAGTACGCTAACTGGCTGGCCAGCTGTCTTATACTATGGTGAGAATACTTCAGTGAGAATCAAGGAAAGTCATTCTGAGCTCTTGAAAGTCTTGGCTGCCAACGTTTGCGACTCGCAGACCCTTCAGGCTGAGTTGAGGACAGCGATCTAGCCCGTACGGGATAATGGGCAAGCAACTTACGTTACTCTAGGCGGTCCTGTTGCGAGACGTGGTGACGAAATCCCGTATGGAACGGAGTCCGGCTAGGCAGTGGATACAGCGACAGCGACGATAATGTAACTCAAAGTTTTCGACAAAATCGCACTGCACGAGCGGCCCTTATGTCTTCGTCTGCTACACGCATCAGCGCTGGTACCTATCGTAAATACGGCGAAGGGATGGGGAGGCCAATCACACCTGCCGTAAGTCCAAGCCAGAGGCTTTCTTTTGTTTGTCCTGCAGCTATTTTGCCTTTTTCGATGAATTTTCAGACCAATGTCGTCGATAAATCGGGTGTAGAATCTCACAACAGCTTTTCCTACGGTGTACGAACCCTGGACCTTTTGAGGCTTAGGCTGGATGAGAGGCGCACACGGTCTGCTGACCATCGGGGCGCGACGGGCATTGTGGGCGACATGCGGAGAAGACGCGAACGACGTGGTGGTCGCCTCATACTGCCAGTGCTGCTGCTGTAGCTCAAGTGTACGTTGTTGCCGAGGCGTCCAGGTCAATGCCGCCCAGGATTTGAAACCCCGCGAGCGAGCCCGAAGCATGGCACAGTTCTCGACCCTGTGGTCAGCGCTCTGCGGTCACGACGCCAAAGGATTCTTGATTTCAGACGCTCACCATGAAGGACACTCTTACAGACGCCAGTACGTCGGACACATCACATATCACTGTCACTTTCAAATTGTCTGATCATCATTGCGAATAGATTTCCCCCGTACTGCGGATCACCGAGTATATCACCTTGGTCTTCGGCCAGGCGAAGTCGCCAATCGCATCGTAAGTTGATGATAGAGATCAAGAAGATCGTGTCTCGAATCATGGCCTTACTAGGTTACGGTTGGCTCCCCATCTCGCGCTGAGACTATCGCGAAGTTACTCGATGAGTCTCCACAGCCATTCAGATTATCCTCCGAGCGCGGATTTTTGACCATCACTGGCCGATACAAAGGCGCACCAGTATCTATCGTAAGCATCGGGATGGGTAGTCCGAATATGGACTTCTTTGTACGAGAAGTTCGGGAATGCATCAGTGGCGACATGGCTGTGATCAGGTAAGGGCGCGCGTTAAAGTTTGCCAATGTTACATCTGATGTACATAATCTCCACAGACTTGGATCTTGCGGCGCGCTCATTAATGTCCCTGTGGGCTCCGTTGTTGTACCTAAGGCCAGCGTCGCGGTGTCCCGCAACGTCGACTTCAATTTTAGCGATCCAGACAGTTGCACGGATCCAGCGTATCGCATCAGTAAACCCGTGAATTCAAGTCATCGTGTTTCTTACTTTCGTCGAGTCTCATCGGTCTGCCCTTTCGTCAGGTCGCTGCCGATCCGGATCTCCACCGCGAGGTATAAACATGGTTTTGTTTGTTCATTTGTGGATAGCATAAATGATGTGAGGCAACTAGGTTCATAAGGCTCTGGAAGCGGCTCGTCCAGCTGGTTCAGACACTAGCATTGTCACGGGTACTGTGAATGCTTCCGCAGATAGGTTAGCATGCTCGCGGCAATTCCCTCTTCGTGACGCGGAGGATTGACGTTAATCTACTACCCGCTAGCTTCTATTCGTCGCAGGGAAGACAGACCTCGTTTCCGGATCACAATGAGAACTTGATAGAACAACTATCGGCTTCGTCGAAGGACCTAGCGACGCTGGAGGTGATTACCCGGTCCTATATTTCTCACTTACCCGCTCATTCATGCCCATGACTTGATCTTAATTTCCCTCCACACGTACACAATGATCAGATGGAAACGTTCCACCTTTTCCATTTGGCCGCATGCTGGGGACGACATACACCCGCAGGGAAGCCTACTCCAGCCCCGCTTACCACCAACCCAGTCTCCCCCACAGTTCATCAATCGGCGTCTTCGAACCAGCCCATTTCACAAGTATTGGCTGATTCCGACACAGTGATCAAAGCAGCCGCAGCCCAACTCGTCTTCGCTTCGCGCACCTCGCAGGCTTTTATCACTCCTGAACAAGTTGCGGAACTCGAGGCATGGTCAGCCAAAGGCGTCCTCGAAGCACTCAAGAATACTCCCATGGAAAACAATGTGAGCAATCAAATATTTCCGCTTTCGGGGGTTTTGAAGACATGCCTAACGACCGTCACAGAGGCTCCACCTGGAGGAAGGCAGCGTCTGGGAGTATCCAACGAGTTAGACTAAAGGTGTCCTTGACACACACACGAGGATATTTATGGATATCTAATCGTTCATACGACGCCCTTGCCGAAACTTGAATGAAGTGCAATGTAATAAGCAGTCACTTGTATATAGCGAATGTTGAGCTCGTATTAAAGTTAGATGTGTTATCAAGAAGACGTAGGCTTTCTTTCCGTATTTTCTTTCCACGCTACTTCTAAAACCCCCAGTTCCTCAAGCGACAACGCTTCCTCCTCCTTCACAGCTTCGCAGCCCTCGATCCGAACATGGATGACATTGGCAGTGGGAGTTGGGACCCCGATAAAGGGTACGCCATGGTCCATGTGGGTCACGGATGACGGTTCGAGGTCTATCTTGGCCTGATCCTGGCGTGGCCCCCCGTGCTGCCGGGAACGAGGCTTCCTCAACGGTTTAATGACCCTCAAAAGTTGGGCATTCTTTTCCTTCCTTGACAAGGCCCGCGAAGAGATATCATCGTCCTGTTCTTGTCCGGGCATTGCCTCATATTGTTTGTTTCGCGCCGTTATGGCAGCACGGAGGTCCTCGATCTCCAAGTCGTTACACCTCCAAAAAGCCAGGATTTCTAATCTGGGACAGACTTTGACCCTGGGACTTCCCGTAGACATGATGCCCTTGCCGGGACCGTCCTTTGCAAACGTGGTGATAACCGTGAGGTCCGCAAGACAACCTAATATCACCCCAACACCGACGCAGGTATCCAAACCCAGATAGGTCAGGGCAGGCAAATAGCCGAGCATCGCTTGAACTGCCGTCCTCTGCGAGGTCGTTATTTCATAGCGTGACAGCGTGAGATGCGTAAGGTGTGGTAGACGAGGGTCTCGAAAGATTTGCTCGAGTCGCGGCACAGCGCCATGGATAGGACACAGACCAGTATTGATAAGATCCAACTTCTGTAGATGGGGAAAGGCGTAGCATCGTAGTGAGGACTCGTGTTTGTTGTTATCGAAGTCGCATTCGAACTGGATGTAGAGCTCTTTGAGGCACTTGAAGATTATTATGCCCTCTGCGCCCAATCTAACTCCATGGTCGCTTATTTTGTCTACGCAGATGTCGATTATCTCCAGGGACGGGAAGTGGAGAAGACGAAACAATTTGTGCAGGTCTGTGTAGGAGAGCTGGCCGTTCCATTCGATATGCTTCAACGAAGGGGATTCTACGGGTTCTAAAGAAGTCGGAATGTCGTCCTCTCCCGGGAATAAGATATGGATTTGCGTAAGGACTAACACCTCCAGTTGTCTGGCTGTCGAGATGAAGGACCGCAAAACAGACAGGTGAATGGGGGGACGCGCTGATCCGGTCGAGTTTAGTTCTACAAAACGAAGATTCGTAAAGAGGAATGACGAGAGAAAGGAAAGGGGGATATGATCCAAGTGGAGTTCTTCCAGGGAACAGGTCCATTCTTTGTCGGAACTGAAAGGTAAGAGGACTTTGCGCCGCGCGCGCTCTTCCTGTCGTGCATGATTAGCAATCTGAGCAGCTCCGCAAGAGATATGGAGGCGTCGGATGGCCAATAATGCGGCGGGCCGGTTGACAAGGGTGATGATGAGAGGAAGGTTTCTAGAGTCCAGTGTTTTCCAGGTCAATGAATTCAAACTGGGGGAGTATGTATCCACTATGTCCAAGATGAGATCCTCGACGGAGTCGTCTCGCGGGCCACCCTTGGAGCATTGGTATGTGATCTCGACAGGCGGCTGCCCAGCTAAACGATGTAGAAAAAGGTCGGCGATTTTCAGGCTTGATTTCGTACACTCGAACTGTAACCGGGTCCATAGACCTGTCGTTGCCAAGCAGAGTCGCCGCCAGAGACCACAGACCTGCGAGACAGACAGGGCGACACCTTGGTAAGTCGGTTGCCTGGTATTGATAGTATCAGTCACCACACAAATGTCGAATATATGGAGCAATAGCTCGCTCGGGAGTCTATTTATGGAACATTCGAGTGCTTTAAGCTTCTTCAACTGTGCTTCGAGGGAGGCTGATTTGGCTTGGACATCGGTGCGCATGGCTTCCATTTGGCCAATGAGAGTAGTCAGGTCGCGGTCGCGTTCTCGAAGGCTTTCTAGTTGAGTTATGATGATGGATTCTTCTGCCTTGATTTCGGCCAGACGGGAGGGACTCAACATGGAGAATTGTGGAACTAGGCATTAATTAAGTATCACATTATTGAAGCAGTTAGCAATCATGTACCCACTTGAAAGCGGCTATAGCATAGATGTTGAGCAGTGAGACACGCTGACCGCACCTCCGAATATTACTAGGGTTTCTGCTGGGAAATCAACAGGGAAATCAGGTTTCTGTGGCCACGTACGGGAACGGAATTCTTCGATTCCCTAAGAACTGTAACGTCAGTAGTTATTTCTAACCAACGCAATTTAATTTATCTTACCAGACTCTTTCTGACGACAAAGACTTTATCGTCTCATTGTTCCTGGCGTACAATCGGACGACTCCGGCAATGAGCTGAGCTCGAAGAGTCTGAACTCCGAAACGTCGTGGTGTTCGCAAGTACTGCACTTACTTCTACACAACCATAACACGGCCGTGTGGGGCCCGGGCGAAGACAGCCCTAACTATTCCCTGCCTTGATGCCCGTCAAAGTCGAGGGGCATGGGGCCAAGATGTATCCCCAAGGGGTTCCTTTCAACGTCACCGCTTATCTCGCCTTCCCTCGCCCTTCAGCCTGAAGTCACCCTCGGAGGTCAGTTACATACTGAGTACTACAGACTTGCTCATGCCATGGTGTAGGATGCCCGGCCTGAACCCTTCGTGCCTTTCTACTCGGATGTAATTGCTGCAGGGACATTTCCAATGTGTTTACTTGTTTCTCAATAAATAGATGAGACTTCGAAGGTCTACGCGACATACACCATGTGGAGCCCCTCTGTAAAGAAGCAAAAGTTATCACACCCCGACGATATTCAGGTGACCAGCCGTAGTGTACAAGAAGTGGCCGTATACACGGAGAGCACTAGCCTGTTCATCATGCTTCCCTTGGCCGCTTTTTTGACGGTTTTGGTGCTTGGGGCATTTGCAAGGAAACCTTCAGTTCTGCAAAGGCAGCTACTTCCCGATCCTTCAAACCAAAGCCCATCGGAAACGAATGGTTTCAACGTTTCGCAATGCCCTGGTGCGTAGCTTAGCTGGTGGACGGATCGAGTCCAAGCTGATAAACAAAAACTCGAAGGTTATAATCTCCATCAACTAAAGGAAAGTGACTTTGGATTCACAGCCCAACTTTCCCTCGCTGATCCGGCATGCAACGCATTTGGACGTGACGTTGTCAACCTGACAATCCAAGTCACCCATGAGTCGAGAACTAGGTGAGCTCCGTTGTTACGACTCGGGAAATTAACTAATGTTCAACAGGCTTCATGTGAACATCTTCGACACCGATGGTTTGCAGTATGTAGTTCCTGAGACGGTTGTCTCTCGCCCACGTGGCCATTCTCCACCAGACTCTTCCGACTTGGTTTTTAACTATGATGCCTCTCCTTTCGCGTTCTGGATTACGCGACGATCCCAACCTGGAGCCACACCTCTATTCGATACCAGGATCTCCTCGCTTCCAAAGGCTCCAATAGCCCCCGTTATCCCTGCTGATAACAGCACAGCCCTAGACGGGTTTCCCCTCGTGTTCGAAGACCAATATCTTCAAGTTCGTATCTAGAAGCATTCAGTTAGCCCTACCAATTACTGATTATCGCGTACAGCTGACATCAGCGTTGCCACTTGATGCTAATATCTATGGCCTGGGTGAGGTGGTAGCCCGCAGTGGTTTTAGGAGAGATGTGGGTGGGCATAGTGGCCCCGGCACCGTCCAAACGATGTGGGCAAGAGACATTGCGGATCCTATTGACGAAAACATGTATGTTGTTCGGTCAGTGATGTTGCTCAAGTCCTCGACTTACCGAAACAATCCAGCTACGGATCGCATCCAGTGTACCTGGAACACCGGTTCAATGCCACGACAAAGAAGTCCAACTCGCACGGTGTATTCCTTCTAAGGTGATTCCATCCCTCCAAGTCCTTACAATAGTTCATGACTGAATTCTATGTACCTCAAGTGCCGCAGGAGCAGATATCCTTCTATTGACGCCTCCAGGCTCTGCCGTGTCTTTAGTAGAGTATAGGATGATCGGAGGAGTGCTTGACTTCTACTTCTTCTCCGGTCCAACACCTCAGGATGTCATTGAACAATACGGAGTATTAGTCGGGTTGCCCACTTGGCAGCCCATTTGGGGATTTGGATTCCATTTGTGCAGGTCTAGTCGCCTTTCGACCTTGACAATATAGACCACTCAACCTTATTCTAGATGGGGCTATCGAAATATTGATGAAACACGTCAACAAGTTTTAGCTATGAAAGCCGCCAACATTCCGCTAGAAGGTGAGTCTGGCTTGTCCTGACATACAACGATTAGACTGATCCGGGTGTGGCATAGTCATGTGGAACGACATTGATCTCTATCATGCCGTTAGAGACTTTACAGCTGATCCCGTCTCGTTCCCCGCAGACGATGTCAGAGCTTTTATTCTTGAATTGGTACAGTCTCCTCCACAAGACATTTCTATCATTTATCTAATAACCATTGACCTAGGCGGCTAATCATCAAAAATGTGAGTGCCTAGTTCGTTCGAGTAATTGAACTTGGCTTAATTAAGCCTCCTATGAAAACTAGATATTCCAATTGTTGATGCTGCTATACCGAAACAGGTCAATGAGACTGATCTCGTGAGTTTTCATCCGAGACGGATGTATCTGCTTATTAACCCCGAAAAACAGTACGATCCCTACACGCAAGGAACAATTGAGTAAGATGATGTTGCCAGTTTGCTGCCACACCGTTGCCACGCCATCTGATCCTATCTAACAGGAAAGTCTTCATCACTAATCCTGATGGGTCAGAATACGTTGGCCAGGTCTGGCCTGGCTACACTGTACGCCTCCTGTTTCCTTGTATCAGACCAATCTGTTTGACGTTGGCTACAGGTCTTTCCGGATTGGTTCGCAAACAATACAGAGAAGTGGTGGACAGATGCTCTTCGGAATTGGACTGCTTTAGGGGTGCAGTTTGCCGGGATATGGTTGGATATGAACGAGGCAAGCTCTTTCTGCGATGGCTCATGGTAAATCCCCGCGTTCAACTTCTTGCAAAATTCTCCGACTTACATTACCCCTATAGTGGCAGTAACACCAATATCAGCAACACATCTGTGCCTTTCCTCCTTCCTGGGCAGCCTGGCAATCTAATCGTAGATTACCCAGAGTGGTGAGACGGTATTCTTTGCGTCGGTTACCCTGATTAAGATTTTACACAGTTACAATTCATCCCTCTTTGGACCGAGTGGTAACATGACTGTCGATGGTCGATCAACGTGCACCCCAGCTGTTGAACTCGAACGGCGTAGCTTTGATGCTGGCCCCGAAAGCGGAATCAACGTCAACACGCCGCCATACACTATCCACAATGGTATACCTCTTAGAACCACGTCAATGCGATGCATTAACACAGGAAACCATAGGGTTCGGGCGCCTCTCTGAACATGCACTAGCGACTAATGCCACACATGCCGATGGCTCGGGCGAGATAGACGTGCACAACCTGTGGGGTCTGATGGAAGAAATCGCTACTCACCGTGCCCTGTTGGAGCTCCACCCAGATCAACGTCCTTTCATCATCTCTCGCTCCACATTCGCTTCTGCTGGCAAGTGGACTGGGCATTGGGTATGATTTCATTCCTCTGGGTTTCAACTGCCTTGCTCTGACGTGCCCCGTAAAATAGCTAGGCGACAACTTCAGTAAGTGGCAATACATGCATTTCAGCATTCAAGGTGTATTGCAATTCCAATTGTTTCAAATACCTTTCGTCGGGGCAGACACTTGTGGATTCAGTGGGTGATCTGCATCTGACTTGGCATGTACACACGCTGACGCCGCCAAAAGACGGGAACTCGGACGAGGAACTCTGTAACCGTTGGATGCAACTGGCCGCTTTCACCCCTTTCTATCGAAACCATAATATCCTGGGCGCCATACCCCAGGAACCATATAGATGGGATAGCGTAGCCAATGCTTCTCGCACAGCCATCGCCGCTCGATATTCGCTTCTGCCTTACTGGGTATGAAACACGATTGACACTCAACGTTCAACTTCAAAACTCATAATTCTATTTAGTATTCTCTGTTTGCCAATTCTTCAATGGCTGGAACGCCTCCTGTCCGCGCCCTTTTCTTCGAGTTCCCTGATGAGCCAAAGTTGTTCGGCTTGGACCGACAATTCTTGGTAGGAAGAGACATCCTGGTCACCCCTGTTCTCACCCCTAATTCTACAACTGTCGAGGGTGAGCATATGCACTTGCCAGCAATTTTCGCTGTCGCTTTAATCATCGCGTGCCTTGTAGCTATACTCCCCGGTCAAGGCTCTGTCATTTGGCGCGACTGGTGGACGCACGAAGTGGTGGACGGCACAGATTCTGGCGACGTGACTCTTCCAGCGCCTCTTGGCCATATCAATGTCCATGTCCGGGATGGATCCGCCATCCTTCTTCATGCTCAGCCCGGTTACACAATCGAAGAAACCCGACAGGGCCCTTACTCTCTTCTTGTCTCACTCACCCGGAACGGTGACGCAATCGGACATGCTTACGTTGATGACGGGGTCAGTATTCCACCGACAAGCAACAGGATCCTTAACTTTATGGCAAGCCGTGCCAGCCTGGCCATTAGCAGCAGAGGGAGGTTTGACATCAAGCAGCGGATGCACGAGATTACAATCTTGGGAGTTCACACAAAACCTCAGCGTGTGACTGTACAAGGCCGAGACACGACTTGGCACTACGTACCGACGACGGAGAAGCTGGTCATCAATCAGATTGACCTTGACTTGAACCAGGAAGCGCGGATTTTGTGGGGGTGAGATTGATCGGAGAGCGATTTAATCAGGAAACCGCTTCAAGTTATAGGTTAGCATCACATTGAGATATGTAGTACGCAGGCATTCCTATAGATTGCGTTTCTTACTAATTGGCCGTGTTCCACTCATTGGTCGTCCCCGTTAACATTCCTTTAGTGGACCAACTTTCGGCCCGCTGCCAGTCCCGAGGCTGTATTCTAGACTACACGAAGCTATTACTTCCCCACTCACTTCGATCTCCCTGCTTGATGCCTCTACCCGCTAGCAGGCAAAGCCACTGGCCCACGTTCAAGTGATTGTCCTCATCATATGATCTGCTACCACTGGGGCCGTCTATGATCAATTATGCCGTTAAGTGCCTATCGCCTTCGTATATAATAACTGCCTATCTTTTGCGTCCATGACCCTACATCATCCATTGAGAAGGATGTGTCCTTTTCCGAGGAAAATGAGGCTTCCTGTCGTGGTTTCAAGCTCTTGCAAGTATCTTCCTTCGCAGTTATCGAAAATTCATTTGATATCAAGACGAACAAGTTGGTTAGTTGAACGTAGCTAATGCATCCCTATTATTGCTCGCTATTCGCCTCTGTTTTGATGAGTAGGAAATCACAGACGCTGAACTTCCCGCGCAGCTCAGAACTTCTTGAGTATTGTTTATTTTCCCATTCTTCTATAGGTACAAGGTCTCTCACCCACCCCCTTTCCTTTGAGCTCGCTGACGAGCCAAAATTGTACGGCTGAATCTCCAATTCTTCCGCTTCTGGTCACCCCTGACGCTGTGCTAGTACGATAGTATGTATACTCCGAAAGCTACTGTAATCAAGGGTGCGTTGCCTGGCGTGAACATTCGGACAGTGGATAACATACACCAGTGAGGAGCGGTGGTACATACTTAGGTGGTCAGTCCATCTCCGGGATGGATCCACCCTTATTCACGCTCAGCCCGAATACACAATCGAAGGGACTTCTCTTCTTGCTCGGAACGGTGGCGCATTCGGCCCCACTTATACCGATGCGACGTCAGTAATCCGTCACGAGCTACAGGCAAGAGTCGTGAATTCATGTTTACTATTGTATTGAAGTAGCACTAAAATAAGTGAGCAATCGTCGCCTTCTCAAGAGTGCTGAACCCTTCACATGTACTTCAATTGACGGGCTTTGTGCAGAGAAGGATAGAACTCACTGGATGAACCATCGCTGATCACTGGCGACACAATTGCCACCATGGGCATTCTGCGTCGCTTGACAGTTGGGAGCGACGAAGTCGATAACGTCGGCCTGTGTGGTGCTGAGTAACCGATGCGAGCACTACATATTCTTGATGCTTACCCAGTCCAAACGGCAGTAAGTTAAGGAGACGAAGTCCTGGTTGCGGAAGAACGAGAGGCAACTTCTGAATTGCATAGTGATGGTATTGTTTGACTAAGCAAGATCAACTATTAGCACAATATTTGCGATTGCAAGTAATCGAACATGAACGTACCCCGGTGCCAATCTGGAAGAGGGCACCTAGAATAGTTTGAGGTTAGTTCGATATGCCCACGGGTTACTTCGTGAGTGATTATACCTGTGTTTTCAGATTCGAATCGCAGGGCGTCTGCGATGATATGGCACTCGTTCGGGTCTGGACCACCCCCTGCAGGCAAGAAGCAGTTGGTGTTGCCTGTAAAAATTGTATCAATCTGTGATCCATCCTAGAGGCAAAATTGCAGTCGCTTACATGTTGCACCGCATACATTCGCCTGCCTTACTTTGAGGTCGCGCGCGACACGAGGTTGTTTGTCTGCGGGGCAATATAATTGATTGACTTGAACGTTTTTATTCTCTCCTATAAAGGACGTAGAGAGCACAGTTCCTCCGGGGCATAGAGTAGCTGTGGCGTCTGTGGTGGAGCTGTCAGCGCACTGATGTAATATACGTCGGGAATTTTACTTACCATCGACTAGAGTCGGGCTAGCTAAAACCGACAGTGCGAGAGCTGGCAGAAGTGTTAGAACAAAAGAAATCCTCATGGTAGCTTCGGATACTTGATCTAGCTTCAAGGCCACAGCTAATTTATAGCTATCAGGGAACAAAGATACACCTAATATACATCATGTGGCCGCGAGGGTTCTTCAAGACGGGCATCTCCCACCGTAAGAGGGACAGAACCACGCCTAATCACATCGAAGCGATGACCCAGAATAGAGATGGAAGGCCTTGTGAGGCCTATATGAATTCAACCCCACGCCGACTCCCACAGAATAAGTTGGGTCCAGGATCCGATCGATTTTTTCATCCACATCAGCACATGAGAACGTCGGGGTCGGTGATCCATGAGCACATAGTGGAACGCCCCGTCTCATCACCCTTGTCTACGACCTCGCAAGGCGGCCAAGCATGTCCGCCTCAAAGTGCGTAACGGTTTGCGCCTGTCGAACGTCCCCCGTCGCGTATGTTTGTCGTGGATTACTCGGAACAACATACATTGATACTGATCACCCCCTGTATCCATTTGAACCAGGACCACGTGATGCGACATCCCCTCCCATCCACTGGCAGCTATAGTCAAATGTAACAACGAAATTCCTTGTGACTAAATAATACCCTCAGGTCGACATGCTGCCTGCAGGCCCGATTCCCATGCCGTTGGATAGCTACCACCAGTCGAATCACTTCTTTTTCCCTCCTGAGAGTGTCACTGACATAGACCATCACTAGAACTATTTAATCCGCGCCAACGTAGATTTATCAAGATGTTACATTAGTTAGTTCGCTCTAGGTGGGAGTGCTTACGGCGTCACTTGGTGCAGCACTCCTGTAAAGCTTGAAAATTTCCCCTCAAACGCTGCGTAATCATCAAAGCAAGTAAGTATCATTACATCAAACACTACCCAAATACTCATTGGAATCGCACTAGGAGACCGTCATGAGTTTATTTGGAATTGCTGTGTAACTATTTGATCGACGCTACTGAAATCAATCGTTTTGGGTACCGCTCTGAAATGTAGTACGTTCTACCGCAGGTAGAACGTACTACATGAGCCTCGGTGTCGTGTTTCTGGTCTTTAGGCCTGTTATAAGTCCATCTGGTGTTTGGTATGAATGCGCTACGTGATGGAAGCCATCCTCTCGACAACGTGACACACCAAGCTCGCATTGACAATAGTCAGCTTAATTTCAACGGTGCGTGTCCTTGGCTTCTCACTTGTATATTGGCTTACACCCCGTTTCTGGGCATTCTCTACATAGGAGCGAGCTGAAGCATGATGACCCGAACGATTGATCCCCGAATCCGATCTCAATATCGATTACCCCAATACGCCTATCGCAAACCAACCCTCGCGGTTTTTCAGTGTACTCCGCGCGTTATAAGCTTACCGACCGAATACCTCCCTCTCCCCTAAAATTTCAACCGAAAACTCCGTTAACACGGCTTGGCCCACGAGATGCTTTACCATAAGCAACGGTGCTATCCTGAGCTTATGGATGCAAAAGGTGCACTGACTGCAAAAGCTCGTCTGATCCTCAGATTCGCAACTAAACACCGTGCGATGTGTTCGATGCCACGTCCCACGTAATTCATCACGTACGACCTTCCCCCTCAGGCGTCATCCAGTCGCCATTAGGCCGTATTCATACGATGAAATGCACAGCGGCAAAGCATCGGCACTGCATCACTCCTAACGACCTCCCCGCCAGCACGCCTCCGTGAACCGAGCAGCCAAAAACCACAACATCTCAGTGACTTGTAAGGACGTTCATCCCAGGATTTGCGGGATACACGTACGGGCGAGTCAGTCATTTGAATCAATAGGCTCTCAGGTCTTCAGCCCGGAACCTCGACCCGACGTGAGTAAAGCCAATATACTCCGCCCACCATGGTTCTCCCTTCCTCCTTCTTTTTTATTCCAGCATCTAACGGACGACACCGACTATCGCTCCACGACGAAGCTGTATTTGACATCGAACGCCCTTGACGTGTCAAATTTTATGTTCTCTTGCAATTAGCGGCGCCGTCTTCGTTGATCTCACCCACACGAGAGAAGGTTAACTTCACCGAAAGGTAGTTTCCGTCCGATGGCATCAAAACTCTGCGGTGACCAAACGGTGAATTATTCACCCAAGTCCTAAGCATCGTGATTCAGAACCCCCCTAACGTGTTCTATCTTTGTGCTTATGATTTACGGAAGATATCAAGGCAGACGTGAGCACCATGATAGGAGGGGGGCTCCATTATTTCGTGACTGTTGTGTCACTAGGTATACATCATTACTCATGATACGCTTGCTAGGAGTGAGCTAATTTCGATGGGCGTGTCATCCAACGATGCTCATTTCCACTCTCACAGGCTTGTATGGTGACCGATCGAAATAATTCAATGACCCCTTTTTCGTTTGGCCTTGGGTTATCATTCTATCGCCTCTCCAAGGTTTCCTGGTGCACACCCATGACGCAAGCAGACCGCCCTTGTCCCGATGACGCCCTGCGAGAAATATTTACCTCAAACCTCTGTGCCTGTGTAAGTACTTTGAAATACAGGGAGCCCTTCAACACGAATTGTCCGCTCGGTGCACGGCCTATGAAAGGTGTCGTAATTAGCAGTTTAGCTATTAGAGCTTAAAGTATTTGACCTCAACTCCAGGGTGTTAGCTGTCGTTATGAGGACGTTATAGAAGGGCTGCATATGCGACTTGAATAAGTGCGTTTGCTTGTCAAGTTTATGCCGGTACCGAGCGGCGTCCAGGAGCCGGCTTGTTAACGCATAGCCAGCGTCCGTTCTGGCACGGAGTTCGACCACTCCCGTGACACTTTGACCGACATGTCCGCGACCAACATACCAGTTCTGTGGATATTGATTGTCAAATTTGATTACTCTCGTGAGTACTAGTCCCTAACATCTCCAGACTCTTCGAGGCATTATTTCACACACCCCTAGACCCATAGGCTGGGACTACTCCTCAAGGCTCAAGGACATTGGCCACCGCAAACTATCCCAAAATTATTGGATAATTAACCTGAATATCTAAATAAACTCGCAGAATGTTAAACTTTAGACGCTGGGCCGAGTGCATTGAGTGTCTTCAAGTCCGCATGATAAAACCAACCCGGGGCTTTCAATCGCCAGCCTCCCAGAAACCTATGGCGTATGTTTGAAAATTGGAGAGCCCCACGATTGGAAAGCGGGAGGTGGAGATCATGAAGTAAAGGAGATGAGAATTGACGATCCGCGGCCAATCAAGGGACACTTACCACTGTAGGACTACCGATCGGGTATGTCCCGAGCCCAAAGCGGCAATTATAGGTTGAGTGGTCGATATTGTAGCAAATTTGGGACCAAACAATCGAGCAGAGAGTTGTTGATTCCGTGACAATCGCTGCTGGACAGCCTTGAGCCCCGTCGTCCGAGAAATAGGGGGTATCGTTGATGCCCTGTCCCACGCGTAGCAATATCTCGTCTACCTTCTGGATGTTGAGGTAAATAGCTCCTTTATTTTATCAACCTCATGCGCCCGATCATTCCAGAATCGAATCTGTACGGATCGGGTACATGCAACATAAAGCAAGCTCCTTACTTTACATCGCATGCCAAACACCCCACGCCTTTAACTCGCTCTCAATTAATAGCCTTTCAATCTCCTTCCTCAAACCCACTTTCAACATCGCCCCTCCATAAAGTATGTCGTATCCCGACGTCCGGCTACTCATGTGTGGACCATCGTACGACACCAAATCAGACTTCAGCTATCCTTATAAGCGACATTCAGTCCACTCCATGCAATCACTCCCTTCGCTAGCAATGGATGATCCTCGAGAACTCAGCAGCTTCTACGGCCGGCCAGCCTCCCACATTTCCTCTTCTCATTACCCTATGGGTTCAGGTCACGAGGGAGACAGTTACTCCAACGCGCAGTATACACCTCGGGGACCGGAAGTACCCCAGCATTCCCTCTACGCGCCGCAGTCATTCTACGACTACGACCTTCGTCAACCCCACCACCAGAACGGCTGGGGAGGCGTCGACCCCCACACCATAGCATCAGATTCGCCTTTGACCTATGGGACGCTTGGCGGCTCGTCATTTCCTGAGGCACCTCGCCTCACCCCGCCTCCTGCACCAGCAATAACGAACAACCAACGGCTAACCTTGGCGGGATCGTTGGACCCTACTACCGGAATCTTTTACCGAACCCCAGAGCACCCACGGCTTCGCACTGCCCAGGCGTGTGAGAAGTGTCGTACCCGAAAAGCCAAAGTAAGTCACTTTTGTGTACACAGAGCACTCGTTATTGACAGCAAGTATCTTTGCAGTGTAGCGGGGAGCATCCCGCGTGCCAGCGCTGCATCACTAGAGGTCTGGTCTGCGAGTACGCCAAGGAGGGTAGAGTTCGTGGACCCAATAGGGTTAAATCGAAGCCTAGCGTTTCGTCCGTGTCTGACTCACGCCGCGCGTCGCTAGCAGCAGAAGATTCGGGCCGCAAAAGTGAATCGTCCAGTGGCGCGCCATCTGCGCCGTCTTCATCCCCCGAGAAGAGTTCACTGCAGCAGTCGCCTCCCTCGAACGTCACTATTCCAGCCGAGAGGATCAAATCTTCGCGACCAAAGCCGCCTCACTTACGTTTAGACACCGAGTCGAACCATTTCCAACGGGAGATTGCAGCCGAGCAAGCGTCCTTGGTACAGGCGGAGGTCTTGCATCGAGAGAGGAGCAATTCTCAACCATTCGCAGTCTTTGACGAACATGGCAATCACGCTCCTGTATACTGGCCGCAAGAACATGGTGTTGACCACGACATCGCCGTGGGAGGCAGCCATTTGCAGACGAACACACCACCCCGTGATGGCGAGGTTGAGGTAGGGCAGATGAACTACCTGCTACAGCAACCTTTCCACCCGGCGATGCTCGAGCTTCACCACCCAGTAGCGACCATCCCAGCGCAGTTGAACATGGAGCACGGCCAATACCAGCACACACAGAAGTGAGCTTTTCCTCTTCTACGCCGAGAGGTTGCTGATGGAGTCGGATTTAAGTCGTAGCTCTATAAGCTCCTTAACGTACAGCGCAGCGTCGGCAAGCAGTGTTTCATCGCCAGTAACGCCCAGTTCCGCAACATACACCGAACGGGACAGCGGGGGGCAAATGGGGGTTAATGCAGAATTTCAATTTTTCCTGGGTTATTCGGGCATCGAAAGACAGCATCAGCAAGGGTTTGAGTCTGCCTGGAGCGATCCAGATCAAATGCACTCGACTCCCACCGTCGAAGCCTCCCACAAGTTATCTCTTGCGGCTGAGGGCGCTTGGTCAGATGGCATCGACTATCCAATGGAGACTTATCAGCGGGAGCACCTTGAAATCGACCCTGCAGAAAACATCGCTCATCAGCCTCTACACTACTCGCAACAGTAGATACACTCACTCGCGTCGTTGAGGACATTTTTTAGATTTGATAGGGCTGTTTGTGTATTCGCATATAGTTTGGGACATGTTGATTCGTTGCTTTTTATATTTATAAGGAGGCCGTTTTCTCGCTTCAATATACATTGATCTGTTTATCATGGTTAGGATCCTGAAAACAACATATCAATCCAGCTATCGATGACGAATTGGAGAACCTCCGAATCGGGTCCACACCACACGACGGGGACCTAATTACTTTTCTACTCGCCGGCAAAGTAAACCATATACGTCTTCGGCGAATAAGACTAATTATTGGCAGCTTCGATCCCCACGATAATGGGTATCCTCTCGATGAAAGCAATCTCAGTAGAAAGAACGCAATGTATTGTGATTGATTCTCACCGTTAACATCAGGCATGAATCGTCAGAAGCAGCGGCATCTGCTCCAGGTCAATCTAAAGACGTTTCGAAGACTTCAATGAATCGATGCTCTCAATAATGGAGGGACCTAATCTCTTCAGAACGTACCCATAAAATACTAGCCACCTGTAGAAATTATCAACAATCCTCGGTAATCGACGGCCTGGGTAAATTCTCCCTTCCATCAAGATATGGTAAGGTAAAATCGAGAACCGCCGACTTCCTTTCGCACTCAATCAGCTCCGGTATTCAAGCCATTCTGAAATCCCTGTACGAATTAGCAAGACTTCTTTAATCATGGAAGACCGTTACGGTAGCCGAGGAAAGTCGTTTGCTAAGCGGCATTAACGCATAAGTGAAGGAAATATTACTTACTAGGCGAGTCAGACAAACATCAGAAACAAGAGTGCCTTCTGGCGTAAATTAGCCTTTATTGGCTTGGGGTAGCTCGGCCTGAGGAATGTGCCATTAGAACGGATAATACAGTTGAGAAACCCGGTTTCTCGGAGAAACCCCAAGAACCCCCTTCAAATAAACTTTACCAATGTAGAAACCGGGGTGTGTCTTCCGGCGAGGCCATATTCACTCCGGCCGGTGTGGAAGCGAAAATGTAAGGAATATTTGGTTCTCCGTATACCAAGTCGCGAGCTTGAAGTAATATGTGCCAATCCTACCTAAATATTAAGCTGCAGTCACTAATGGGGCGGGCTTGAAATTGGCATCACAAAGTTTCGGTCCTTCTCCGCGTGCAGATTCTTCACGGGGAGTTATGGGGATGAGGGTCCGTGTCTTCGCTCGACAATGACTCCCCTCTACATTATTTAGGTTGTTGCTATCCGCAGGGCAGGAGCATACCTTCTCCCTCTTCATCTTGCGGGTGCACAAGCCTCAAGGGCCTGGTGAGGTCGTTTCATCTCTCATGCCTCTCACTTCCTCCGTCCGCTGCCTTGCGATCGTCGTGGCTCGTCGGTGACGATAAGATTTGGAAAAGGCAGCAAGTAACGGTCTATTGGGCGCAGTGCGCACGACAAATAGTTCGTTAACTATACTACGGGTGGATTATCGACATCATTCGAGTGCAAAGTGTCCAGAGTTTGGACGAGTCGAGTCTCTGTTGAGGGCTGGGGAACGCGGGGGCCGCTGTCAGAGCGAGCGCACCGGGATGTAAGTGTGATTATCCCCTTTTAGGCAGCAGCAGCAGCATCGTCAGCGGGTGGTGCGTCGGCGGGAGGAGCAGCGTCGGCGGGAGCGGCGGCGGCGGGCTTCTTGACCTTCTTCTTCTTGTCAGCGTTGGGGCTGGCGAGGACGAACACAGCGGCGAAAGCGAGGACGAAGAGTGCGACGCGCATTGTGATTGGTGGCTGACGATAAAGCCTGTAGACAAAAAACTCGAATTAGAAGATAGGAAGAGAGGAAGAAGAGGAGTGCTTACTACTGGTGAGTGGCTAAAAGTTTGCTGAGGAAGCGAGGAGCGGTGGGGCAGGTTTATATAGCTCTCCGACGTGTCTAGCAGCTTTACCCTATCGAGCATCCTTTCATTCATGCAGTTGTGCGGTATTGCGCGAGCCTGAGGTTATTGAGCCCGTTGGCGTCGTGTGGAGTCGGAAAGCAGAATAATTGCGCTAACCCACGCCATTTCATGAACTTGTTCGTTGGAGTGACAAGCGACACCATTCCTCTTGTCCTGGTGCGCTTGAACACGGAAAGAGGTGAGTTGCGTCAAATGATCACGGTCTAGTGATGTGGAGAGGGGCCTGCGTAACTTATTTGTATCGCTCAATTAGTCTTACAGTATATTCAAGTCTTGGGGGTTCGTACTTTGAGGTAGCCCTGCTTGAACACCATGAAGGGCCCTTCCGGCATGTTCTAATTTTTGAAATGAGCCTGCTTCAAGTCACCGGGCGCTTCGTGGCATGCCATACTTACACAAAGGGCGAGGTTCGGAGTTGGGAGCTAAGATATATTAGGCATGTTCCGGGCGGACTCCCGGCCGACGCAACCCGCTCCACTTTGCATTGTTGCTAGGGGTTTCCAAAGTTACGCGGAGAAACCCCAGAAACCGGGTTTCTCAACTGTATTATCCCATTAGAACATCTGGAAACTCTCGCGCCGTAGCTGCCGGTCGAGGCCATTTCTCTGACGGCGAGGTAAGGAGAAGGTGGACCGCATATTACTCGTGAATTGGAAGTCGATGTTGATTGGTCGGGCGAATAAACGCAGGCGAAATCAACCCCCTTTCTTGTGAATCTAAGCACAAATTCAATAGAAAGTCTCCCCACTCAAGGTTATACTCACGAGACGTCCCAGGCGTATGGATAGAGTAATGATCAATCCTCGTGGCTACTAGCTGAGTTTGGGGATCAGTGTAGCTGCTACACATTTCGTACCTCCCCCCCTCAGCCAGAAATGCCGTCTAGCGCAGTAGGCTAGTAGGGTGCATCCGGTATCATGTTCTGGTATCGCGCACAATGGTGCGGGCGTGTTGCAAGCTTCTATGACAAATTGGCGGTTTGACTCGACGCATCTTGCAGCGATCTTTATCCTTCTAAGTATTCTATACGGGTTCCTGTGTTTGTTAGAGTTGGCAACCAGACTGACAGCACGGGAGAAACACGAGAAACACACCGATGCGCCTCGTAGCCCTATCAAAAGACGAATCCCCGGAGCCGTGTGGACCATGGGGAGAATACCTTGCCCTATATGAAGGCGCCGCGTGAAGGCCGATGGGTATATCACTTCCCTTTCCTTAGGAAGAGTTCGACAGGCACTGTGGCGCGTTCAGACAACCAAATTACGCGACGGACACGGATAATTCAATTCTCCGCACCACCCCGTGCGCCATGGCCGCGCTAATTGCTGTCTAGCGAGAATATTTCAGATAATTGGGGATGTGGTTGAAAGCAAGAGACCAGGGAACAGCTAAGCGCTAGCATATACTTCCTTCACACGGGCGCTTGTCATGAGCAAGGGAAATGCCTCACGGTCAGAGCACCACCGCTTACTTTGACCTAACACCACCATCACCACAAATGAAGGAGCTTCAGATAGCACCCATGGACACCGACACCCCGGAGGCATTGTACCAGCTTTTGGCTAATTCCGGACAAAGATACTTCGCAGGCTCGGCCTTAATATATTCGTGACTTTGCGGATTCCAGAGCTAACTTGTTCCCTGTCGCTCCTGGCAGCATCGAGAGACAAACAGGTGCTAGATAAACTTGGATAATCTAGAAGCCTGGAATGCGCGAATAATGGGGCTTGTTAGTCGCCACGCCCTTGCAAACTACTCATGAACTTGGAGGGAAGGAAGATCATGAAGGGGATACATAAACGCCTTCCTTTTCCCATACATGGGTTGCCCTTGTCTCTCCCAATCAACCCGTGCCGAGTCCCTGTCTTACCAAAGTGGCAAGAATTTGCCCCCGGCGGGTCGTCGTGCCAAAGTCGACATCCTGTCTGCTCATCAATAAGCCAATTGCATTAGAACATTCATAGGTGTACGTCCATCTCTTTTCTTTTCTCTTCTCTCTATGTTGTCGAGCACAGCTATGAAATTTAACGCTATTGATTTGATCATTGTACAGAGATTGTCAATTAATAAACGCCACAAAGACAGTAACGTCTCCGCATAACAACCAGGCTCAAACTTCGAGTGGCGGGTTTGCCAGACCCCTGCTGAATTGTACAGCTAATCATAGTCGTTGGGCTGTGAGATATCTACGCGGTGTACACCGCATGAGCGTTGTTGAGTTCGACACAAGTCCTCGGGCAAAGAGGGGATCCGGAGGCTAAGGGATCGAGCCTCTTCAATCACGCCATAAAAGACGCACATGAAGATTTGGCAGGAATATGACTTCTGTGGAGTTGGAGCGAAAGAAAGAAAGAAGTCTTTCGTCGTTAAGGGATCGAAATCAAGAGGCAATCCCTCGTATCTAGAGGCCGGCGCAGTCGTACACGCGAATCGAATCAAATCCAAAACCTTGTAAAAGCGGCGAATAGGGCTCAAACTTTTCGATTTCGAACAATGTGGGGGACAATGAAGGTGCGACGTTTGACGCTTGTTTTGACGCTAGTGTTTGATCAGGGGTTTCACAGCTCCGACATGCATCGGAGGGAACAAACATGTGAGCCGAGTGGGCATCGGGCGGGGACTGCACCTATGGACGCTTGAAATCCATGCACAGAGTGGAATTATCGGTCATACACCACCTGCAGACTTCAGGATCGACTTGGGCGTTTCGAACTTCGTGCGGGGTGCCATGGCCGCAGGTGCCGTTGTCCCCTATAAAAAAGGCAAAAGAAGGCACAGTTGACACCGAACAATTGCCTCGCTAACCCAAAGCGGACATCCCTGAGTCCTGACTGGTTCAAAGTTTATAAACTCAGAGTCTCAAGCCTTTTCTTCATTCCTCCCTTCCTCGTCGTTTCTGCGTGCGCTCTTCCTATCCCCTCCTCCTCCTCCTCTTTCCTCTCATTCACTTCATTCTTTCTGAACTTCCCCCTCATTCGGTATCAGTCGCTTATCACCACCGTTCAAGATGAAGTTTTTCGTAGCAGCTATCGCCGCTTCCTCGCTTTTCGTTCTTCAAGCTGCCGCTCATGGCTACGTTGACTCCGTGAAAATCGATGGAACGACTTACAAGGGAATGGATCCTACAAGCGGCAAGAAGTTCCAAAGTGCCATCAGGAGGATCTCCACTCAAGACCCGAATTATGGAGCTACCAAATCGCACATTACTTGTGGCCCTGGAGCCGAGAAAGCAGCTCTCGTCGCCACCGCTAACCCTGGCAGCTCCGTCGACATCGTTTGGAAGACTGGACAAGGGGGCAGAGTACGTCAAACAGATTCTTCTTTGGATGTTAGCTTGCTCAATCATTCGTCTCTAGTGGCCTCACAACACTGGCCCGTCCTTGACTTACCTCGCTTCCTGCGGATCAGTCTCATGCGACAAGTTCAATGCCGCTGATGCTAAATGGTTCAAGATCCATGAAGCTGGCAAGAAGAGCAACGGTCAATGGTTCCAGCAGGACGTCAGTAAGTTACTCTCATCTCTCTCTCTTTCGCTGGCGCACGTACTGATAGTGAATTTGCAGTGAACGGCGCCCCCGTTTCGTTCACCCTCCCTGAGAACTTGGCTCCTGGAAACTACCTCCTCCGTCATGAAATCATCGCTCTGCACTTGGCTCCCAAGGCCGAGTTCTATCCTTCGTGCACGCAGATTAAGGTCGGCGGTAACAAGAATGGCGTTCCCAAGGCTAGCGAGCTCGTATCCTTCCCCGGGGCCTACAAGGATTCTGACTCCGGTATCACTGGCAAGGGTGTAAGTTCCCTTGATTGATATCGCAGTCCCTTACATATCTAACCGCCCACTCCTTTCCTAGATTTACAGCGGCCGCGCCTCCGATTACCAGATGCCCGGTCCTAAGATCGCTTCCTTGGTCGCTGGTTCCGGTAACGTAGAAGAGCCCGCTCCTGCTACTACGAAAGCTGCAGCAACAACGAAGGCCGCCACTGCCTCCACCAAAGCCGCCCAGGCAACGACAACTCAGAAAGCCCCAGCCGCTACCACCACCCCTAAATCGACAACCAAGACATGCAGACAGAGAAAGCGTGAGGCTGCTCCTGAGCCCGAAGCCGCCCCATCGCCAGAGCAACTCTACTCGGAGGCGTACGCCAGAGCCGAGTCCGAAGCAGCTCGTCGCGATGTCGGCACATCCTTCGTCCGCAGACATTCGAAGTTCGTCCGAATGGCCAAGCGATCGCATTAAGCCTCCTTCGCTTTCTCCTCGCATTCTCTCTCCCACTTTTCGAGCGCACACTCTAACGACTTTACGATTCACATACGCATGCACTCTGCATTTGCAACATCAATCATCCACCACTGCAACACGCCATCGCACCAATCACTACCCAATACATTCCCTATCCATCGCCCTTCACTGTGTATCATGATCTCCTGGGTTTCTTTTTTGCTTCTATTTATGCTCTTTACGTCTGAGACGTCCGTTTTGTATTTCTTAGCTCTGGTCTGTATTCCTAGTTGACATGCAGATCCTGCTACGCTTACGACGCACACGAAGCTGCGCCGCTTTAGTGGGCGCCAGCGCCCACGATCAAACCTTTACCTACCTTGCTCCCAACATCCTTGCTTCGCCCGAATATTCTACACGTTGATCGTAGATTCTGGCATAACCAATGTATCGTATATCTAACTTGACGTATAGATCCTGCGTTCATTGTATCCAAGCATTTCTGAGTCCCATTAAAGTGTTACGATCTGCCTGCTGGAAGGTTACCAGTGCCACTTGGAATGGCTTGTGGCATCTCCGGATACGCTGCTGCGTTAAACGTTAAACGTTTGTTTTGTTCCACCATCCAAGCTGTAAAGCATGCTTCTGACGTTACGTAATTACAACCGGCAAGAATAGCTCTTTAGTATGTCACTGGCAGAGTCAAGAACCCTCTGCATAACCTCCGGCTTGTAGTACTTGACGCAGAACTCCAAAGTGACAGTAAGTTTACCCTGAAATGTGTATATGTGGGACCACGGCTGGAAATCTAAAAGGACTTCAGTGCGCTTCACTGTGAAATAAGATTGTGTGCATACCTATCTGCCTGAGCTGAACGCGGTACCCATCTGGTGCAAGGGATATCGTGTGTTCGCCGTCCTTACTAGTGTATTTATCAGGGAGACCCCTCTCAATCCTGTTCAGCGAGGACACCGCCAACCCAGCTGGCCGCGGTTGATTCCAGTCAACGTTATCAAGTGCCCCGCAATACCCCGGAGTAAGATACGAGTATCCCCAAACCGACTTGGGCGTATTCAGCATGGCTTTCAACTCGCCCTGAAGATGGCGTGCGTATACTTCCAAAGCAACGTTATCAGCGGCTCCTGCCGTGGCCACGGAACCAATATCTGTTTTGAGTTCCTTGGGAGCCCAAACGAAGTTGATAGCGGAAGCCATCGACGACGCAATGTTACGTTCGCTGGGGTTCGACCATCTTCGAGTGTTGCATGTGAACATGAAAACGGATCCCTCTTCCGTCTTGGTACCGAACAGCTTCTCCATCGCTACGCCCAAAGCAGCGACGATGACGAAGGTCAGGGATATCTCTCTGGACTTAGCTTTCTTCAGGAGGTGATTCGTCTCCCTCTCATCCAAGGAGATGTGTGCATAACCCGTCGTCCGCGGCAAGTCTCTAAAGTTCTCGCGGATGGGGAAGGAAATATACCGCTTTGAGAAGGCCGACAGCTGATATTTGTAGTGCTCTTCTCCCAGTCGCAGCTGCTCCGTCGTGGCCTTGCCCATCACTTCCTCGAGCGCGCCTTGAGCACTCTGAGGAAGACGAGAGACTTCTTCTCCCCAGATATGATGTTTTGGTTGTGGGGCGTAAGCCACGTCAAGCAGGGACTGGAGAAACGTGGCGAAGAGAGCATGATTGCCGGTGGCGTCGTTAATGACATGGGAGATGTTGATGATAGCAATGTGGTATTCGACGCCCGGTACGAAGACAAGCAAGGCAGATCCACCTCGAGTCCCTGTGGCGAGGCTTCGTCCGATGCACCTGTTGAACAAGGTTCGCCAGTTGCTAGACTTTGAATAGACAAGCGTGTCTTCAAGCCATTGTCGTTCTTCGTCCTCCGATGAGATAACATCATACTGGTAAGGAAAAGGTTACAATTGCTAATCGCGAAGACAGAGTCATCGCACCTACCTGCATGCGATTTGCCCCAGACACCTGATCCGGCGTAAACCTAACGCCAACTTCGGGCTTCAATTGACGAGTCTTGATCCACGCTTGAGCAACAAGCTCCTCAGTGACAATTTCTCTCGGGATCGACGTAGAAAAAGAGATCGCTCGAGTGATATTGTAGAGTCCATCGCCTTTCGTGCTATCATTGTCAAGACACTGCCTTCTGGGTCAACGACTGGCTGGTGTTAGACCAGTGGTTGGTTACCTACCCTTTCGGCTGACCAGAGTGGCCTTGTCCATGAATGTTCGTCTATATGTTTCCATTCCTGAGCGATCGATAAGGGCATCCTCGTCGTGCTCACTAGGAGCAACTTGCTGGGGTAGTGAGAAGACTATGTGCAGATTGTGGGAGCATCGTCTTGAATCGCGTTTGGACTATGGTTCTCAGTACCACCGTGCGACGCCGAGCCCTTGAAACAAATTGAGTGACCCTGAAAGCTACATCAGAGCCCAAGGCTGTGAATGGGTGAGTTCAGAGTATTGAGGACGGGTTCAATCTGATTTCGGTAGGCGGCGAAACGATATTTCTGAATCATTAAGAAGGTAGCAAAAAGGTTTGAATTCACGCGATAACAAAATACACGGGTGTCCTAAAAAGAGTTGACCAGTGTACACGCGCCTCGTTCACCCAGTAAAGAGCACACTTGAGACCTCTACAAAAAGCATTGATCAGCTTTGCGATCCCAAGAAGAGAAGCAGATACGAAACAGAGAGAAAAAATCAGAGAAAACAGTTTGATATCAAGGGCTATTGGGGCGTTACTCCCTCCTCAATGAGCTGGGTTTGGAGCGAGTGCGCTCTTTTCATCAGATAATGAAAGAATAAACGAAAAGCCAGCAATGAAGCCCTCAAAATGCTAAACTCACCTCGGGATCGTCGATGGGTTAATGGGAGAAGAGAAAGAAGTTTTCTGGTCACGCTGTCACTGTCACGCAAGTAAGTACACTCTCAGGGGCTAGGGGTACTTAATCTGGTTAGAGTTTCGAACTTCGTATTGAAGTGGTCATACCCCGTCCGGAATATAAAGGCCAGTAATAGATGGGAAAGTGTACTGATTACTGTGCAAAGAGACCAGCTATCTCCTCAATAGAATCAACTACCAAGTCGAACTCTCCACCATCCTTTTTGCTCTTGACCTCCATTGAAAGCGGATCCTCGCCTCGTCTCACATATACCGTTTTCATGCCGTTACTGGCAGCAGACTTGACATCAAAAACATGGGCAGCGACCATTGCGCACTGTCTGGGCTCCAAAGAAAGATGATACGCTGCGCCACGGTAGACCTTGGGATTCCTATGATAGTATCAGATTTAGTACCTGTTAACATGGGGTAACTTGTCGCCAGTTACTCAAACTCACGGCTTGTATGTATCAAAAAGCTCTGTAGACAACACGGCGTCCCATGGGAGATTCGAGTGCTTGGCCTATTCCAGGCATCGTGCTGAAGTTAACGGAACATAGGGTAAATGTAAAGGTGCAGGCAGCATACCAAGTCGATCAATGAGCGCATGTTTCCGTTAGATAAAACCGCAATGATCTTGCTTTTCTTGAGCGCGTGAAGTCCTTTGGAAGAGTCGGGAAAGGCTGACCATGCTATGAGCAACGTCCAAAAAACCCATCATAAGAATGTACATTACCTCTGAGTCTATGCCAGGCCATCGTGAGGATAGTTCGGTGCTCATCATCCCAGAGTTTCCCAAGGTCTGCCCACTTTTCCGATTCAAGCATTGTGTCCAAGAGCTGACACAGTATATCCGTCAGCATGGCAATGGCCTGCACTGGAACGTGGAGCTTTGTCTGACCTTTCGGTGTAAAGCGTCAATGCTTCCGGGCCCACTCCCTCCAGCAGCAATCTCATTTCTGAAGTCGAAAGGGCAGGTTCTCAGGACTCTGTTTAGAGCTTGGGCTCTACGTTATCACAGTGGACTTACGTTGCGACCCAGAACGCCGATCTCCAGTCTCCAGCAAATTCGTCCCAATTAATCGTACCTAGTTCAAATTGTATGGTCAAAGAAGGACTCGGAAAAGGCCTGATACTGGTGAATCCACGAACTTGCGCCACACCGATCACCCTGTACCCTCAGCTCCTCCACAATGGTTGTGCGCCAATCCACCACTGTGCCAAACACATCGAAGATGAATGCTTGAATGTCATTCATGGCGCGCAACGCCGATGTCCGCTCGCGTCAGCGTTCAAGCTGAAGTTCTCAGCTGTTCACTTTCAATGGGTTTCCTGAACAGGGGTATAGGGGCCCCAGGAGATACAACATCGCATCGTCATGTAGATAGGCTGGACTATACACGGTTTATCAAGGCCGCTAATTCAGTGATCGAATTGACTACAACATCGACTTCTCCTCCGTCAGCCTTGCTTTTCACTTCATCTACAATATCTTCGCCTCGACGGACATATACTGTCTTCATCCCATGACTTGCCGCAGCACGCAAGTCATAAATATGAGCAGCGACCATCGCCACCTGTGAGGGCGGGAGCGATAAATGATACGCTGCACCAAGATATGTCTTTGGGTTGCTATACCACCGGCTGTAAATAATTGAACTTTCGAAACTGAAGCTTGACGCACGGTTTGAAAGAGCCCAGAAGCTCGCAGGATAATACTGCATCCCAAGGTAAGTTTGCATGTTTGGCCTATAAGGTGGGAACTTAATACAGCATTTGGTATACCTGTGAGAAAGCAAACCATGTCAACGAGCAGCCGAACATTCCCGTTCGATAGTGCGGCGATGATTTTTGTTTGCTTCAATGCATGGAGACCCTCAGAGGAGTCTGCCCAGCCTGAGAACAGGAAGTTAGCGTGCTCGCCACGACGGTACCCACTTTACGGACCATCAAGGAAATGCCAAGCCAGAGTTAACTTTTTCCTGTCCTCGTCACCCCAAATCTTCCCAAGCCCATTCCACTTACTTGACGCCAGCATTTCCTCGAGGATCTGGAAGATATTGAATTTGAATCATTATTCCGTACGAATATCATGATGCGGTGCGCCGAGATACGTACGTTTCGATGCAGGACATCGACGTTGAGTGGTCCATCGACGAGTCCATTAGCAATCTCACGTCTTCATTCATTAGTATCGCGCCGTGATTATGAGCAGTTACCGTCGGGGTAATGGCTGCTTAACCTGCATAAGATGTCTTACGTTTTGCGCATGTATCCCTGTCGCCATTCATTGGCAAAGGCCTCCCAGTCTGTTTGAGCTATGGTGCGTGGAGGCGCAGTCAGTATCGATAGACTGAATGGTATGTGAGTTGCGTACGTGATGCGCCACAGCGCTTTCCCTCGGACTCAAGAGCCTTGATGATCGCGGTGCGCCAATCCACCAAAGTCCCGAAAACGTCAAAGATGCAGGCTTGAACTTCGTCCATACCTAAAGGACGTACCGCGTACTGCGCAGTGTTGGATGGGAAGATCCAAGATATAGCACCGGAGTTGTTTGGGCCGGCGGTATTGCCTTGAGGAACAGGGGGCAAGAATGCAGGGTCACGGGCACGGATGAACTTGAATAGCCGACTTACATTTTTATCGATTCATCACTCACTGTCAGATCACGAACCTTCGCTGAAGCATACGGTGTGGCGTAGCCCAAGCAGATTCTTGATGAATCTAGGGTTTTGTATGGACGAAGAACGTCCTTCATGGGCGGTAGTTTCCGCAATGAGCATCCGTGTCCCAAAACTCACTGCCGGTAGCAGTACCTAGTAGTAAGTACTGCTCAGCATGTATGTCTCTTGCCCTGGACAGGGTTTCGTGCTGATCACCCTACCGCTTTTAGATTAACTGCTGTTGTTCTGGACCCAATACGTCTTCCAAGTATGGCATTGGGGATCCTTCTTGTGCAACACATCATGCGAGCTGCAAGATAGATCGCACTGCGGGTCAAGTCTGTGCCGTCTTCTCGATAAAACATCGTTGATTCATGAAATCGTACGTGTCTGTGACCCTTTTAATTGCGAAAGGTGCGCATGACGCTGTAATCATTGATTACACTCTACGATGTTTTCAGGAGATATCATTGCTGCCAAGATAACGCGTTTTCTATGAGCCGCGTACACCTCTGCGTGTATACTGCTTTTATCGACCTCTCGACAAAGGACAACCGGTTAATAAACTGCCAGTTCACCCGGAATCCTCGTATGAAGAACGGGATTAACTTTTCCAGCACCTCTCCGTGTAAGAAAAGTGTCCAGATCGAAGAACGGCTTGCCCTCTTCTAATACAGCGTACTCATCACAACCGATAATAGTTTTACGTTTAGGCACTGTTACTGCATACGACGCGCAGGAGCAGCTACTTGTACCATTGCGTGCCGACACGGCGCACCGGAATAACTTTCGCCCTCAAAATAAAGGCCATATCGTCACCTGTGCACTGCTACATTCTTGCACCCGATGGGGTCGCCCGGTCGCGGCGAACGGGCTGCTCTTGAACCTATATAATGTGCCCGAGGTCGCTAAGAATTCCTTGCCTCCTCCATCCCTTCTTTCGGCGATGTCTTCTTCATTTACGACGCCCTCTCCATCCCATCGAGCATCGTTACAGACTGCCTTTGAAGACGGCAAGGACGAAGCCTTCGATCCTTCCCCTGATATCGTTATGGCATCAGCGATCGACAAAACCCTTGAGAAGGATGTGGAAGTCGCGTCGTCGCAACGCGATTACACTTTCGTGACGTTTGATAAAGGTACGGGCGAAGACCCTCGTGAATGGTCTTCTGCTAGGAAGTGGTGAGTTCCAAGGTTTTCGCTTATGCGCGTCTACCCGTGGCCTTCGGGTGATAGATCTAATCTAAAAATATTAAGGTTCGTCACTATGGCGGCGTCGTTCTTGTGTCTTGCTGTGGCGCTAGGCAGCTCGATCGTCACTGGAGAGTACGCAGGACTAATGCTTTGGATCTCAACGAGATTGATTGAATAGTTCACAGCATGGAGGGCCCTGTTGAAGACTTACACACCACCCAAGAAATCATCAACCTCAGCGTTACCTGCTTCGTTATCGGTTTTGGTGTCGGTGTAAGTGCAGCCCGATATCCTCTTCAGAAGCACATCACTCATCGAAGCTCATGTAGCCGCTCTTCTTCGCCCCTCTGTCGGAGGTAGTTGGGAGAACACCGATGTATTGCGTTAGCTTCTTCCTCTATTTCATCTTCACTCTGCCTGGACCACTGGCCAAGAACGCCGCTACACTCATCGTAAGTCGGCAGATCGCTGGAATCGCAGCCTCCGCGCCGATGTGTAACGTGGGAGGAAGGTGAGCCATGTTGAGATATCAAATAAAGTTCTATACTCACCTAACAATAAATTAGTATTGCTGATGTTTGGAGCGTTGAGCAGCGTGGAATTCCCATGGCAGTATTTTCTATGACTTTGTTGTATGTCATCAACGGCAATATGCCTTGTACCCTACTGATCATTCAACATCATCTAGTATGGGTCCGTGTCTTGGGCCGATGGTTGGCGGCTGGATCGGCGAGCGCGCTGGATGGCGGTGGATTTGTACGCCTTTTTTCTCTCCTCTGGGGACTACAACGTTGACGCGTACAACGTAGACTGGGTCCTCTTCATCTTCGTTGGCGTGTGCTTTGCTTTTTCTTTCTTCATCCCAGAAAGCCTTGCGCATCTCCTACTCCGACGCAAAGCGGAAAAACTCCGAAAGGACACAGGGGACGACACCTACGTTACGGAAGTCGAGTTACAGCGTGTGCCCTTGTCCCAGACATTGAAGATCGCGCTCTTGCGGCCGCTAACGATGCTCGTCGTCGAGCCCGTCGTTATCTTCATGTCCATCTGTAAGTCTCAATTTAGACGGAAGTAAATGATCGGCTCACTCACGATGTGCTTCTGAAGATCTGTCCTTCGTTTACAGCCTTCTTTGTGAGAATCTAACCTATGTTACTTCCCCTCGATTTATCTGACTGTTGTGATGTAGACTTGCTGTTCTTTGCCTTCCCCATTGCCTTTGCCGAAATCCGAGGTTTCAGTGCAGGTCTCACTGGGATCACCTTCGTTAGCATCATGGTGCGCGCCATATCCCAACTTTCCTACCCCTTTTGCGCCAACGTTGAACTGCCCACTCAGATTGGTATCGGGATCGCTTTATGTCTGCTTCCGCTTCAAGAGAAGATGTATCGTAAAGCGACGGTTAACGGAGTCCATCCTGAAGCCCGCTTGTATCTTATGATGGTTGGATCTATGTACGGACCTCCTTACATTCCTGCTTATAGTACTGACCGTTGCCTATATTCATCACAGCCTCCTCCCGGTCGCGCTCTTCATATTCGCTTTCACGGGGGCGTACGCTCACGTCAATTTTATGGGTATGTACATTAATCTTTCAATCTCCTACTCACAATGATTTGATGTACCCTGAACAGGACCATGCATTTCTGGCGGTGTATTCGGCCTCGCCATGATCCTCATCTACGTGTCTGCCAACTCATATATCATCGACTCTTACCCACATATCGCGGCTTCAGCCCTAGCGGCGAAGACCTTCATGCGGTCCATCTGCGGTGCTATGGTTCCACTCTTTGTGAACCAAATGTTCCACGGACTAGGCTTCCAGTACGCTGGTCTGCTGCTGGCATTGGTGTCAGTAGCGATCATCCCGATCCCCTTCGTCTTCTATAAATATGGAGCGAGGATTAGGGCAAAATCATCATACCAGATGTAATGCTTCATGACTGATATGATTGATGAACTAGACGAATCTTATCTACAACCGAACAGATGACACGCGTCCACATACTAGACTCACATAATGCCCAGAGTTCATACCTGTATCATAATTCAATATTATTGGGTTTCCTGCGACTTGCTGGGTGCATTCTGTGTCAACAAGGGCCTTAGTATGGTACAACCGCAGCCACTACACACAGGTTGACTCCACGGAGTGAACGCTCAGTTTAAGTTACAACACAGGTCAACTACGCCTTTACTAGATGCGTGGGTAGACCTTAAGTGTTCATTAGAGCGAAACAGGGGCTACCGTACTCACCTATGTGATAGCAAACGTCTCGATTGTGCCTGGAACCGCGAGGTCCTTCATTAAAGTCGCTGTTGCCTGGCGGTGTCAAATAAAGTCACCCCGGGGCACATATTCCTCATATTCACGAGGAGTACGTCTCTCAAAGCCCCGGTGGTCGGAAGCTTTAGGTGCTCTATATTCAGATTCTTCAGGTTGGGGAACAACTTCGCCAACCACCCTGGGAGAGAACGCATAGCCGCCGCTCGGAGGGCGTCAGGAGGGGAAGAATCCCCGTCGGAGTGTGTTGGCCAGTCCAGGCGACCACTCTCAAGAGTCAATGACTCGATTGAAGGAAGCGGTGCGTCCAAAACCCATCCCGACTTCTCCACTCCCAGAAGTCGCGTGATTATTTGCGCATCGCGAATGGTGAGGGATGACAACGTTGGTCTTTTGCGCGAGGCTAATTTAACCCAGACAGCCTGGTGATAGCGGATATCTCGATCATATCTATCCTCGATGAAGGGCGACGATAATGTTATCGAGGTGAGATCTGGGAGGGCTTGATCACTGTCGAGCATCCATAGTACGGAGGCAGCGTCGCCGGACAGCGTGGTAAGGCATGGAAGCATGTCCTCTGTAAAGGGAGCTTCATCCTTGAGTGACGGGCGGAGGCAGAGATCGATCGTAAGTGAGAGTAATGGAGGATGCCGCAGAAGAAAGGCGTGTAGCGGTAGAATTGGATGGGATTTGTACCCTTGAACATCAAAATGCCGTAAATTGGGTAGATGGATGCCCTGCAAAGCGCCACTCGTCCACGCGCTGTAGTTACTGAGGACCAGTGAGGTAATGGAAGGCGCTGTGAATAGGTTGGATAATGAGAACTGGGAAAAGGGTGGTGGGGCCGACACATCTAATGAATCGACTGTGATGAGCCTCCTTGATGATCGCAGATAGAGGCGAAGTAACAGATTGGAGGCTACAAAATTATATCCAGTATGCCCATTGCGTTGGCCGTCCCACCGTATATAGAGAGATGGCGATCGTGTCCCAGCAACGTCAAGCAAATCACTGAGGGCAGTTTGCCACTTGAAATAATCAATCATGCTGGAGGAACTGAGTTCCGATGTAGAAATGAGGCGAAAACACAACAAAAGCCTGGAGACGCTTCGCAGCTTCAGGAGAAACTGCTTGAAAATACGCATGTCTTCCAAAGGAGAGGGATGGAGTACATTCCACTCTGGAAAGTAGCAGGTCACCATCTTGAACTTGGCTCCAAGAAATAACCACGAAAGACTCATGGAGTGAAGGGGGGCACCAAAGGATGACGGTTGCAGCCAAAGTGAATCGCTGGATATGTCTATGTCGTGGTGTAGAAGATATATGGGTAGGCATATCTGATGGAAATGCCGACAGGTCATGGCCAGCGAGTGCAAGTCATTCGAAGTTGTATCTTGAATTATGAGGAACACGATCTCTGGCGGTGGTAGTGGTTTTTGTCGAGCTGGTCCCATGGGGCGTACGCTTGTACAGCTACAATTTGAGCCGTCGCGCTTGATCTGCGCTTCGAATGCGTGACCTCGTCACAGTAACAGTCACAACATCAGTGCGCTCACGGCGATCACCATACCTAGAGTGTAGCGGCCATCATCGGATTAGGTTCTTGGAATTTGTGTCCATGAGGGTGGCCCACGTATGATGGCATGGAACCAGATACTCGCACTCAATATTCTCTATCTCCTGTCTTTGTCCCATGCGACCTTTGAAATGACATTGACTCGGGGTCTGTCAGGACTCATCGATACGCTGGGTCTGGGTTATACGAGAGGTGTGCCTTCTGCACCATAGAACGTTCCACAAACTTATTTCTCTTTCGCGTAGGGATCGCGCCGGAGCATGGACTTGTGCTCTCGACTACCCCAGTGTATTTGCACGTCGCTAAGCCTTCAAGCATGCTGCGCTCAGTGTTGGCATGCATGGGTGAACAGTGCTGAGGCTTGTCATTGCCAATGCTATATAAATATGCAACAGCATTAGTATGATCGCCACTGCGAGGGCTATAGTGACCGTCGACCAAATCTACCTACACACCACGATGTCTTTCATGTTGTTCCTAACATTGACCTTTGCTTCACTCGCCTCCATCAACGCAAGCCCATTAAAATCTAAATGTGAGTAATTTCCTCGGTTTGTCACTGTATTTACGCTAATTATATTGTTCAAGTTGGCAAACCTACCCATCAACCAGTCGTCAACGCCGTCATCGACACCCTCTCCATTTCTGACCTCCAGGCTGATCTCGCCATTTTGTCCAATTTTCATACGAGGTTCTACAACTCTACGACCGGTGCGGCGGCTAGTCAGTGGCTCCTTGGATATGTAGAAGAGGTAAGTGTGACTTCTTGCTTTCCACTCAGTCGCTCTTTGTGAATTCATTCTTCGCCAACCGGATAAAATAGATTACATCAGGCCGCGACGATATCACTGCAGAAGCGTTTACTCATGCGGACTTTCCTCAAACATCTACGATTGTTCACTTCAATGGACAAAATTCCTCGGCCCCTGTTACTATCGTTGGGTCTCATATCGACTCTGTTTCATGGCGTGGAGAGCTTGAGGATCCCGCCAGCGATCGCTCGCCAGGAGCCGATGATGATGGTTCTGGGTCAGTGAACGTGATCGCTACCCTCCGTGCCCTGGTTGAGGCTGGTTTCGAGCCTGCTACGCCTTTGGAATTCCATTGGTATGCTGGCGAAGAAGGCGGGCTTCTTGGCTCGGATGCTGTCTCGAAGAAGTATAAGGCAGATGGAATCGAGGTCAATGCCTACATGAACTTGGATATGAACGCATAGTAAGCACCATTGAACTGAGGCCCTCTCCCCGTTGTATGGCCCCGTCGAGTTTGCTAAATTCTGAACAGCACAAAACCTGGCGAAGAAGAAGTCATCGTCATACGCCAAGATTTCTCAGACCCCGACCTCAATGAATTTATCGAAAGCCTCATCGACGAATACATTGGTCTCCCCGTGGCCACTGCACAGGTAGGAGCCATCCCCCTTGACCCGCTATCCACTGATAATCACGTAATGTCAGTGTGGGTATGCATGCTCTGACCATGCGTCCTGGCATCGCCAAGGCTTCCCAGCCGCAATGCCATTCGAAGGCCGTACCCGCAACCCACTCTTCCATACGATCGACGATACCACAGAGGCACCTGGGTTCTCTTGGGAACATTCAATTCAGTTCGCAAAATTAGCTGTCGCGTTTGCGTACGAGCTATCGGCTTGAGCATGTCCATCCGTGTGGCACGTGGTACATATCCGTACGGTAGAACATCTCTGTAGAACCCAAGCGCATCACTTTCCTTCTTAAACCCACGTACCTCCGGCTGGTGCTGTAGTTTCTGAGTGAGCCTGGGGCTTCCGGCGTCTTGAATATCCATTTGAAGATTGCAGTGGCGCCCGGAACCGCGTTACTTTTACCTGCCCCGAATGGGACTTATGTACTTTCGCACCAATGACACACCCATGTAACAGCTTCTGGAACGGTCGTGGAACAGCTCCCATATGCAGCACAAATATAAGCCACAGGAACGCAAGTTTATCGGAGCATGGTCGTTCAGGTGACCCCTATTGAATAGGTCTATTCTTGAGCCGGACTCTCAAATGGACATTTACAGCCTAGTTCAGGTCATTCCGAAATGGGTTTATGTCACTTAGGCTCTGCAACATATCGCCCAAGCGACAAGGTGGCGTTCGCGAGGGAACTGGTTCCGATTGAAGGTGACAAGGTCATTGCCTTTGTTTATCCAATCATCATCAATCTTCAACAAGAACATCCGTTGGATCTTGATTCCATTCTCAGCGGCTACTTTGAGTACTATTATCACCACTTATAAACCATTACTGTGTAATGCTGAAGAAATTGTGTTGTGGCCAATAGTGAAATCCGTTGTTGAATGGTTTCACAACCACGTAATCGAAGGCACTACGCAGTTCATGTCTTATAATCGTTATTGCTCCCGCGAAGGGAAGCAAAAGTTTATTTGTTAGCAGGGCCCATATGAGTGCGGTGCTTGAGCGAGGACTTGCCCATTGGGCCTACATTGGATACGAAGACCCTCTGTGGAGAAAAGCCCACATGCACAGAATCGCTCCACAAAACTTGAAGGTACCTCGACTATACTCGATGGAGGAGAAAGATATCTAGACTTGAAACGAAGCAGCGAAACGATAAGGCAGAATACGGCAAAGAGAAGAACCACCTGACAGCAGGGCCTGCTGTCACGATACATCATACCGTCTTTGCACGTCGTCCTGACTCGTAGCATCGCACGTTTCTGGCTACTGGTCGTGTTGTCGGCATGCACTCGACATTGCAGGTCAGGCCCGTCTTTGGTTCGCAAACGTATAAAAAGCCCGTCAAGCTAGCAGTAAAGCAGCTTCCTCACTCCACCTCCGAGTAACTAATCCAATAACACACCCACTCTCGCGAAGCAATGAAATTCACTGCAACCTTTGTCGCCGCCGCCGTTGTTGCTACCTTCCACACCGTAGCTTCTGTCACAGCCATCGATGTGACCTGCATTATCGATGTCGTACCAGGTTTTCCCGTACCAGTTAGTGGAACGCTAGACGGGCCAGGCGTCGACAGCATCTGCGGTGGGGTTGTAGAACATCTCGATGGTATCTCTTTCGGGGGATCACTGGGAGGATTGGCCCCCTCCATCACCATTGCGCGTGACAATGGTTGCCCGGCTGGGTCGATCGCATGCACTACGGCTTGCTCGAACGGTCAGTTGCACTCAGTTGCACTCCCTGTATTGGTAAAAGAAAGGCATTTACTTACGCGACGTTGCCGGAAATTATTTACCATAGGAATGACCGTGACCATTTGTGCAGGACTCCTTGCAAGCGCTGCCTGAAACAATCTCCCGAATTTAGGTACGTTTGCCAATTTTCGATTCTCGCACCTCGACAAATCATTGACGACATCCTACTTCAGCCAGTGCTTCAAGCTTGCCGCAGTCTATCCTTTCTCTTCGTTAAACAGAAAACCAACAAAAATATTTCTTTACTTCTCCGTCGACATGTACTTGTATCTGTTGCGCGCGCAAATGAATTGAGTCTCGAGGTGCCTATACACGAGGATAGAATGCGGTGAATATTTCGAAACTAAGGGGAGGTTATATGCTACCAGGGCACGGTGACTGACTCTACCCCACGGGTCGACCCGAGTACTAATTGGCCCTGAAAGTGCTGTAGTTCTGGGGCTCACGAAAGACGTCCGTGTTCCAATGAGCGGTCGGAAGCCGGGAGATAGATCTATAAGTAGACAATACTGCTGCATTAAAGCGGGGTACAATAACATCAAATGAAGCCAGTCATGCAGTAGCCATGAATAACATACTACGTTACTCCTTTTCATCCTGTGTTCCGCGCGTCCTCTTTTTTCGCATCCATATCTTCCCCAAGAGGATCGGCCACCACAGCCCTGACCAAGCCGATAGACTCTCGTCGTCCTCCCAGGAAGTCTCCAAATCGCTTCCCTGGCTCATCTTCTGTTTCCTCTCTCTGCTGGCGATGATCTGACTCCGGAATTGGAGGGCCACGGTGACCCATATGGTGAAGATGGTAAGAGGGATGGCAATGGCTAGGTATGTATGGAATTGGGGGATTGAACCTTCGTTGATCTCTGTTACGTTCATGCCGAAGACAGCCTACACGGCGTAAATAGTGAGTAACGATTGTGGTTAAAGGAAAGAGGAAGACCAACCGCTACAAGAGACGCTGGGAGAAAAATCATCGTAAGTGAGGATATTTGCCGCATCGCAGCGCTATCTCTTCCGGTTGCTTCCGCCAACGCTGCCATACGCTTGCTATCTTCGATGTTCACCAGGCTGAAGGTCTACAACAGACACGTTTAGTAGGGTGGGGAAGCTATTGATGATAGGTACGGTACCAGATTCATGACATTCCTTAGCCGCTTGTCGTGCATTTTGAGGGTTTCCTCCAGTCTATCAACGCCGCTAAGCATATGGGCACACTCCTTGTGCAACAAGTCCTTCCATTCGTCATTGGCCCCATTTAATGTAGTTGCCGAAGACGACGACGACGGAGTCACCGTTGTGGTGACCAAGGTAGGATTGTGTATCTTCTCTACGAACTGGATGGTCTTGCGAAAATCACCCAGAAGAGAATCATAATGTAATATATGAGCTCGGATGACGTGGAGCTCGTGGGTCATTTTCGGGTCGTTCGTGCTCATTACACCAGATTCCTATCGACTATCAATGTCATTGTTCACAATGGATCGATGAGGAAGAAGTTCCGGCGTACCAAGTAACAGATATGCCGGTACAGGACTTCGAGCGCTTCGTCCCAAGCATAAAATGCGTGCCATAACATCAAGAGTACCACACAGGTCGGGTCTTGAGAGCTGCGGAAAATATGTTGCCAATACACGCTTCGACCGGCAACGCTGATGCGGTCGCACAAGAATTTCGCCGACGTACTATTCCATTTTGACGGAGGTGCATGATAGGAGAGGATCGTGCTCCCACTGTTCGAACGAATCACATGGAGAGCCAGGAGGTCCTGATATATGATGCTTGTGTCGGAGCCTGAGCTACCCATAAGTCGAAGCTGGAACAGACGAAGTTATATACTAACTGGACCGAAGATAGAGAGGTTTTTGCGTGTCAATTACGAGCTCTTCAGCGGGGTCGTCAGGATACAGAGATCGGCCAGCGGAAGCGGAAACGGTCGTAGTGGGGCTCTGAGGAGCAGTGACAACCCCTTGCGGGGGCAAGATCTCCTTTGTGCTCACAAATTTGAGGACTAGCGTCATATCTGCCCATGTTGAGTATACGAAGATGTCGGAAATAAAAGATACATACGATCCCCCTGCCCATGTCGTAATTCTTCCTGATAACGCGTAGGTATCCAATTCAAGGCTGACGAGAAGAAGAACGGCTCGATCTTGTATCTTCAGTGAAAGTGAATACATGTTTTAGAGCGGAGGATGAATATGGAAACGAACCTTGTACCAAGCATCTGAAGGGTCGTACCCGACAAATCTTCTACAAATAAAGCACGAACCCGTGTCCCCTCAGGCCGCTGTACGGCGTCAGTAGCTGTTACGCGGCAAGGACTGAACACTCACCCGTTCCTGCACTTGTTCCCACAACGTTTCGGTTGACTGACTTGCAAAGTCCAAAGGCTCCTGGGCCTCAAATACACCGCTTGCCAACATGTCCAGCCGATATATGATAGACTTGTCTTTGTGACCAGAAAAAGACGCTTGGATGATTTTCCGAATCCCGCTTTTACTCTGTTGGTCTACCCTCCAATTCGGAAACAAAGTTTGGGGGTATCCGTACCAACATCCCCCGCACTCGCCTTCAGGATGTGGACACTTCGGCTTTCCAGCATCATCCGACGTGACATCCGTCGATGTGCTAGAGTCTAGCCATGGCCAAGGTGCTGAGGGTGCTGCATGGCGATGCGACGGAGTTGGCACTGATATAAAGCGTCTCGAACTTTGCTTCAGTGGTATATCCAAGACAGTTCGAGCCATGGAGAAAGTGAGGTGGAGTAGGAGGCAGGGTTCCGACCACGAAGCTGTCGAATTATGCTACACATGGTGAGCGTTAGTAGGATGATGGCTTGGCTTCCGTGAGAATGTGCGATACTTGTCACGAGGTCGATCTGAGCAGTGCGTCAATCAATTCTGTGCACAGGCAGCGAGCTTCTGGTGGTGGGTGGGACAGTCACTCCAACAGACTCCAACACGATTTCTTTCGCGTTTATCACGTGGCATTATCATTATTTAATGTTAGGGGTAGGGACGAATGAAAACTGGAATGAAGAGCCTTGCGTTGAAGGCAATTGAAGGCTTGCAATTTGACGGCAATTGAGATGCGCAGTATCATAGAGAGATTAATTATCAGGCCCTGGTAATTAATGACCGTGTATATACAACATGCCGGAAACACAATGCTGTATGTAGAGTTCTGACACCAGCAATTAAGCCGCCGGCTCCTCAGCAGGGGCACCTGCGCCAGCAATTTTCGACTGGACGTGCTCACAACCCTGTGCTGCGAGGTCGGCGACTGCGGCTTTGCCGTGGGCGACTACAGCGGTCTTCACGGCAGCGAGTGCGCTCTTGAAGAACTCTGGGGTGGCGTAGATGGTGGTGCCATCAATCGAATCAAGCCAATCTTGATAGGCTTGTTCGACGATATCATCAGCGAGCTCGGAAGTGCGAGCTGCCAGCTTCTCCTGTACTTTATCGCACCCGGAGGCGACGACACTGGAGAGTGCGGCCTTGCCATGGGTGATGGCGGCGTTCTTCACGGCGGCGAGGGCGCTCTTGAAGAAGGCAGGAGTTTCCTCCACGCTAGCCTCGTCCTGCGTCTGAAGCCAGTCGTAGTAAGCCTCCACAGCGACGGCATCGGTGTTATCGACGGAGCGAGCGACAATGCCGGTGCCAGTCGCAGCCTGGAGGGGGCTGGCAGCAACAAAGGCGGCGAGGGCAAGGAGGATGAAGGCAGGACGCATGTCGACTCTGTAAACGATGGAGGCGATAGGTTAGTAACGCTCGACATGATATATAGTATATCAACGAACGATGTGAAGCGAACTTGACCGCCTGTTAGTTGCGTGGTAAGTAAATATGTATGGATGAGAATGAGTCATTTACTCACTGTTGGGCTGGCTGGAATTGCTGAGGATCTACGGTCAACTGGACCCCCTTAAATACAAGGAGACCCCCTATGGATCGGGGCAATCATCACCATAGTTCACTGACATCGTTCCAGCTGTCTGTCCATCATGAGGCAAAAGCTTGTGTGAAGGGCCTCGAAACTAAGGTTTTAGCATGGTAGTTAGTCAGGGTAGCTTAGCATCTTCCTTCGGCTACACCTTGAAATAGATCGGTATATCGATACCGTAGCGTACCACAGCGTACCACACTCCGGGTCACCGCATTCGGCTATCCGTTGATTCGGCCAGTGAGAGAAGACCTACCAGGGGATGTGGACACGTCTACCCCATATCTTGATGTTTACGTGGGCTATACCAACCTTTAGACTGACGTGACCATGCTGTTTGATTTCGCTCGACCCAGCCGCGAGGCTCCCTGGTGAGTGTCCCAGTCAGCCTCACCGCCTAGCGCCTGCCATTCGCGCTATCCAACATATTGCATCTTCTAACCTCTAAGCTGTATGCCACCTGGCGGATGGTAAACCGGGAAAATCATGGCTGAGCTGGAAATTTGATACTCGTCAAAGATCCGCTAGACTGTCGCATGGTTTCACTCGTGCAGTGTAGCTGTCGACAACTGTGAACGATACGTACGACTGCTCTGCCCTTGAGGCTGTTGTCGCATCCGGGCCTGTCTCGATATCTTGAGCCCGTACATGTGGATTAGTGCTCATATTATCCATTTGACGAGAGCCCTCAAATCAAGCCTACCTGTTGTCATGCTAGGTGGCATGCACGGTGCTCGTGGTACTCAGCTGCACCCGATATTCGTTCTTTTCGAAATGGGTTGTCCCTGCCACTAGGAATAAATTTGAGTATCAGATTCATACACCGGTGATACACTTGCATTTGTTAACACAGCTACTCCGAGATGGTCCCACCGTGCCTACCACGTCGGGGGCGGCTCTCGAGTCTCAACAGCATTATCAATGGATCCAAAAAATACCCACTAGCGCCTGCCAAGCTTCAAGAACTTGCTGTGGAGCGCCCAACAACGCCTACTAGCGCTCCTGCGGCCAGTCGTCATCACTGCAACTCTGGTTCTTGCAGCCAGTTACAAGGCCTTCTGTTGCAAGCAGTGGACGGCCGAAGAATATATACCAGGGAAAGCTGGATGATATCCGGAGAGCACCTCCACGAATCTAATAGGTCTCATTGGTGAGTGAACTCTTTTGTGCGCCACGTTAATGGTTGATTTTGTGTTACTGTAGGTTGAGGTCGGTATAGCAAAGGCATGATCACCGGACGTTCAATCGCCACTTTGGTGATATTCATCATCTCAATACTCTTCGTAATCCACCCAGTCTCCTTCCATGTCCGACTACCATACTTCGGTACGAGGCGGGTCGGCCTAGGGCTTGCCACAGCACCAATCATCGCCATCGCCATCCTATGGGCTGCGCAATGTCTCGGGCCGACTCAGATCCGCAATGGCATCGTAGGCGTCGACGGGGTGAAGCCATACAACATCCTCATCCTTTTCTTTTCTCTGGCGTACATGGCCATCACCCTCGACATCACTGGGATACTCCAGTCCGCCGCATTCTGGGTCAGTAACAAAGGCGGTTCGAACGGATACAAGCTCTACCTCTACTTCTACCTCATGTTGACGGTCCTCAGCATCTTCCTTGGAAACGACCCCATCATTCTGTCTGGAACAGCATTTCTGGTGTATTACACGAAGGTTGCAGAGCTCGACCCTGTGTCCTGGCTTATGTCCGAATTTGCGGCTGCCAACACTGCCAGCATGGTCCTGTTCGTGGGGAACCCAACCAATGTTGTCATCTGCGAAGGCTTCAGAGTAAATAATGTTGCATTCACGGCGTACACAATTCTACCATTCCTGGGATGCAGCCTCTTCTGCTTCGTTGCTCTCGCTATCCAGTTCCGCAGTAAAAAGTACATTCCGAAAAACCTCCCGGTCACGGGGGACTTGGATGTCCGATCAGTCCTCCTCGATCCGAAAGGCGCTCTAGTCGGCAGCATCCTACTTGCTGGTTGCCTCATAGTCATAATCATCGTCAGTTTCTTCCATGTCGATGTGTGGATGATCACCCTCCCCTTCGCCGTCGCCAAATTTATCTTCGATATTTCTTGGGACCACTATCGATACATCAAAGGGATTCCCATGTTGGGCATGACCAGTCCGAAGCGCAAACGGTCTGCGGACTCTGGTTCGGACACCATCCCTGTTCCAGACGCTCCTTCAGACGAGACTGCCATTCGCCAGCTATCTAAACACTTCAGTCACGCTAATGACGCGCCTACTCAGACCCTACTTTCGACTATGAGAACAGAGTTGACGATTGTAGATGGGTCTGCTCTTGGCGCCTCGGAAACGATGGTTCTCCCAACTCGCACCGAATCTCCCACCCCAGTTGAGCATTTGCCTGCTCAGGCTCCCGGGCTCACCCACAGAACGAGTACACCTAACGAACTACCTCCTCCCGGGTCATCTAATGATCCGCGTGACGACAAAAAGAAATCAAAATTATACTCTCTATCCCATCATTTTCCAACCTTTTTCACTGCTCTTCCTCGGTTGCCGTTCAAGTTGGTGCCATTCGCATTTTCACAGTTCATCCTCATCGAAGCGTTGACCCATCAAGGATGGATAGAGCTCTTCTCCGATTGGTTAGTTCGCGCAACTGACCGCCAAATGCACCCCGTCGTCTGGCTCATTGGTGTCCTGGGTGTCGCCCTCTGCAACATATCTGGGACCAACATTGGGGCCACTATTCTCCTCACGAAAGTTATTCGTGCCGCTCAGTTGCCGCCGGCTAGTGATCGCGCTGGCGCCATAGCGCTTGCCGTTGCAAGTAACATCGGCGCCGTCAGCTTTACGTTCAGCGCGAGTCTCGCAGGCCTACTCTGGCAAACCATTCTGAAGCAGAAAGGAATCACCATCACGCAGACGACCTTCGCGAAGTGGAATGCTCTGCCTTTGTTGATGATGACATGTGTGGGACTGGCGATAGTGTCCGCGGAGATGGCGGTCATAACCTGAAGCGAACGGGTGGAGAGGATGACGCATCGGGGCGCCGCTCGCTTATATTAGCTACTTAGGCGCATAAACAAGATCTGTATCCGGAAGTTATAAACAGCTCTAGCGTGGCATTACCAATTCCGTCGGTGAGTTTCCAGAACTTTGGAAAACAGTGATGACTCGGGGCCATCGATGATCAGAGAAAGTCAAGCTCGTCATAACCTGGTTGGTTTGATGAACAACGCTACGACTCGATGGATTCCCTAAGCAGGTCTTTGGGAAGCGCGGTAGTGCTTCCCCTTTCCTTCTTGCTATCAACCATATTCAACGTACGACGGACGGAAAACAGTTCGTACGCACTCTCGACGACTCTGCTACTACAGCTCTGCAACCTAAACCTCGATGTATTCATCATATGCCCTCAATACGAGCTATATGTATCACCGAAACAAGCGTTTAAACCAGACGAATCCGTATCATCGACTCGCACCCAATTTGACCGTCAAGCCAAAGGGGTCGTCGTAGATAATTGTCTCATTTTACCGGAAATCGAGCTCACACGACCCCCCCAACGAGAAAGGTCCCAGTTTGCTTGAACATTTCGGCTTCTTCTTCAAGACTAAACAATCATCCTTCTCGGAAGTCAACATAGGCACTGCGAACGCCACGGTATCGATCATCATCGAATAGAAACGACCCCCCCTCTCGTCATCCCCCAATATCAAAGTTCATTATTCAGACATTCTCCGCTTATTACAAAAAGCTACCGACCAAGTATCGAGCCAAGCCGATTGTCTATTTGCGATGCCTAAGTTTGGGCACCAGCAGCAGATTGGGGCGTCTGGTTCATGGTGGCAATTTCGTCTAGAGAGGAAGAAAAGTTCATTCCGCCCGTTTGATCTTTCGGACTACACCCAAGAATTTCTTGACGACAGCCACGAGTCTGACGACGAAGGAGATGACTTGCCTGAGAGCGGTCTCGACGTGATCACCTCTCCTGATGAGGCGGCAACACGGAAGAAGCATGACGAAATAGAGAGTGCGAGAAGGGAGGCTGCAGCGAAGGAGCGTGCACTCCATGGTAAGGAATGTGTTCATTATTTCAACGAGGCGAAGAGATAGGATTCCAGGAAGTAGGTATATCGATTATATGAAACGTTGAATGAATGAAAGCAGTTTGTTTGTGTCGTACTTCCTCAGCCACATGTACTTGGTGATGATACGAAGAGCACGAACTTGAAGGATGTCTTCGTCATGCCGAAAGAGAGGTTGAATAGTTAGCGTCTGTCTCTACTATCACTCATTCAGGCTTATCACTAGGTACAGATATTGTATTTTTATATCATGAGGTCAATGGCCCGAACAATGCATGGCATCGCCCTTGTCCTCTCGTGCATATTGAGAGTACGTATACCACGGCCACCCAAGACCGGGTTTCATCTGGGAGATTCAGGGTGTCATACTCGGCCGTTGGGGCAAGGGCCACGTAAGTCCTGACACGGAATCTCGATGGGTGGCTCACTCTACAATTCGGCGGGGGCGTCCGTATCAAGAATACACACCCATGTTGTGATTGTAGCCGAATGAGCGGGGCCCGGGGTGTACGGTGCAAACCGTTCCCTTCGGGAGTGATTGATCATGCACATTTGTGTTGTGTAACCCGCGTTCGCCTACAGTCCTACGCAGGTGGTGATCTTGGTGATGGCTTCTTTCTTATTCATGTTGACCAAGAGACAACACGCCTTTAGGACCCCGTCCAAGAATCAAGTTGATTAGCACAGCAGCATGAGAGTTCGTATGGACGATACATTAAGGTATAAAGCTATTAGACAAAGCCCTAACAACCATAAGGGGTCGGGATAATCGACCGTTGACCTCAGTATTTTGCCTAAGTCAGTATAAAGTCCACGTAAGTCCATTTTTTGATGGAATTCGTCAGTTTCCGTACTTTTGATGTAAAAATTCCGGCACCTTCCTCTTTTGATCTTGTGCGGAAGGTCACGACGAAATCTAAGTCAGTGAAAAGCAAACTTACAGTGACTTAGTTTGACTGGGAATGGGAGCGTAAAGTAATAGGATTCAGACATTGCTTATGTAAGGGGAACTAATCCCAGGGGCGAAGATGTATTAATTGAGAGAACATTAAGGCTCTAGCCTAAGAGCAGTTTCTCAGGAAGTGACAAAGGGGGTATCTTGAGGGTGCTGAATGTCGGATAATGCAGGGGTATTTAGATACGAGATGAGAGACTTGGAAGAGCATGAATACTGGTGACAGGCGCTGGTGCTCCCCTGTCTTCAATTACATAATCTTTTTGATTTCGATGGCCAGTTCAATTGTTGGACTTCAACGTTTCGACGTTTCAACTCCTCACCAACATCCCCAATGTCCACTTATTTCTTCAACAACCGTTCACAACACTTGTGGCATTCAATGTGGCCCCGAATTGAAGCTCTTGACATCTCTTCTCGCTGTAACGCACCGTGTGGATAACAACTGCTCCAACTCTCTGGATCCACACACCTGGCAAACAGACTACTGGCAGGATTCCCATTCCCCTATGCGCTTCGCTAACTATTCCGACTCTCATACTCAAGTTCAAGCTTCCAGACCACTCAATACATGCAATCATCATGCCATGGACACAGAGGGGGTTTGTGAGTACCTTATATTTCAACGTCAATGTGATGCCTCCAGCCAACCAGTTGAAAATTATTGCTAAACATTACTCTAGAGTCCTCCTCCATTGGCGATGGAAGAAGCGAATAGACTGTACTGTATTATTATATATATATATTGCATCATGTTTACTATTAGTACGAATATATGTATTTTATTGCCTGAGAACGGTTTTGTACTTGACTTAACCTGACCATCACTGACCATGAGCGACTGTTGCATTGAACATGGTGGCCTGACTTTCCATGACTGACTTAGACACTAACAGACTTGGCTTGACCTGTTTTCTTCAATACCCGAAAGGGACCCACAAAATCATTTTCAAGTCATTTTACGGTAAATATTCCAGCCTAGGTCCGGCTAAGTCATTATTTTATGACTCACACAGACTTAGGCAAAACACTGAGCGTTGACACACAGAATTATCGGGCCTAATACACGTATAGGTCTGCACATCCAGTTGAGGCGGGCAAGCATAGAAAATGGGACTTATCACCGATTTCTACCCTAACACTCAAGGACTGCAACTTTACTACACTCTACACCGCCTCAACTCCTCCTCCTTAGCCAGACGGTCGAGGTACACCTTGATAAATGCCATGTACTTGTTGGAAATCGGACTCCCTAGGTGCATCGGGTCAGTCCATTGTGTGAGCCTATCGCCGTCGGGGTCGAGCTGGCCATCAAACTTGTGGCAGAACGGAAGCTGCAAGCCCGCATGCATCTCTTGTCGCAACTTCACACACATATCGATGTCTTCGGGGGAGTATGGGCCTTGTCCAACGTCTTTCACAAACTTCTTCCACCTGTCTCCAATCTTCATACCAACTTTTGTCACCGTCTCCCTCTCCTTCGCTGAATTCCTTCTTGCGTAACAGTCTGCACGTGCCGCGCTGTTGTCCATGTCAACCTGGCGTGCCTTTTCTCGCAGACAATACAATCTTCCAGCTGTAAGGGCAACCTCAAGATGGCCGACAGCGCAGGCCTAGCAGAGGGAGAATCCAAAGGATAATGAATAAGACTAACTACAGTACATGAGAGGGCTGCTCACCTAGCAGAGGGAGAATCCAAAGAGAACAGGATAAGGATTCTCCATGCTAGGAAGCGAAGTATATACTGTAGTAGCGTGAGAGGAATGCAGGATAACTGTACAGTACACCAGCCACAAGTCCGAACGGATATCACAAGGTACAAGGAAACATGTGATAATGAAGTGGAGGGTAAATGCACAGGAGTCGTGCCAGCGACTTGGGGAAGTAAGGGCGAAGAGTAATGAAGTGGGGGGAAAGGATAGAGGTAACCCGGACGAGCCCCGAGGAGTATAGACGAGTCCGAGCGAGTCCGAAGTGTCCGAAGTGCGGGAAGACTCCGGAGTCACCGGACGCGGCTCGGATGCGAAAGGAGTGGGTGGAAAGGAAGTGGAAAGGAAAGGGAGCGAAAAGGAACGAAGGGGAATGAAGGGAATGTAGGTAAGAGTCCATGGAATGAAGGAAAGGAGAGAAAATAGGAGTGTCCCCTTACATCACCCCCCCTTCAAGGTTGCGGCGACCCGACGCGAAGATTCCTGCCTGCCGCGCCACGAATTCACCAACCCCGAAACTCCGGACTGCTGCGAGAAGATGTCGAAGTACGACTGCACAGAGCCCGGAGCCTTCCGACTGCGCCAACGCTCCCAAGACTGGTCCAGTGCTGTAGGAGTCATCTGTTAGGGCGACACTAGTCAAAGACTAACGTGGCTCCCACAAGAATACTAAAACCAAAAGAATAGACGAAGTAGCTTTAGTTGACTTAGTTCTCACTATTACTAGTGGAAATCCCAAGAGAACGAGCTAGCGTTCTAGGGCCTGTTATTGGTGCTTAAATACTAAAATACATGCGTAACCCTCATGTACTACTACATGCCTACTGCAGCCGTCTTTCCATGGAACGCGCACCGATTCCATGAGGCGCTTGGTAATGTACTGCGGACATGTGTTGTGCGTGAGGATCTTACTAAGGTACCGTAATGTGAATTAGTAATAGGCGTGTCCTGCGCGTTTAGATAAGATATCGAAAAAGATAGTATTCGGGACAGACCGGGCCATAACATCATCCGGAGCGGTGCGGGAGTCGTCGGACTCGTCCAGAGTGAGCGTACTGCATCCGGATGACGATCATGGAAGTCCTTGACCTTCTGGGCAGCATGCTGGAGGTTGCTCGCAGGCTCCCAGGAGTCATGCTCGATGCCATAGCCTTGCCAGCGTACCAGATACTTCAGGACCCGACCAAACCGTCTGCTATTACGGACCTCTTCTACCTCATGCTCTTCTTCTCCATCAACAAGCTGTGGAGGGGGTGGAGCAACAGGGCGTCTACCTGGAATGGGGTCCGGGACGAAGGGAAAGAGTTTGACCATGGGGAAGACAGGGTGGAGGCGGGATAAGCCCAGAGGGAGCTGGAGTCGGTACTGTAAGGGGACACTCCTATTTTCTCTCCTTTCCTTCATCCCATGGACTCTTACCTACATTTCCTTTGTTCCCCTTTGTTCCTTTTCGCTTCCTTTCCTTTCCACTTCCTTCCCGCCCACTCCTTTCGCATCCGAGCCACGTCCGGTGACTCCGGAGTCTTCCCGCGCCTCGGACTCGCCTCGGACTCGCTTCGGACACTTCGGACTCGCTCGGACTCGTCTATACTCCTCGGGGCTCGTCCGGGTTACCTCTATCCTTTCCCCCCACTTCATTACTCTTCGCCCTTACTTCCCCAAGTCGCTGGCACGACTCCTGTGCATTTACCCTCCACTTCATTATCACATGTTTCCTTGTACCTTGTGATATCCGTTCGGACTTGTGGCTGGTGTACTGTACAGTTATCCTGCATTCCTCTCACGCTACTACAGTATATACTTCGCTTCCTAGCATGGAGAATCCTTATCCTGTTCTCTTTGGATTCTCCCTCTGCTAGGTGAGCAGCTCTCTCATGTATTGTAGTTAGTCTTATTCATTACTTTGGATTCTCCCTCTGCTAGGCCTGCGCTGTCGGCCATCTTGAGGTTGCCCTTACAGTGAGTCCGAAGTGCGGGAAGACTTTGGAGCCACCGGACGGGGCTCGGATGCGAAGGGAGTGAACGGAAGGGAAGTGGAAAGGTAAGGGGACAAAGGAAAGGAAAGGGGATGAAGGAAAGGGGAAAGGAACGAGGAGGAAGGGGGCGGGACAGGGGGAATAGGAGAAAATAGGAGTGTCCCCTTACAGCCGCCCGAGGAAATGCCCCCGTCTGGCGATCACCAACGCCAGAAGGATGGTACCTCACCTCGCCTCTGACTATCTATGCCGGTGACTCCCATGCGAACAAATCACTGAACTTGTGGATCATGGAAACGACCCCCAAGCCCGATATGGGAGAAACTTGGCTACGTGTTGACGCGAGTCATGATTTTTTATGTCTGCAACGGTGGAACTGTGACTCATAGTCCGATGGCCCGCGTATCAACTTAATATGCTGCCCACCTGCCCTCTTGCGGACCGATCGCTTCGGTAACGACAGGTTTGCTCAGGTTACTTGTATCACAAGTGTAGGATTCCAAACAGCAACTTCGAAACTATTAATCCCCCATCGCCACGTCCTAAGCAATGTCAAACTATGGCAAGCTGGTCAATAGGTATGCATTAGTATTTACTGGACTGACGACCACCAACTTCTTATCATCCAGCGTTACGGTTACTAATTGTCTACCTGCCACCTTGGCGCCAGGGACCATTCCACCCGTTTGGCGTTCATCTCACGGAGGATACCGCACTCCCCCTTACTACTTAGGGTGGCGGTTGACCTACGATCAGCTCTCTGGACTGTTGGATCCCGAAAACGATGTGAAAATTGAAGTCTTCGACTTCTTGCATAAATACATCTTGCCACGATGGGAACGACTTGGTTACGACCAAAAGCTCAGGTAAGGATGGAGGGTAACATCCACGGTCGCAAGTGTAAGCAAGGGAACAAGAGGGAACAAGCTTCAATTTAAAAGCTTCACGGGTGACCTGACCGTGACATAGTTGTTCTATCTCTATCGTGGTATCAGTCGAAAGAAGAAACATGGCGGACACTAGGATGCCGCTTTCTGGTTACCTGTACGTCTAATCTTCATATTCCTACGGTACCATGACGACACGAGAGACGCGCAGCATGCCGTTGAGTCCACCCGTAGAACCTCAGAGAATTCCGCAACTCTGGGGCTCAATGGCTCCCGGAGGATATCGTACTCCTCCATACACTCTGGGATAGCGTCTCACTCCTCCACAGCCAGCTGGCAGCCTGCCTAGACCGGAACATACGAAGACGACCATACCGATAGATTTTGAAACATGCTGCATTACACCACGGTGGCGCGCATTCGGATACGGAGAGAACTTATGGTGAGTTGTGCTCCAATGCTATGCAGCTAGTCAATCATCAGGTAATCGGACAACAGCGACGCGAGCCGGAAGTCGCCACCATCCCGGCGAGGGACGACGCGAGGGAATATGACCTGATTGTCAACCTTACGTCCAATGGCTCGAAGGCGACACTTGAAGTAGTGCAGGGTGCCCAACTCCAGGAAATAATTGCGGCTGCTGTACATACTCTCAACTTGCCTGTCGGCTTGGCTCCTGACCTGAAGTGGCATGCTCATCTTCGGCGGTCGGAACAAAAGGAAGGATGTGATTTGTCTTTGTGAAGTCTTCTTACACGAGGTAGAATGTAGTAGACCGACGCAGGCATATTGGAAGACATCTATTTTTCGGCAATTTCGAGCGAAGTGTCGGTATGCTCAATGATTCAAGTGATCTGAAATCCGCCGAAGTCTAAGTATGCCTCCTCGATGGACATCTTGCGAACCACCAACGCTTCAACTATCAACCTGGGGCTCGAACCGACAGTTGTCGGCACAGATGGCACATTATTCGTGTCGCCGGGGTGAAGGTGTTCCCTTTCTGAGTCTGCAGGAACGACTGCCGAGGGAGAATTCATGCTTGCGCGGTCCTGACCAGGCGCGCATGGTAAGAGGTCGGCATGTGGGTCTGCTCGAACATTTTGTGAATGGATATGAGGAGCTAACGTATGCGAGGTTGGGACGTGCAGACTCTCCAAACCTTCCGTGACTTCATCGAGGAGTCGCTGGGACACGGATGATTCATCCGCCTCTCCAGCCTGAGTGGTGATCATCAAAGCAGCACGGCGTTCCTCCCTTCGCTTGTCCCTAGCCTGTCGCCGAGTAAGGGACTTACTTTCTTTGGAGTATAGAGAGGTATTATTGTGTTCTTTCGTCGCAGTAGAGGCCATCATGGTAGAGGCGAGACCTCGCTTCTCGCCATTGGTGTGATGTCTGTCCCGCTTGCCTGGCACGATCATGTTTCGAGGATCATGGACACGCTGTCGGAAGGGGCGTGGTTTATAAACCGAAGCGATTTCGAGGGAGAGTGCCACTGGTGGCGACGCCCCAGGAACTTCCAGAGTATTGCTCCTCTCCTCAAAGTCGCTGTCCATGGAGAATATTGTATCTGAATGCGCGCGATTGATGGAATCTTCGGGTAGGTCTGGTTCGGTCTCGGTCTCCGTGTCCTCGAATTCAGTCCCTGACGTCTCCACGTCAGTGGTAGACTCGCTGGGACTGGCAGGTAGCAATCGTTGGGGAATCTCGACCTCCTTCACTACAATAACACTTGCTCCAATTTCTCCAGCCATCATCTCTAGGGTCTCCAACGTGCGCTCCAGATCGGAACTCGAGAGACCAATGAGTTCGCCAGAGTCTGACACTCCGAGTTCATAGTAGGCTTGGCCTCCGCCTTCGAGTAGTCGCCATTTGAGTTGGGTGACGAGACGAGCAAAGCGAGCAGGAGATGGGTTGATGAGCTGGAGCTTGTATTCTACATTTCCTATACAGTCGATGGGTAAACAGTGCTGGGAATGCTGGATACCGTACTCACCGTCATCATTCTCTGGTACAAGTTTGGGTAATGTAATTGCACTGGCTGGGCTTGGGCTGCGACGAGGCGAGCCATCTGGCGGCGTGGATATAAACGAGTCCCATGGGCTGGGTACTCGCGGGCTTTCGGATTCTCCTTCGCCAAACATGGTGTACTACAAGGGCGATGGTGTAGACAAAGGGTCATTGTGAAGGGGGATTTGGGTCTTATATTCGAGGTATCATCTTTTTCTGTGTAAGTGGGAGTAGCGAACCAGGAGACGGACAGCTCACCTAGCTTTTGTAGATGTAGCTTGAGTCAAAGGGCAGTGTGAGATTGTTAGTGACTCAGCAATAGTCATTCACGCAGCATTCTCACGGTTAGTAAAGTTGAATCAAGTCACAGTGCCATCAAGCTTCGCTGCGAACCACATACTGCCATGGCTGAGGCGCGTCAATTTGGGGACCTCGCCACTCAACTTGTACTGGAATCCCGCCGTTCTACAGCCACAGATACTCTCCTAAAATATAACGATCCGCTCGTCAGGTCAATCATCCGAGAACAACGAGATCTTGAACGCGCCGCCGATCCTCTCGTTCTACAAAGCCTTGATGCTCCTGAAGGGACGCCGCCACCCCCAGGACTCATCATAATTCAAACTGCTATCAACCGAAACAAGCGATGTCTACTTGCCTATCACTCCCATCGCGTCGAACGATTTCGTGACATGTATTGGGCTGTCGGGGGAGCTCTGCCGCATATACTTTCTAACGCCGATATTCGATCGAAGCTATCCCCCCACGAAGTCGATTATCTTAGGCAATACCATGATAGTGTGATGGAGTACAGAGCCGACCTTGGGACAAACGAGCTGGATATTATGGCGGGCATCGAGCGACCAATCAAAGATCTGAATGTGCTGGTAAAGGTGGTAAAGGATTGTGGGGTCATTCAGACGGAGCTGGGGAGTATCGATTTCAAGAAGGGGCAGAGGTTCATGGTCAGACGGGCGGACATCGAGCATCTAATCGTTCAAGGTTACCTCGAGGAGATCGTGTAACGATAATTGCAACCCATTTCACCTTCCCGCACCACTCGACTCCGTCACGCATCACGCATCGGGACTCTACGGTGTTGGCAAATCGATGCCAGTAGGTCGAGACAGCTGGACGAAGGCGCAGGTCTTGGAGCGTGGCTGCATAGGGGATTCTGTAACTTGAGCTCCTGCTGAGTTTGCCTGTCTGTCTTGCAGCAAGGCGCGCCGAGATTACCTCTACTTACCAGCATCGTGACTGGCATCTGGCGAAGCGCATCGACCTTGCACGAACGTTTCGACATCGACAGTTCTAATTAGGTAGGGCAGCATTGTGGTGATCATCTGTAGATACACTTGTACCACTTGTACGAAACATGCAGTTTCTTCCCTCTCCAGATTGCTTGATTTTGTGTTATTGTTGGAGCCCGCGCGCTTGATCCTGTTAGTAATTCAGCGCTTATGCATGGTCGAGACGAGGTCGAGCCGAGCGCTTCATTGATCATCCTTTCTCTCATCGCCTGATGAAGGAATCCCAAGATATCGAAACAGCCACGACGGCTTTGTCGCCAACGTATGTGTGTAACAGATCCTCATATCGGCTGTGATGAATGTCAATCAAATCACCAGCAATGCCACTGGGCCTCCAGATAACAAGGCGCGTCGCTACGATCGACAACTTCGGTGAGTGCGTCCAGGATGCGTAGAATTTGACCAGGAATCTGACTTTCGGCGATACATACTCTATCTGTGAAGTCTTTGGGCTGCGTCGGGGCAAAATGCACTAGAATCATCGCGCGTCTTGGTCATTAACGGGACAGCAACATCAACTTCAACGCTAAAGAACCTTGTCCTCCCTGGAATCGGCCATTTCACCATCCTGGATCCATCCAAAGTCACGCCTGCTGATGCGGGGAACAACTTCTTTCTCAACGGCCCCCACAGTATTGGCAAATCTCGAGCCGAAGAGGAGGTTAGATTGCTTCTGGAGCTGAACGATGGTGTAGAGGGGATGGCCGATACGAGATCACTGGAAGAGGTTCTGGATACGGACCCAGAATGGATCTCTGGATTCACAGTAGTCGTTGCGCACAACCTGGACTCGAAATTGCTGGACCGACTGGCGACTTTCCTATGGTCAGACGATTCTCATCCATGTCTCTTTGTGATTCGGTCATCAGGGTTCCTAGCCGAGTTCTACATCCAATACCACGAACACGCTAGTGAGTGTACTCATTCTTCATCCCACTGGTTTAGCTGCTTCAAAGAACCACAGTCATTGAATCGCACTCGGAAACCGCGCCTTCGCTTCGTATTGATAAAGCCTTTCCTGGGCTTCTCGAATACGCGAAGTCGCTGGATTTTAAGACCATGGATCCAACGGAGCACTCTCATATCCCTTACGTTGTCATCCTTGTCAAAGCCCTAGAAGATTGGAAAGCAGAGGCGAGTCTCCCTGTGTCCGCCAGTATACGACGACAACTGAATATCAATAGCACGGTGGACTGCCCCCACAAACATACCCTGAGAAGCAAGAATTCAAGAAATCTATCGTCGCCATGAAGATCAAACCCGACGAGGAAAACTTCGACGAGGCAGAAGCCCAGGCATACAAATGCTGGACATCAACGACAGTTCCATCCGAAGTGGCCGAGCTCTTCCAGGATACGAGACTGACTAACATCACACCAAAAACGCCTCGTTTCTTTGTCCTCCTCGCCGCCCTCAAGGAGTTCACCCAACAAGAACCCTACGCGTTACCATTAAGTAGCACGCTCCCCGATATGAAGAGTAATACAGAGAACTACGTCCATCTTCAGAAGCTGTACAAAACGAAGGCCGAGGAGGAGAAGGGCGTGATCAAGAAGCTCCTTGCTGCGCCGGTGCCCAGCGATCTGGTAGATAGTTTCGTCAAGAACGCCCACGGCTTGAAACTCCTCAAAGGAAAGCTGTGGGATGCGCTGAATGGTGATAAAGAAGCGCTGGGTATGCTTTGCTCCGCTACGCAGTACACTGCTTCAATTCACAGCCGCTCCCTTTGTCAGCCAACTCAGTCGGTACTCTGCCCAAACAAGTCTCCGCGCACCTCGCCCTCTCTGCCTTGGCCACTTTCCATTCTGATAACCCCACCGCGACGCCCACAGTAGACGCCCTCACGGCAGAAGCGAAGAAGATACTCCCCGAGCTGCTAGAAGGCTGGGACGATGCCGTCGGAGAGGTGTATGTACCCACACCGATTGACCCGTCCGCGATTTGTTTACCTTCTTTTTAGTGTTCGCGCACCGTTCGCAGACCTCCCGAATACTGCGGCGTTCCTCGGGGGGCTCGTTGCCCAAGAGGTCATTAAGATGATCACCAAGCAGTATGTGCCCATCAACGGGTACTGCGTTGCTGATCTTGTTGATTCTTGGACGGGCGTTATATGATACTGAAAGCTTAGTTCCCTGACCATCAGATCCTTGTAGAGCGTTGTTGTTTTTGTAAGTATGTGAATAGGAAAGACGCCATCTATCATCACCCCTGTAGGATTGCAGGTAAACACGATAGCGAGGTACCTCAGTGTCTTGGACTACCCCCACCACTTGCACAGTATATTGTTCAAATTCATCCTAATTCCCGAACGCTCCCTCCGTTGAAGCTAGCTCGCGCTACTGGTTCCCAAAAGCTGCGTATATCAAGCGAAAACAAACTATGTCTGTCCACCGTTCACGGCAACTGATACAAGGCTCCCTGCAGTCCTGGTCGAGACAACAAAGCACCTCTCCACTCGTGAATCATTCATATCTTATACGTCTCTTCCAGCTGTATCGCTACACTCCCCCACCCTTGTGCCTCACATGAACGCTGTGTATTCTCGCAGGCGTTCTGAACCACATTATCTCCATTCAACTACCTCTAGGGTTGTCATGGGGGACCGGACGATAAATGAAGTCCGATCGCCTTCACTGGTGATATATATCAGCGCCAGAACTAAATCCCAGTTGATCCCCACATTCTGTCGACATGCCTTCTCGACGACAGGGATAATCAACCATCTTCGCGCAGAACCATCGAGACTGATACATATCCAGTTGAGACAAACAAGCATAGAACATAACACCCATCACCGATTTCTACCCCAACACTCGAGAAGTATCCGTAACTTTTACTACACTCCCCGCCGCCTCGACTCCTCCTTGGCCAGGCGATCGAGGTAGGCCTTGATAAACGCCATGTACTTGTTGGAAATCGGACTCCCTAAGCGCATCGGGTCGGTCCATTCTGTGAGCCTGTCGTCGTCGGGGTCGAGCTGGTCGTCGAACTTGTGGCAGGGAAGAAGGTGCGAGCCTGCGTACATCTCTTGTTGAAATTTCACACACATGTCAACGTCTTCGGGAGAGTATGGGCCTTGTCCAACATCTTTCACGAACTTCTTCCACCTGTCTCCAATTCTTATACCAGCTCTTTCCGCTCTCTCTCTCTCTTTCCTTAAATTCCTTCTTGCGTAACGGTCCGCACGCGCTGTGCCATCAGCTATGTCATCCCGACGTGCTTTTTCTCGCAGATGATATAATCTCCGTGCCTCGATTAGATGTTCGTCCTTGTTGTCGATCTCCTCTGAAGGCAATGGAAAGCGTGCTAAAAGCCTAGCAACGGCGGGATGCATGAGTTCTCCATCGGTGCCGGGGGCATCCCCCATTTCCTCTTGTTCTTCTGTCTCGTCCGGGGAGAATTTGAGCGTATAATCTTCATAAATGAACGGCGTGTCTACCTCCCTTCTACGGCTCAAACGAAACATCCACCACGCCCCTGTTGCCGCAATAAGTATCACTTCCTCCTGATGCCCGTAGTTCAGCATTGAGAACAGACAGCAGGCTTGATCAGTGGCCTGCTCGGCGGCCGAGCGCAGCAGCCTGCTGAGCTGCTGACAATAACTGAGTATATCCTTGGGGTGACGTGAGGGAGGTCGTTTCTGCTCTACAATCACAGCCACCTTCGCGTTGGTTGTGTGTACATCGATTTCCGAGAAGCTTGGCTGCGGGGATTTCAAGAAGTGATTGATGTATTGATGCAGATTTGAATAATCCCCCAAGTGAACGGGTTGGATTTCGGGAAGAATGAGCGAGTTGTCGACAATGACGCCTTTCGCTTGGCTGTCGGAGGTAGTGACCATTGATGTGTCGGCATCAGTTGGCTGATTGTTCGGATGACGTGGAACATATAGTCTGTACTGGGGGCAGAGGACGAAGATGTCGAGGCGTTTATCACAGAGTTGAAGAAGGAGAGCTGACCAAAGTCCGTACGAGCTGTCTTCTGTCCTTCGGACGTTGAAGAGCATGGACAGGAGGAACGTGAGGGGTAGAAGCACGGCTGTCGCCCAGAAGTCGGACCAGATGGTGTCCATCAGTGTGTCTGATATCATTCCTGCACTCAGATCGATATATATATGTCTGTGTGTGTGTGTGTGCGCGCGCCTTGTGATGGACGATTGACAAATTCTCCCAGAACTCGGCATCAGTTCGAAGAGTGTCGGAGAAGGGCGAGGAAGATGCCAACCCTGTCCTTCCAAGGGATTTTTTGTGGCGTTGATTACCCGGCCCGACGTCTATTTATCTGTTGTGATTATGTGGTGGACACGATCGGAGATATATAGGCTCGAGTCACCATGAAATGCTAGGAGCGCCGTTCCGAATAAGGAAAGTAGTGTTGGAGCTTCACCCTGGAACCAATCACGGCATGTCCCGTGTGCTGGGTCGATTACTGAGACGTCCATACATGGAACGATCATGTGATCGTGTTTGGGAGTCCGACTAATTCAAGAATCGACCGTTTCAACCACTAGCCGTTATCATCAACACATTGAAGCCAACCATGACTGACAACGGCAAGGCAATTGCCAGTGAATTGTGAGTTCACATATTGAGCTCGTCATGGGTCTCTCTGACACGAGAAACGCGTAGTATGGCGAAGAACCCACCCGAGACGTTGGATCCAACCACTATCCCTCCCCTCTGGGGCTCAATGGCGCCTGGAGGGTATCGTACCCCTCCATACACTCTGGGCTGGCGCATCACTCCTCATCAGTTGCAGGCATTCTTAGACCCTGACTGCACGAAGCCGACCATACCGGTGAATATCGAAATTCGCTGCATTACGCCACGTTGGCGGGCATTCGGTTATGGGAAGAAGTATTGGTGGGTTGTGTTCCAAGGCTCTGCGGTAGCTGCTAATTATCCTGTAATTGGACAACAGCGGCTTAAGGCCAACGGTCCGCACGATACCAGCTTGGAGAGACGACGTGCGGGAGGATGACCTAATTGTCTACTTTTCGTCCAATGCCTCGAAGAAAAATCTTGAAGCAGTGCGGGGACCGAGACTCCAGGAAGTGACTGCTGCTGTTGCACATACTCTCAACCTCCCCGACGACTTGGTTCCTGACCTGAAGTGGTATGGTCATTTCCGGAAGTCGGCAAAACAGAATTGATATGCTTCATATTGGCTTTGTGTTGTCATATATGTAGCATCGTTGGACTGTTATTCAAGTCACTTTTGTCTAGCCGACGTTCTCGTTTATGGCAGTGGGTGCTGAGCGCTGAGTAGTGGTTCAAGCTTTTGGAGATCGAATAGAAATGTTGGGCCACAATGGCCCTCGGGATCAGGAGCTTTTCGTAACATCAAGGGTGCAGCCGCAAAAAGCCCGCGAGCGGCAGAAGTCCTCGAAGCTATGTATACGGCCCACCCCGAGAGCACTGGCCCTCAAACTTAACGTACACAGCAATGTCACTAACGTCATTCCATGGAAATCCACTTAATTGCAATCGGAGATTGTTGACACCTCCAACATGTTTGCAACACATGTACCGCAGTGCAACACATGTACCGCAGGGGTTTTGCTCCTGATCTGACATGCGTACCGAATATATGGCTCAGAACCTGTGATGCGATGATAATTGTCCCCTGCAAGTTGCTCTTCCCAAGATCTTTCGATATCTTTTCCTGAAAGCATTCACTTGCTTCACCCTGTGGGTCCTGATTTACATTTGTTGTCACTCGACGTTGACTCATCCCATGGAGGCTATCGTACTTGGCAGTTTCGCGCCACCAACTGGCGACTGACAGATCGATAGTCCGGGCGTCGAAGTAGGCATGGTTCTTGGGCTAACGAATTACAAAATACACAGATCGAGTCATTGTGCATTAGACATCAACAGTCAGCGGGAGCAAATATGGACCCCTATGTGCAGACTTAATTACTTCCAACGAGAACAATGGACAGGTGTGCACATTCCATCAGAATAAAACCTGAAGCACCCACTGAAGTTTCCATCAGCATCAGATGGCTTCACCCCACACCCGATTATAGAAACTATCCGTTCCCTTCACTTGGCCTGATACGGACATCCCTGCCTAATCAAAGAGTGAGTCACTCATCAAAAGTTTCGTGTTGTGGGTGACTCCGCCGCCACGAAAAGGTGGCTTTTCTTCTTGAGGCTTGCGTGCACCTATGATATCAAAGTATCTCTCACTATATTTTGGGGCACGGCTAAGCAGTGTCGTTGTTGGGAACCACATTTCAGAATGGGAAGCGCTTCCTACATCTTTCAGCATTGCTATATGATACTAGGAGCCGGGGCCTCCTGTGTGTGCTCCTTGTATAATCTCTAACTCACGCACGAAGTTCTTGTCTAGCAACGTCAGATGTGGTCAAAAAAGCAAACACTCGCTTGTAAGTCACCGGTCACCACCGAACGTGCGCAAAGACGACGGGCGGGTCTCTTATGAGTTTTCAACGCTCGTCGAGTTCTTCATGGCCGATGCTTACTCAGGCGGCAGGGAGAGGAAACACCCCAGAACGCGTCCCAGAATGGAGTTTGTTGCTAGTCGAGGGTAGCTTGATCCAGGCCACTTTCATAACCCTGCCACAAAGATGGCACGACTTGAAGAGCAGTGCTACGAATCTATCGCAGGGGACAGCTACTATCAAATGTCACCTGAGTCCTGGCTCGAATGCGGGAAATAGGTATGCCATCCAATACCACCAGCTAGTTCGTCAGGTAGGTTGAGGGCGTGAGAGGTAGCTTCGATAATAAGTTTGGCTTTGGGGTCTTGAGAGGCCGCGATCGTTGCCTTCGACATATTGGAGAAGGCAAAAACGATCACTTCTCGATCCCTGCCGCTATATGTCATCGGCCCAAGAACCAGGCCTGGTTCAACGTCGGGACTATGGATTGTCAGTTCCCCTCTGGTGGCAAGAGCTCAACTATTCTGGGCTCCCTCTCTTTCAACAAATAGCAGCCAATATGGATCTATGAATATGTAGTTTGTAGTACAACTCACCCATACTACTTCTTTTGATATACGTATGTGCTTATCACAGTGGTGCGATGCAGTGTGTTACAGCCTCTACAGTTGTACATTAATGTTCTATCCATACAGTAATCGCCTAACAAACGCTACTATAATATAAATCTAGTACAAGATCCAGCGCTGCAGGTCTTTTACAGTTCCGCTTCGGTGAAAATTGGGTCCACGTCCTTCCAGCTTATTTTGCCATTTTCTCTCCATATTTTCTCTCTTTCTATCCAGTATTCCAACGAATCGCCAATTTTAGACGGAGTCCATACCCTTTCCCCAGTATCACCATCCGTTTCCGCAGAGAACCATCTCGGTCTATGAGGCGGTAACCGTCCCTCTTCCCTAGCCCGGCGCGTTGCCCGTTGTTTCTCCTCTTGTGCATTTTTGAGATCGTTCGCTCGCTCGTAAAGTCCAACTTCGAACGCCCGTTGATCCGGTCGCATGCGACAGTCAGTGGGGCAAATAATCGAACGCAAGCTATCAGGACAGTCGTTCAACGTTATAGCGAACGGCGTGAGGTTGAATGGGGCTGTTGGCTTTTCCGAGTTCCGCCAAAGTAGGATATATTCAGGTTGGATAGAGGGCGATAGAGGGTCGATGACCGACGTGTCGGGATGTAGCAGACCACTCCCGGTCCCGACTCGTCTGGCAATGAGCTGAGAATTCCAGCGTCCCGCTATTTCATACGTAACATTGCCGGAGGAGTCACGAACGAGACCGCTGATCTCGTACGCATCCTTTCCACGCCAGCCACGCGGCTTGAACGTCAAGATACACTGATCCCCGGTCCGGTGGTTAGTGACCTATTGATGCAGTTAGCTAGATTCTTGTATGAGGGGACAAAGTTCCACTAACGATCATATCACCATAGTGATCTATGGTCGGGGAGCCAAGAATAAATCCAGATACGTTGGTTGTAACCTTCTTCCAAGTGTAGTGCTCGATTACTTTCCCTTCGCCGACAGGTCCCTTGCCTTTAGGGTAATGTGGCGCAAGTTCCTCAGGCAATAGCAGCTCTGCGTGCGCTATACCGGTAGGCCGAATCTCAAAGGATTTACCCATGAACTTGTTCTGCGCGTCGACCTGAAAAAAAAATTAATGATATTGGCGAACAGCGGAAAGTGGGTACTTACTTCGCCAAAGTAATGCCAATTCGGAGACTCCGCCCAACATGCTGACATGGGTGGATGATGGCTAACCTGTTCAGACATGTAACGATATTCCTTGTCAAGCCGCACATACTCAAACGTTTCGCTCTAGCAAAGACGACGGAGAATCAGAACGACCGGACGCACCCATGTCCCACTTGACAACTCACGAGCATAGGGTTAAATGGCTTAGCTATACGGCCAATTGTCGATGAATAATTGGACATCGCAAACGCGGCAACGAAGGCCAAACGTTTATGTGGATCCGTTTCTTTAGCAGCGACGTCAACTGCAGAGACATGAATATTGAGTATGATTGATAATAGCTTCGAGCTAGCACGTACGGCATTCCGAGAACTCCATATCCTCGGCCTGAAAACATTAGACAACATATTGAGGGATGATAAATGAGTGACTCACCATCCGCTGTAGCATACTCGTAGGTTCATTGAAAAACACGGGGAAACTAATCCTAGTGAGATCCTTGCCGATACTGTGTTTCAAGACGCTCCACAGACTCGTACTGGGCCGATTGTCTGCATCCAAAGCAAGTCTCGTGCGTAGTTGAGTGTAACTGGCATACTGAGCAACGTCAAGGTTAAGGCCAAGTTTCTTCGCTACAGCGTCAAAAGACTCGATGTCAGCCTTTTCAGTCGACGGACCCCCGAGAATAGAATCTTGCGTATGCGATGGGCTGGCCAAAGGTTCAGGAATCGTGAGATTTGGTAGTGTATTTGATTCGATGGCGTCAAAGAACTCGTCTTCCTCGTCTGTATCAACGGCACCTTCGTCCTCCGCGTCACCCGAAGATTTGAGTGCGTTTAGTGTGCCACCACTGACATTACGAGAGAGTATTTTCCTTGGGATACTCGACGAGGAGGCACGAGGGCTTTGTAACGAGGGCTTTCTCTCCGTAGGCAACTCAGTCAAAGCTTGAGACGATTGTGCTTGGGAAGGTTGCTCTGGTTGTGTGACTGGCGCGGCGGCGGCGGCGGTATCAACTAAAGGCTGCTTATCCTTGACCGTGTCACCGGGCTTGAGGCTTGGTCCATCACCCATACTTTCAAAGATTCTGCTCGCCCGCAGTTTCATCGCACCAGCCTTCACTGTACCACCTTGACCCATTCCGAACTCCAACATTCGACTATCTTTTCCTCCTCCCCTCCCACGCGCACGCCGCCGCAGCTCTTGCTCCAAGACTTCGCCTTCTTGCACCACAACTTTCAAGCTCTCTTCCCAAACGCTCTGTCGTTTCCGCTCGTTCCTTAGTTGCCGGACATACCACTCTTCACGAGCTTGAACCATCGTTATGTACTCGGTCTGAAGACTTTGTAGCGTCGTCAACGACTGGTGCGTGTTAGAAAGCAGGCTTTTTGTAGATGTAGAGGCTGTTGGGTTATCGGAAATAGCTTTCCCAAGCGCAGCAAGGAGAATCTCCATCTGTGCCGTAAGACTGTTCGCATGGAGCCCAAATGTCTGCGAGTGAGGTGGGCCGCGCGTTCCGGAATCGCCAGAAGCAGAGTCATCTGCATTCGATTCGTCCCCATGTTCGTGCGACGCAGAGTCGTCATCATAGTCGTCCGGGCGGTGGAATGAGGAAGCCTCATCGTTTTGTGATCGGTACGATTCCCCGGCATCGGTTTCGTCTCCTGGTTGCAGCAGTCGACCGTGCTTGTCTCGATGCCTCATGCTGACATCAACGCTACTCGCGCTCATAGTCCGCCCACCAAAATTGCTGGCAGAACTAAGCAACGAGCTCGAACCCAACCCATGTCCACTCCCTATACCGCCCTCGATATAGGAGTTATCGCTTTCGCTTCCCTTCGGCCCGAGTGCGTGGCCCGGTTTCAAGTTCTTCCTAAGGATGGAGGATTTGCTCCATTCACTGTCGCCACTCTTTCGACTTCTTGCATCCTCGTTCGCCAATACGCTGACCCGACTGTGGTCGAGATTGGCCATAATGCCAGCTTCTTCGCGCTCCCGAGCACGCCACCAGTCGATACTCCGTCCAAGAGCTTGTACCCACCTTGCAGCTTCAACGGGGTGGCTTGCCTTCATATACCACCTTTGGGCTGGAGTTGCCGAATGTGACGCCGCTATGCAATTCAGCAAATGAGACGATGCTGTCGATTAAGAGCTGACTATCTTGAACACACCAGACGGGGTTGAATGTACTTCGAAGCGAAGCTTGCTGCGGGCATCTCCGGGCGATATCTTCAGCGTCGCGGTCTTCATCGAGATGGAACCGCGGGAAGCGATGGTCTCGTCATCTTGGTGTCGGTAATCTACATGAATATCAGAGCACTGCCGCAGAAGATGTGGATTCACAGCCTTACAAGAGAGGATGCCATCACGTAGAACAAACCATCGCGTGTTGTACCCCTTCGCGACGTTGGTATATTTATTCAAGTAGCCCTTCAGACTCGGAGGCTCTGCTAGTCCATGAGTGGCTTGCGCGTGAATAGTCGTGAGGCCACTTGAACTAGAGCTCAGGCCGGTTGGGACAGGAAGGTGTTGGCTGGAAGACGCCTCCGAATGCGAAATGGGCGACAAGGAGGGTTGCAGAAGGGATGTATCATGGTTTGCCACTAGATGAACTAGATTAGCCCAATGATCCTGAACACAAATGAGCACTCACATTGGCGAAGAAATACTTTGATCCTATCCCCTTCGGCTTTCCATTCCTTGTTGCTTCCTTTGCTTAAGGTTTCTCTAGACTGAGAACTATTTCCTCCCGGGCGTAGAATCACTACCTCTTCTACGCCTCTACCACGAGCGTCACGAACGAAAACGTCGGCGCCAGATCGAACTGCAGATTCGATCATGCGAAGGTCGTGTCGAGCGGCTGCAGCGTGAAGCAGGGAGAAGCCAGACGCATCGTCGATATAATTGACGTTAAGGAGAGGGTGGCGAGCACGTGGAGAGGATAATAGTGCAATAAGTTGGGTATTCGGTATTGGGCGCGAGTTAGACGTTTGTGGAGTGGATGAAGTGGACGTGGTACGTGGTATTGGTGACGCTGTTGGATCTGGCAGGGGTGATAGGATGTAGGATCGTAGCAGCGAGCGAAATGATGCATTCAAGAAAGCCCTCGAGTCTGCGCAACGGTTAGTCTACCTGTTCACTTCGCTTCGCCGCTTCCACAGAAATGTATGAGCTCACCATCGATGGCCTTTGCCGTATCCTTCCCCTTAGCCAAGTCCCTGCAGTTTCTACCGTGAGCATCGAGCTTCGTGTCATCAATCCCTTCTTGCTCGAGGAGCAATCGTACAACGTCTGCCCGACCAGTTGCTGCTGCAAGGTGGAGCGGTGTCGTCCCAGAGCCCGGAGGGTGTACACCATTCGGGTCTATTGCTCTGTGCGCAAGCAGTAAATTTACGGTCTCTGAAGAGGCACATCGGATCGCGAGGTGGAGTGCCGCGGCGCCGGTGTTGAGGGCGTCGCTAGTAGCGAGCGACGTGTCTTTGGAATCTTTGGAGATTTCCGACAGAAATGGATGAATAAGAGCAGGGTCGCCGCTACGCAGCGCGGCGAGCAACTTGACTTGTTGCAGTGGCTCTGCGTTGGTCATATTGGCATGGTAGAAAGCGAGAAGAAATCAGAAACGGACTTGATGCACCGCGTCGTTTCATAGGGTTAGGGTTTATGGAGTATTAGGTTAACAATGAATACAGAAAACAGTATTAGGGAGATTGAATAAAGGTACAGAGAAAGTCCAACGTAGCACTCGGTAGCGGTTAGACACTATGCGCTAGAGGATAAGAGTAATTACTAGAGAACGTGAATATGAAGTCATGAAGTCAGCTTACCCCAATCCAGTCAAGATCGTATCCACCACGCTGATCAAGTTCGCTCCAGAATTGTCAGCAGGGCAAGAAAGAGCTCGCCCCCTCAGGCCGGTACTTCGTCTGGCAAATGCACTGGATGACGCAATCCCTCTTCTCTTGCTAGCGGAATCAGTAGAAGCTCCCAAACATTTCTGGTGGGACACAATAAATCAATCGAGCTCGGCATGGAGAAAGTGAACAAACCTTGAACAAATCAAAGCTCTTGCTGAAGAGGTTGACTTTCGTTGACTTGTTGAACAGCCCGAAGAACGAGCCATCGGCTCCTGCATTCACATTAAGGGCGGCGCCGATGTCTATACACCCATTCACACTGGCGGACCCAGCGGTTGACACTTTGGCACGCTTCGTGGGAGGCTCGATAGAACTAGAGCCAATTTCACGCGCTACAGTAGCACTCCCCGTAGCTTTGGCATCTAAAGACAACGTCATCTGAGCGCTGGCATCCAAGTCAAGGGACACAGTAGCTTCAGCAATGCCACCAAGCGCGCTAATGCCAAAGTCAAGCGTTGGGATCACATGGGCTTCAAGTGTACCCTTGGAGGCAAACGATGGGCTAAGTGAGAGTTTGAGCGCTGGGAAGCAGTTTGTTCAGGATGAACTGGACGATGGTTGATACGATGATACGTACGTGTTTCTCTAGGCTTGAAACCACCTCCGGAGGGGTGTCCCTTCGACGCAGGGAAGAATAACTTCGCCCCATCCACCTTATAAGACAGATCGACCGTCATGTCGATATTGATATCGAGGTCAGCTTTGGCTTGTCCAATAATCTTGAACGTAGGGCCGATGCTCAATATTCTGCACATCCGTCAGCAGTGTGTCCGAATAGCGAGATCACGAACATACCCAGGGAAATCAAGCCCAGGAATACCGACCTGGAACAGAGTCTGAGCACCCGAATCAATTGCACCCTGCCAAGAGATTATTACTTCAGAGAAGATCACAATTTAACGGTACCTACGCACCGAAGCAGATCCAGAGAGTGTCAAAGTGCCGTCTAAGTCAGCATTAAGGGATGCGTAAAGGCCGAACTCGTCTAACTTAGGCGGGATGATAGTCCCAGTTGTAGCGATACCAACCTGTAGGTTCATAAGTAGTGAACGGATTCAAGGAAGATGATTACGAACAGTGACCAAAGCGTGCGCCGCCGTGTTGATGTCGGCCTTCACAGATGCGTCGAAGGCGCCGCACGAGACCTTCTGATCAAGTAGCGGAAATTTCTTGTTGACATCGATGGGAGGCAGAGATTTTGTGATGGACTCGTCAAAAGAGTTGAATTCTGGGAGATGCACACAGAAAATATAAGTCTCACATAGGAGGCCATTTAATCCACTTACTGTCGAATGCATCTTCCACAAAGTCAAATAAGCCCCGGCGAGACAGACGACTGCGACGTCTTGATGCGTTGGGAGCTGTTATTGTCAGGTTTCCATTGGCACCGGGAATAGTCGCGCCTTGGATAGCTATGGATACGTTGCCAGCTCTACGAAGATTAATGAGGATTCAGTTCACACTCCAGCGAGGATCACTCACTGTGATGGATCAACCTTCGAGAAGTCTGTATCAAGTGCCAGGCCACGGACTTCAGGCTGAGCATTAGCCCGTCGAACGATTCGCGCCGCGATACTAGAAGGGATTGTCTGGTCTTCGTGCACCCAGGACCGAGAGACCCTGGCAAAGGCACTCCCACCGCACTGTGTAATACTGTTGTTAAGGAACGGCTGCAGGATAAGGGAAGATAGGGATTTCTTCACATACGTTCTCCGGCAAGCGTACAATTTTCCCGACAGCTGAGTTTTGCAGTAGATGGTTGCACCCAGAGTCAGGATCATCGGTCTCACACACGAGACGGATATCCTGGGAGAGTGCATTGCTGTCGCAGCCGAGTATAGTCCAGCCAGCAGCGGGGGTGATATCAGAGATCGCGTTTGGTGAACCCCACTAATCTTACACGTCAGTGGAACATAGATTCACGATGATTGAAGGGGCCCACTATTTTTAATGTCCCGGACACGGATCCATCTGTGCTCGGGAGGTCATAGGAGCACTCGCCGTCCAGACAGGCCTTTGACCAATCGTTCAAACCGTGCACGACAGACGCGAGGAATAAAACGGTCAACGAGTATTGGTACTTCATCATAATAAAAAGTAGGCCGGCCTGGTGAAACGAAGCAAAAGGGACGACTACGCGTCAAAAGAACGAAGGAACGAGGGGAAAGGGGATGAATGGTCAAGTGCCCATGCTAGTTACGCTCATATATCTCAGCTAGAGACTCTGTTGGCAACGATCAGAAGAGCACATAGTACATAACCCATGTGGCACCTATAGAATACAGTCGGTGATGTTTGAGCTGAAACCAGGGATCTACTACCTTGGGTCCGTTGCCTGCTGATGAGAAGGAACTATCACTTCGCTAAGCTTGTTGACGTCTTCGATACATTGATGGCCGACACCAACATGTGGCGAGCGAATGATGGTTTTCCATTGAGCCACAATAAGCGCCAGTGCCATCAACCGTTCGCCACCATCATGCTTTGGTTCATGCTCATCATGTGAACTGACGGACTCTCCCGGTCCTTCGATCCAGGCGCGATGTTGAATATTTTGATCACTTGTATCCATCCGAGATGTTGGCAGCTAGGTTGTTGACTGTTGCGTTAGAGGCTAAGCGGTATCAGTGCCTTCTTCTTCCCCTTCCTCGTCGACGTCTGCGACGTTTCTCTCGACCTCCAGTTGCTGCTATCCTAAGTGAGTAATTTGAGCCGCACAATTCCAGCTTGAATGCAATCTACTCTATGTTGGTTCCTCTGCAGTGAAAGCCATGAATTTGACTCAATTACCCACCAATCATTCTGGCAAAAACTGTTCTCGCGCTGAGACCTATCCGCCCTTGCGCGATCTCCGCGCTCGGTTGTCGCGACATGAAAGAGAAGTCATCCCAGAGTTTTCAACCGACGAGGGCGAACGCAGATCAATCAAGTCGGACGGATGGCTACAGCCAGCCTCTTGTCAACAATCAGAACCTTGGCGACAATGTCGACATCTTCCACGTGGACCCCTGGCTTCTTCAGGAGACTTTAGGAGACTCGCATATTGCTGTTGGCCTGAACAAGCCCAAGGTCGTACGTGTCTCAGATAACTGGAACGGAAAACAGAGGAAGTGTTTCCATACGGAAAGTTGTAGAGCGACGTATTACTCCCGCCCAGCACTTATACATGATCGATTACCGAAATCTCGAAACCTTCCACGGGTTCGTCTCAAGCCCTTCTGTGACCAGCAAGATGTTTGGCCAAAGCACGATGCACCCTTGCCACCGTTCGCCACTTCCACTCCCGCCACTCAGACCTTCCTTTCCTATCGAAGCCACAACACCACGGTCAATGCTCACATCAAACGGCCACTTGAGCTTTGCCCCCACGAATGGCTCTTTGTCCGTATGTACTGAGTATATGTACTAACGCATAGGCAGCAGGATGAAGCCAGTCTCAGTCTGCCTTCCAATTAACGTCGCAGATACCCTCACCGCTCAATACCATGGAATACCTTGCCCTCCCAGGAACTGCTGGCTCTGCTGTATCCCTCCCGCCTGCACCCTCTTCAATCTGTATCCCTAATGAAGAAGACACGATGTGGTCGATGCGGCTCATCGACGAGCTCGCTGCAGAGGAACATAAGCCTGCCCGAGGCCCAGCTCTATCGTATGCTTGGAACGAAGGCCCCCTGCCACCGCTCGAACAAGCGCAAAATAGACTTGGACTACCACTCTTCGTTGCTCAACCGGTCGAGCCCAGCGTACCCAAGGCGCCAATCCCCGCCAAGGTACACAAGAAAATCATCGTAAGTATTCTGCACGCTTGAACGTTCCTCCTTCGCGCATGCTAAAAAACGTGAACAGTACGATCAAGAAATTGTTACGTGCGAATGCGGCAAGGTAGGCATGCGAGGCGTCATTAGGCGCCACCAAAAGCGCAAGTGCCCGAACAAGATACCAGTTGGTCCTCGATGCCCAGATTGTCAGAGGGTGTTCTCTAGCAATGGTGCCCTGCGCCAGCACCGAGCAAACATAGCTCGATGTCTGAAGAATGTGGCCCGCATGACGCGATGCGTCGCCGCCCCTATGACTCCTGATTCGACATCTGCCCCCGGACTTGGTGCACTTGGCCCGTCCCAACAAAGAACGTCTCTTTCGGACGACGAATTGCAATACCCCGATGATGCTCAGTGCGCCTCCATTCTCGACGCTGAATTGCAATATCCCGATGATAGTGAATGCGCTCTCGATGCTGAACCACTCGTCAGTCAGCAAGGAACATTCGATGCGGGGTCATCCGATATGGTTCTGTAGGTGATCATCATCGCGCTGTCTCCTCTCCCAGGCCCAGTTTGCAGTCTATCATATGTCTATATCTAATTTCTACGACTTATTCCATCACGGCTAATGCAGAAGCCTGGGACGTAATGCATTAGAATTACCAGGTAGATTTTGGTTGTTGTGTTGTCGCCCACGTCACCAGTCATCGTGACCATTTCCGTAAAAAGCCAAAAGTGTTCGTGAAGAAACGCAAGTTGGCTTCGACTACCGTCAGCGAGAGATACGTTTAGCGCAGCAACGGGTGTGGGCATGCTCCTGCCTCTATTCCTAATCTCCTTCTTGTCTTGCCTTCCCTGTTGGCGACCTGATGGTACGATGATTAGGTATAGGTAAGAACAATCGTACATACTTCGTGATGTTGTCGGTCTCTTATTCTCAGTCAGTATGTAATAGTCGATGTTGTTGTCCTCCCTGCCGGGACTACTTTGGCAAGTACTCCCCGAGGGTCAAGCTCAGTGTTTATGTCGACCAGCTCGAGGTCAGCAGATTACTTGACGGGTGTGAAGAAGCGATTGGCCGCAGTTATCGTCGTGTGCTGGTCGACGCCTCTGTCCCTTGTCCTCAACCGGTTGCCCAGAAACTCAGGGGCTGACAGCTGACAGCAACCTTGCATTCGGTGTGTACCCGCTGAACATGGAAGAGGTGCGGCAACAATTCTCCACTATCTGCTCCAAAGCTGTTGAGCCTAAACCGGTGAGTGCGACGCTCTGTCGAACGTGCGCAAGTCGATTGTCAACTTATGCCAGCTGTGATTTCTCAGTTTGCAGGTCAATGCATGCAGTCTCGGCTATATACACACACTCTCCCAGAGTTCGGGCGATAATGTCTTGATGCAGCCCTTTTCTTTCTCTTCCAGATCGTGCTGTTTTATCTATTTTCATTTTTTCATATACACTTATGTAAATAGACAAAAAAAGGACCCGTACCTGCCATGCACAGCAGTGGCCCACTCACAAGTCGATATTTGGCGGCGGTTGTGAGAGAGAAGGCTCAGATACACCCCGCACCCGGTACGAAGAGTAGCCGTGTAAGGTCTACGATTAGTGAGCTATCCTACTAGGGATCGCGAAGCCAAACGACCCATCATTAGTCGGCCGCAGCGAGAGGACAGATCTAGCCAGATTGCCAGAGTCATTGCTTTGGCGGTTCAAACGCTCAACGTTCAACAAGCGTGCACTGGTACTGTTCCAGCGTGAGAGTTTGTGAAACATCCTTTCCGCTCCTCCCATCTCAAGTGGAACTACTTCTATGGAAAGCGCAGATCAACTGGGGTTGTCCGTCGCGTTTCAAGAGGCGCAAGATGGGTACAAAGAAGGAGGAATCCCTATCGGCGCTGCCCTGGTTCGGGTTCGGGATGGTATGGCGGATGTCCTAGCCTCGGGACGTAATTTACGCCTTCAAAAGTCGTCGGCGACATTGCACGGTGAAACATCAGCGCTAGAGAATGCGGGAAGGTTGCCTGTTGAGGTTTACAGAGAATGTACCATGGTACGGCTTTGCCACGGGTTGCGATTAGACAACTAGATTCTCCCTGATATCACCAGTACACGACGCTGAGGTACGCGCAATCCCCGCAAATGTCTTGTCGTCGTGGCTAGAATGGCACGGTCACATAGTCCCTGTAGCATGTGCTCCGGCGCCATATTGCTTTACAAAATCCCTCGAGTCGTTATTGGAGAAAACGCGAACTTTAAGGGTGAAGAAGAATTGCTGCGCAGCCGTGGTGTGGATGTTCTCGTGGTAGATGATGAAGCGTGCAAAACGTTGATGGCTAGATTCATCAAAGAGAAGCCACAGGTGAGCATGTTCAAACGCCTTGGTGTTTTATTTTCACTGATCGGTGTAGGAATGGTATGAAGACATCGGAGAGATGTACTAGTATTGCGGGTGTAAATGAAGAACGGCGGTGCTCGTTATCAACATACGTCCAGGACATCGTTAGCACAACCACCCAATCACCTCCAGAATTTGAAATAACAACAGAATACGGCCTGGATATTATGTCCGATATGATACAATATTCAGGGTCGATCACACTCTTTCCTTCGGGCGAGTTCGACGACCTCCCTGGCCCCATACTTCCTGGAGTCGAGCCAATAAACGACACTGCTTTTCACTTGCTGACTATTCGGGGTTTCTGCTTTTCCAGATGCCGGTTACGCCATTGATCCCGCCGAATGCGTCATATCTACTAAACCGTAGCATGAGCGCGTTATGAGCGTCTGGGATTGTCATATGTTCCACCATTCCATGCAGTCCTCGTTCTGGTGAGAGATAAGCAAGCAATTGCGATTGTGCCTGTGTGCACATATTGCTTCGGTATGGCATGCTTGGGAGCACCCCTTTTCGGCCGTGGAGAAACACATATTAAAACCTCGAGGTCGTCACGAACATCTCAGCATCCACTGCAGTTAGATCTACCCGACCCTTCTTCCACACAAAATGGCCCCTTCTGTTGCTGACAAGACTACCGCCTCCGAGAACGGCGTCACGGAAAAAATAGTCTCGTTGAAGGCTAATTTGACCGCAAAAGTATGTCACGCCTAACTATTCAATCGCATTCACTGACTGAAACCGTCAACCTTAGAATGGACCATCGTATCCCTTTTACTTACCATATTTCGACGTGAACGAGAAGTTCCCTCCTACTGAAATTTTCGGTGAGCTGATCATCATAATGTTTGCTTCAGGATTTTGGCTAACAAGGGCTTGCAGAGTTCACCGATCCCGGAAGCCGCGCTGACCCCAAGAAGCCCAACCTTCTTGGGCCGAACACCATTACTAAAGATGTGACCCCATACCTGGGCACTGAGATCACCGGCGTCCAGATCTCTCAGCTGAGCAAGGAGGGACTGGATGAGTTGGCCCTGTTCACTGCCGAGCGCAAAGTGCTCTTGTTTAGGGACCAAGACTTCAAGGACCTTAGTCCCGACAGGCAGATCGAGATCGCGAGGTGAGTAGACGTGCGTTCTCTTGGGAATGCAACCCGCTGACGCAATTTTCAAGACACTTTGGCCCTATCCAAAGGCATCCAACCTCTGGAAACGTCAAAGGTTACCCCGAGTTCCACGTCGGTATGTCATAAAAAAGACAATGAATTGCGATGAATGATCACTCACCTATTGTCATAGTTTATCGTGACGCTGAATACGACGTCTTCCGTGAATATTTCGGAGGTGATCGCATCAACCAAACCAGCTGGCATTCTGACGTCGTAAGTGTTCAACTAGTATCATCTCCTCCTATGTTCTAACCGTCCCGCCTTTCAGTCATACGAAAAACAAACGCCCGGAACAACGTTCTTCTTCATCCTCGATCAAGTAGGTATCGATATTCACCCGGATGACATCCCTTTAACCCATGTACAGCCCGACAACGGTGGAGACACACTTTTCCTTTCGCAGGTTGAGGCATACAATCGCCTCTCCCCCGAGTTCAAGAAGCGCCTTGAAGGCCTTCGCGCCGTTCACTCTGCTGTTCCTCAGGCCGACTTTTCTCGCACCAGGGGTGGTCCCGTGCGCCGCGAGCCCATCGAGACTGAGGTATGTGGGGTATTTCGCCTCCACGAAGCCCCCTAATCCCTTTCCGTCCTTTAGCACCCCGTCGTCCGTCAGCACCCCGTCACTGGGGAGAAGGCCCTTTACGTCAACCAGGGCTTCACCAAGCGCATCGTTGGCTTCAAGGTCGAAGAATCTGAATACCTCCTGAAGTTCCTGTTCGACCATATCTCCAAGGGTTCCGACTTCCAGGTCCGCGCGACTTATACTCCAGGAACTGTCGTCGTATGGGTATGCCTCGCAGCCATATCTCGACCGCCTCACCACTAATTTATCTACAGGACAACCGCGTCACGGCCCACTCCGCCGTGGGTGACTTCGACAAGCGCCTCAGACGCCACGCTGTCCGCCTTACTCCCCAAGCTGAGATCCCTATCCCTGCGTAGACTTCCCATATAGATGAAAATATGTACGCGCAAAGGTCGTCAAATGTACAGCTATTGAAAGGAATATATATATATATATATCACGCTTGTAAAATTTACAGTCAACCCTTATTTGTATGAAGTCACTCCCGTGAGTACTTACATCCTCGTTGATCCCGCGTCGTGAGATGCCTTGCCTTCATCGCCTAGAGCTTGAAAATCTCTACTTTTCTCCCGGACTACCGCCGTTGCCTCATCTCACATATTTGAAGATTTCGCTTAGCATCTCTACGATGACTCCTTTGGCGTTGCTCAGTTCGCTCCGGTACGCTACAAACTTGGAAGAGAACAATCTGCCGCTTTCCACAATATCTTACCGTTCACTAACACTCTAATTTTCGGAACGTATCCCACTGCTGATTGAATCTGGCTCCCGCATACCAGAAAGTCAAATTTAACGCAAAGCTTCACTTCAACAAACGAACCACACTGAGTCGTTCACCGTCCCAAACAACTGAATACACCTACCCAAGTTTGTGGGGCAACTTGTCAGATAGACTGAGAGTATGTTGAAGAACCTTCAGTATCTCTAATGATCTCTTAGGATCTTGCAAAATCGCAATGGCATGCTGAGACATGTTTCGAAGATGATGGCTTCTACGTCAGTTGCCAGAAGTCATCAACAATGGCTATTTCGTCCATTATCTGACATTTTTGCTAAGATTGCTCGTAACTAACCTCATCTGAGCTGGAAGTTCCTTTCAAGTGGCGAGTAGATGGACATTGAAGTCTTCAACTTCAAGGTCCCTAAATAATCACGTGTCTGTCCGATATTGCCAGAGCGGGTTGCTTGTAATGAGCCTGAGCGCTCAACTAAGCGACTCTATCGACGGCCACAACCATGGAAGTTGTAGGATACGTCGCGTTGACCGTATTTGCCTTATACTTCTTTTGTATTCTCTGGCTATTCCACTTAATCCTGAGCAACATTTCAAAGCAAGCCTTTGCCAAATCTTGGGGCCAACTCACGCTATTCGCTTCGTTGACGACACTTTCTTTCGCGCATACGTGGTATTGTGAGTGCTGCATTGCCATTCGCTGTCGGGCTACTGCTGAGATAAATGCAGACATGTTTAAGTTCATGCAAGTGCGTGATGCGTCTCAAGGATTCCCGTGTTCTTCTGACCGAGAGTCAGTGGAGTTTTGTGAACTACGAAGAGTCCATCTACCCAAACACGAGCGCTCCCCTTATCGAACGAATGGCGCAGTGGCTGGTCAATACGCAGTTGTTTAAGCAGGCTTGGTACGCCGTCTGTGACGGACCTTTGAATTGGTGGTGGAGCGAGCAGCTATGCCTATTCACCGTGGGTTGCTGGACGGTGATCCTTGCGTCCGAAGGTCAGCGGTATTTTGAATTTAGGTAAAGCCATCCTCATCGCACGCATACATCAGGTACATACCACCGCGTCGAACACGTGTGGGCGTACATGCTCCTCGGACAATTGGTAGCTATATCTGTAGCTTCCAATCTCTTCTATATCGCCATTCTTTCCTCCCCAATACCGAGAGAGGCCGCCAAACAGTCCTCGTCCAGAGCACCCGCGACCCTCTGGGTGAGCGTCCTTCTTGCGCTCGCTACCGTCGGACTCAGTCCATACACTACGTCCCGTACATTCCTGCCGAATCTTCTCGTCATGCATGCACTTCTCGTGGTTCCCCTCCTCCCCCCTTTCCTCCTCCCATATGTCACCCACCAACAACGCCCTATACGCGTCCGGACGCTGTATGGGCTCGTCCTCTTCGTCTCCTTCGCGATACGGACACACACGATCCTGGAAGGGGGCAAGGTCGTGGGTAGCGGTTCTCCATTTGGTCTGTTCTCCGCGGCCTGGGACGTGCTTTATTCACACCCAGCGCAGTCGTCTATTGGCTGGGACGTTATCTGGACGACAGTCTCGTTCATCGCTTGGACGGCGACGAAGCGGATCTCCGATGACCGGGCGCTGTCGGATGTTCCGTATCTCATGCTTACTAGCCCGTTCGTATCGGTGGCGCTGACGGGGCCATACATTCTTCGCGAGGAGACTGGGTCTGCCCTTTTCGAAGCCACCTCAGCCGTCGAGAAGAATGTTATGGTGGACGAAGAACGAAAGGAGGATTGAGTATCGTAAGTTAACAACATGTGCGTACTAATCCAGCACTGTTGATCAATAATCCCTCAATCGGCGGAACAGGTAGAAAGCAGATTCTTCCGCGTGTCTTATATGTACGCAATGAGATACGCAATGCTCTCGTAGTTTTCTACACAACGATATGTAGGCAAGTTCCAAGGTTGCAGGGTACCTGACTGGTGTTTATCAAGCGCCCGCCGGGTTTGTCGGCCCGCATTTGTGGAGAAGCATATATTTATCGCTCCGCTTCGACGCTCGAATCGCTTTCTCACTTGTTCACATCTACATTCGAATTTCGGAGCACATGTTGTCAGTGGGGACATTGATATGGATTTCGCTTCGACCATTGATACGGCTGTGAGTACTTGCCATCCTTCACCTATGTAGACATGCCCTAAAGCAGAATATAGAGTTATTTGCGGTGGATGTGGTTTTGCTATCACAAAAGCGGACATTTTCCCACCCATAGCAGCGCGGGGGGCGGGACAAATTATGTTGGTGGGTCTGGCGTCCATGCACACTAGAACTAACGCTGAAATGTATTCCCGGATTCAGAACATCGCACTACCTTGTTTGATGTTTTCGAAGATCGTCCCTGCTTTTACTTCCGAGAACATTGGCGCTCTAGGTGTGCATCCCGTCAGATGCATCGACTCTGCTGCTTTTTTTTTGGCTCGAATTGACTGAACTCATGACGGTTTCTCTTTTCTGTTTCCTTTTTCTTTTTCGTTACGCGGCATATGCTATGCTTCGGCGCACCATCACGACGACATGTCGTTCAACTTAGGTCCGCTGGTTCTCGTTGCGGTATTGTACGAAGCCATAGGCATAGTCATTGCGTGGATCATAAAGCAGGTGTACTGGACGCCTCATCGTTTCCGGTACGGCATACTGGTTGCCGGCGGGTGGGGAAATTACGGAGACATACGTGCGTCTGCCCATACCACTTTGTCCATGCATGGTCACTCAGTCACGCACTGTCTGCTTCAGCCACCTCCGTCCTCATGAGCATCACCGGCGCCGCTCCGTTCAACGGCTCCAGCGATCAGACTCTGTCCGTCGCATATGTCTCCGCCTTCATTCTCGTCTTTATGGTAAGTGGCCTCATTCGGTTGCATATGGATATACCTTATTCTTCATCGAAGGTGACGCTATTCCCGTGTGGAGGCCATAGCTGGGTCGCAAAAGACTACGTTGGCCCTGAAGTCGAGGACGAGGAAGTCAAAGAAGTGTTGCGGAGGAAACACAGGAAGTGGGCTTCAGCGATCCTTCACCCATTAGCGAAATTCAGTCCTGGCCTTTCACTCTCACGCGCCCCGTCTTGCGAAGAAGGCGCTAGCAATGTCAACGAGAAGATTCAAGAACCTTGCACAACGACGCTCGAAGCCCCGACTGTGTGCGGCGCCCGTTCGAAGAAACATGTCTCGTTCTTCGAGGATGCGACGACAGTGGTAACTGAGCCCATCAAGTCTGCTGTCAGCTCTCCGGGCCCCTCCCGCTTAACTTCGCCTGCCCCCACCGTGGTAGCCAACTTCGAGTCGGCAGAGGGAGGGCAGCCAACTAGCGCTGCTGACACGCACTCTATCACTCGGTACAGGCGACGGAACATCGTGTACGCTAAGCTTGTGGCCGTCCTTCGAACCCTATGCACCCCAGCTTCCATTGCTATCATCATTGCATTTCCTATCGCCGTGGTGCCCCAGCTGAAAGCATTGTTCGTAGACGTCCCTGGTACACATATCCCACCCGCCCCCGATGGTCAGCCTCCTCTGGCCTTTATCATCGACACCGCTACGTTCATCGGCGCCGCATCTGTCCCCCTGGGCCTGATCTGTCTCGGTTCGGCTCTGGCGAGGCTCAAAATCCCAAAGAACCAATGGCGGACTCTGCCTATAGGCGCTATCGCTTGGCTGGCCATCGGCAAACTTATCGTCATGCCCGTGCTCGGTGTGCTGATATGCCAAGGTCTCGTCAGTGCAGGCGTCATTAGAGAGGAAGATAAGGTGTTACGTTTCGTGTGCATGTAAGGAGGTTCTCGCTAAGTTCATTCTTTATTGTTGACGAAACACCCGTTGATAGCTTCTTCTCGTGCCTGCCCACAGCGACGACGCAGGTACGTATACTCCGTTTACGTAGAATGTGGCTCACTGCTGTCATTAGGTCTTTCTGACGCAAGTATACAGTGGGACAGGGTCGGCAGAGCATCTCTCAGCCTTCCTCATCCCTCAGTACATCATCATGTTTTTGTCCATCACGGCACTGACAGCCTACACCCTTCAAATGCTGTTTTGATGCGAGCTACGCTCTCAAGGTGGCTCGAGGCCCAGACAAACTGTGACAATGACAAATAGAAAATCATATCGTCTGGCATCCCCCGTATCCATTGATTTGCTCCTTCCCCCCCATTTCCTAGCTATATACGTCGTTTAGATGCTTTTTTAGATGCTCCGATAACACGGCTCCTGACTTGTATCAATACCAGGGTCACTCATTTTTGCCGGGGCTAGTAGTAGAGTGTCCCTTTGTCGCAACTTGGGTACGCTGTAGTAAGTCTACACTTCGATTTCCCCTCTCATCATGTTAACCCCTAGCCCTAATGTGTATGCTACAAGTGCTGGAATGTGTACACAATATCCCCTGTTGATACAACACGATGGTGCAGTCCAGGAAGATCTATCACCAAGTCTTTCAACCTTTGTACGTATACAGGTCTGAACCATGGCGCCCTGACTGGTGCGAGTTAGTTAGATTCTCTGCTCACTGTCTCTCGAGACCGAATGGTTTTCTACAGAGTCTGGCCTTTTCGTAGCAGCTCAATCAACTAGCAGACGTTCACAGTACTTAGATGACATTGGATTCAACAATTAGCACTTCGCAGCGAGCGTACGGATCTATATTATTTCGTTTAGCTGAGCCCTAGACAAGGAACCCTTACCCCACCTGTAGATTACATTGGCCCTCGTTCCCTGCCTGCTGAGTGAACTCAGACCAAGGACGTAAGTGGTCAATCCCGATCCCTGTGGACTTGGGCGCTAATTTATCTCCTAAACGCTGGGGCACATTCCGAAACTCCGCCAGATTTTCTTTGTGTCCCCAAAACCCAGGCTTCAAATCTACGGTGCTGCTGCCTTCTTCTCCAGAAAAAATGTCGTCGAACGTCCCGATCTCGCAATCGAGCATCACGGCGCCCACGCCTCAGAACACTCCTCTGACCCACGCGCCGATCTCGTCAGGGCTTTCGCGTCCAACAGTACCTGATATTTCTGAAGATAACGAGCCTGCAGAAGAATCGGAAGATGCTGCCATCCAATCGGCCATGTTAGGGCTGGTGCAAGGAAGATTGGCCGGTCTGGTCGGCAAGAGCTCAGGTTACTTGGAGAGCCTGCCGGTGAAGACAAAGCGGAATGTCGAGGCACTGAAAGGCGTACAGGTCAAACAGAACGAACTACAAAATCAGTACAAACGCGAGTGCCTTGAGCTCGAGAAAAAGGTGAGGCCGCTCGGTTGCTTGATAACTTGATCTCACCTAGGTTCTGCAGTACCTAGCCCTCGCTGTGCCATTGTACGAGCGTCGGCACGCCATCATCTCAGGTACTTCTGAGCCCACGCCAGAGGAAATTGAGGAAGGCGAAAAGCAGACTGCTAAGGATGACGGCGATGACTACACACCGCTTCCGAAAGACGCACCAGCATCTGAGGATGCGCCAGCTGGAATCCCCGAGTTCTGGTTAACTGCACTGAGAAATCACCCTGCTCTCTCGGAACTCATTACCGATCGAGATGCTGGTGCCCTAAAGCACCTTACCGACATCCGTATCGAATATCTCCCCAGCGACAAGCCTGACTCCAAACCAGGCTTCAAACTGTTGTTCACCTTCAGCCCCAATGAGTACTTCGACAACGAGGTCCTCGAGAAGACATACGTCTACCAGGAAGAAGTGGGGTACTCTGGCGATTTTGTCTACGATCGTGCGATCGGAACTGAGATCAAGTGGAAAGACGACAAGGATTTGACGAAAGAGTTCGAGATCAAGAAGCAGCGGAACAAAAGTAAGGAGCCACTTGGAATCTCAAGCAGCCACTAACAGGAGTATCCTATTAGACACTAATCGCACTCGATTGATCCGCAAAACACGACCAGCGGAGTCATTCTTCAATTTCTTCAGTCCTCCCGTGCCACCCTCCGACGAGGCCATCGAAAACGGCGATATCGAGGAAGAGGACCTCGAAGAGATGGATGAGAAACTGGAAGTTGATTACCAGATTGGTGAAGACTTCAAAGAAAAGGCGCGTTTCGTCCGAATCTGGCAAGGCAATCTAATGTAATATCTCCGAGTATAGATCATTCCCCGAGCCGTCGACTATTTCACCGGAAAGGCTCTGGAGTATGAAGTCATGGATTCGGATGATGAGTTTGAAGATATCGACGACGAGGATGAGGATGGTGATGTATTTGACGATTCTGTGCGTTCCCATTCCCCTACTTTCTTTGATGTGACTCATGTGTATCGATTAGGACGATGATGATGACGACGGCCCTCCCGTCCCTCGCAGACGTGTCGCCGCGGCCGGCGGTGCTACTGATGTCAAGCCCGACGATTGCAAGCAGCAGTAATCAGGTTGGTCATCGTGATTCTACATTTATCTTGCGAATCTACGCGAGAGTTTAATCGGCCTTTCCATTCCCATTATGTTTACCCTTCCGATACATTTACTTGGTTGTTAATCGAAATATGTGCAACCGTGCTACCATTCTGGGTTACAATTCGCCTATACTTGCGTACTTAAAGCATCTGACTTTTAGCGACTCGTCCCGTAACACACACTCAATGTAACTTTCAATCCTTTTGTACCAAGCTGCTATAACATTTTTTCTTCGGGTCTGTGTATGCTTCACCATCCCCGGAGTTTAGTAATTGATTTCCTGTGTTCAGTAGGGGACACAGGTCATACAACCAACTTCTAGATAGACACGATTTGGATAGTGCACGTAAGTAAATTTAAACTTCAGAACCTCAACCCCATTGGACTTTCCTAACCCAGGTAGAGTTATGGGGTACGGCCATATCACAGGATTCTGGTGAAAGCCGTATGCTTGGCTTATATTTGATGCCTGGACGTTTTCAGCCTTTGAACATTTCTACCCTTTTGCAAGTTTCTTCCTGTCAGTACTTCCGTCCTTATCGTGATTTTCCCAAATTCTACTCTCCAGACTCACTGGGACTCGAATCAAGACACGCGGTCTCCCTGTGTCTCTGCCAATTATGCGCCACAACCTCGCCCGGACCAAACTCGCTTTACAGGACATGCTGCTCTTTGACATATTATGTGCCATTGGGAGTACAAGGGCATAGCTTCGGGCTAACTCATCATCATAATCTTCGATGCTCACATATTTCATTATTTTATACGAGCATACCAGGATGGCCATGTGGCATTCAAGATGAATCGGATGATGGGCGCAAACAAACGTCTTTTACTATCTACCTGACTGGATTTGAAGGCGTCAACGATGCTCGAAGGCTTCGGTGTTTCTCACGTGGTCTTCCTCGACGCCTTAATTCATTCGTACCAGAGAAGCCGATCTCCTCTTCGCTTTAAAGAGGGCAGTGAGATGACCCCGTTACGAGCCGCTGCAGCTTCAAAGGAAAGTTCATCTCTATTAGTTGAGTCCGTCGCATTATTCTTCGAGAATTCAAAAGGGTGGCTAATGAACGTTGTCCTTGTGGGTAGCGTTTGGGCAACGAGCGCGCTGACTACACAACAAGAACTGGAGACTCTGGACCGCGCTGGAAGGGCAGTCGTCAGTCTCCATCGGTACATGGATTAAGGGCCTGATTGATGCTATCTCTTGATACATACGAAACTGGCGCTCCCCCCATCTTCTATCACCGATTTATACCAGCATGCAATCTCGTAACAAGCCTTCAGCTGATCGAGCCAATGTCCTCGTCAAGGTGATTCGACGTACGACCCCTCCTTCGCTTCAGAAGCTTGGGAATACTACTATTGTGCTGTATGATCAATCGGTACTACTTGCTGTATCCCCGATCTCTATCAACGGCAGGAGTGGGGTACACGTACAATGGAGTGTGGTCTAAACAGGGGTGGTTCACACTTCAGATAAATCTATCAATTAGCATATCAGCCCGACAAGCCGATATAATGAGAGCTCTGGTAAGTCGCAAGCAATCATCTTCATCATCAGTTCCCCCATGTCCCACTATATCACCATAGTCGTCTTCGATCTAGGTTTTGCCTCCCTGTGCTGGACTTTGCGCAAAAGACGTCCAGTATTTCCCCCTGGTCCTCCACGGGCTCCAATAGTTGGTAACTTCTTCGATATCCCTGTTGACAGGCCATGGGTGAAGTTCACAGAGTGAGGCAAGCTATACGGTGCGCATTTCCAATACAGAATGCGGTATCGACAAAATTAATATCATCTTGATAGGCGACGTTGTGTACCTTCTTATTTTCGGCAGGAATTTACTAGTGCTCAGCTCTCTTGAGGCTGCCATCGATCTCTTCGAGAAGCGTTCTGCTATCTACTCTGATCGTCCGAAAAGACTTATGGGACAGTTGTAAGCAAGATATCGCTTGCTGCATCCACATGATCACGTCCTCACCACCTCTCCTCTCTTCGCAGATGTGGCTTTGGACCTCTCATGATCATGAGTAAATATCATTGTACGAGCGGCGAGGCGATGCTGCACAGTGCAGGGTCAAGTCAGCGCCCTTGGTGTAGCTGAGCACCAACACCTCCAGGAACAAGTCGCTCAAGCATTCGCGAGGAGTAATCTCGACGATCCTGAAAGCTTTCTGGAGAATATACGGAGGTGCGTGCATACCTATAAAGATATGAAACATGTCAAACGAAGTTCCTCTGTCAGAGCCTCTGCTTCGGAAGTTCTCTCCGTGGCATATGGTCATCGACTCGAAACAGGCAACGAGGCAGATGACCGGTTACTGAATGCAAGCAAGGGTGTTATGCATTACTTGGCCGATTCGATCACTCCAAATTACTACCTCGTTGATGCAGTCCCCATTTGTGAGTCTCTGATCCCCACATACCTCCTAGATGATCTAACAGTACTCGTCGGTCACCTCCATGTACAGCTTAATGTAGTGAAGTTCCTACCGAAGTGGTGCCCAGGCATGAGCTTCCATCGCGAGGCTGAGAAATGTAGGAAGTTGTCAAAGATAATGGTCCGTGGTTTATATGACGAAGTTGTTGAGAAAGTGGTGGGCTATTCTGGGTTCCTTGTTTACTTATAGGTACCACGCGAGGCAGGCACACGGGACGGCGCCTACGTCGTATGTCCAATTCGTGCTACAAGAGAAAGGTGGCCCTAGCAAACTGACACCTGAAGAGATTAACACCCTCAAATGGTCGCCTGGAGATTTGTTTGGAGTTTTGCATTACTGTCCCTCTATTACGGTCCATATCTGACCGCCCTCTTGTTAGTGGGCTCCGACACTACGATGGCGACGTTAGAGAATTTCTTCCTTGTCATGACTCTCCACCCCGAAGTCCAAAAGAAAGCCCAAAAAGAACTCGATGATATCGTAGGAAACGACCGTCTTCCTACATTCAACGACGGACCGTACCTTCCATACATTGATTGTATCATCAAGGTATCATACTTTGTTCATCAGCTTGACTAGTTGAACCTGCATGATGATAGGAAATCTGGCGGTGGAATACAGCAGTTCCCTTCGCGGCCCACAGTCTCAGCAAAGACGACGAATACAGAGGCTACTTCATCCCAGCGAACACTGTCGTTATGGTGAACAACTGGTCAGTATTCAGATCCCCAGAACTCGTGAAAGCAAGGGGGTAAGTTTATAACAAGTCAAACGCTCTTAGGGCGTTGACCCATAATGAGGAATGGTATCCCGATCCTATGGCATTCACATCTGAACGGCATATGGAACCGAGGCGCTCGTCGCTTCCCCAGCCGCCCCCAGATCCCTGGACATTGGCTTTTGGATTCGGTAGAAGGTAAGTTTCCCTATATCACGGTTTACTGCCGCTGATAATCAAACAGCCTATCGCCCAGAAGTTGTCCTGGCATCCATCTTGCTGAGAGCTTTCTTTATATTGTTGTGGTCACTACGCTGGCAACCTTTTCGATCCTCCCTGAAGTCGCCGCGGAAGGGAACGCTGTTCCGCCGACAGTGGAACATCTTAGCGGCGCCATCAGGTCTGTTAGTCCCTCACGAGTGTCAAAATTTGCTGATGTTTTATCTCATGCAATGGACCGAAGCCGTATAACTGCAGAATTGTCCCTCGGTCGCCTGGTGCCGCCGAATTACTGCTCCTGGCCACTTCGTAGCGTATATTTAGAGTGCGAGTGTGACGTGGAATGATGTGAACGGGGAGGATGGGCGGTTTCTCTGCTAATTATCACACACGAGCTCACTCTGTTATCCACAAGATTTGCATCGTAGTTTGTGAGCACTGGTTACCTTGGGTATTTAACCCCTTGCCGTCGTGTACGTCCATATTTCAATTTGATTTCCCTCGACTACTCAGAAGTTTGCACTATTTCGCTTGCAAGAGAGGGGAGTATTGACTCCGGTCCGCGGTGGAACATCTTTATTCCCATAAATCAGATTCAGGCAACACCCACACCCACTTCCGTACCGACACTGATTGATAGTGATTGATATCCAACAAGCGACGGCATCTCAAGAACAAGGCAAGGTGCAATCCGAGACCAGGATCCAAGTTGACCCGTATGGCCGAATCCTGCAATCAACGAGTTTCAGCCCTCGCCGTGTCCTCATTCGTATTGCACCCTGACGCACCCTGCCGTCTGAGTGCCGATTTGCTCTGTGGTGAGTGGATGCCGAGCGGAATGGGTGTGCCGCCGCCAAGCCGCCGCTTCATACTTACTTCCTCCCTCCTCGCCTCCCATGCTGCCGCCGTCTGTTCATCCATTTCCCTTTGAGCTATTCTTAAGGGCCTTCACTTGATCTGATTGCGAGCTTGCCATCCCCCGCATTCCTCGTTTTTTCAGCGCACTCCTCGTTTCTCCTGATCCCGTGAGATGCTAACTGCCTATTTCTTACCTACCATCGACGGTGTTGGCAGAGCGATATTTTGGTAGGCGGAGGACTTCATGTAATTGTAAGCTTCAGTATGCCTCAGCCGACAATAATACACTCAACATCGATAATCCTTCATCAGGTATATTCATGTATATTTAGGAATATTATTGTGGCACCGATGTTTGACCGACGTTGAGCACGCGCTTCACCTTGCATGATGTCATTATTTGGCAACCGCCTCGCGCCTTAACGCGACCGACGCGACAACCAATGCGCTTCCGCTAGTACTTATACTTAAAGGTACATTTCTAGCTCGACGCTGCCCTTCTTCCTTCCCTTCTTCCTTCCCAACCCCCATCATCTCCTCCATTTCCTCCGCTACCACCATGAGCCGGCTGCCATTGGGCTTGACCGCCTCCGGCCTGCGCGCCGCGTCGGCGCTTCTCATGAACATGTAGGACGGCGCCACGTTTCGACCAGTATGTTGCCCTTCGTCACTGTCTCATCATTCGATCTCAGTTTTGCTTGTACATATATGCGCGGAACTTTGGGAGGTATCATGTAGCATGCTGCAGAACGTCATGAAGATGAAGGTGAATCAACAAGGAAGACTTAGGGGAGAAGACATGCTTCGGAACGAATATTTGGTATTGCACGGCGAACGTAGTCGAACGTGAGTGATCGTAAAAGTTACATAAGTACTTGACATGGACAGGATAAACAGTGATGGCGACGCCTTGCTGCCGTCTGATGAACGAACCCCATGGAGAACCCTCGCGCATACAGATAGTTAGAAAGCCCCCAAAGGCAACGTGAAGATTTTCTTCTTCTCCGACGTCAACATCTCGCTCACCCCGATGTAGTATGCGACGAACGCCGTGAAGATGCCCATATATCCACCGCCGGTATGAGAAGCGGTGGAGGCTCCCAGGGCTCCGCCAGCCAACAACGCAAAGGTGACCGTCAAGAACCCAAAGAGGACGATGAATGCGACAGATTTGCGGAGGGCGACGATGAAGAAGAAGAATGTGACCATCATCCATGCGGAGAGATAGATACCGATGGCGTTTTCAAAGGACTCGGTGTCAGGGTAGGCTGCGATGATGCCAGAGCTCGGGATGAGGATGGTGGCATAGGACATCCAGAATGCGCCGTATGAGGTGAAAGCTGAAACGAAGTAGGGTCAGATTACGGCACGATATAACAAGTGAGTAGAGTCCAAGCAAATCACAAGAGGGAAATAAACATTGGAAAAATGCGAATGTGATAATGATCTGGCGATCTGAATTGGATGAGACGGGGATATATCTCATCATGGCCGAAGCACGGGTCGAGACCCGGGTAGCACATGGTGTGTCAACGCTTGGCTGGAGAAGATGGGAAGAAGGTGGGGGAAGGGGGGAAAGAGGATAGGAAGTAGGGGAATGGGGAGTCAATGAGGTAAGAAGTGACAGACTAGGATGAGGGAGACAGTAGATTGACATCAACTTACCTGTCGAAGCGAATGTGTTTCCTCTTGGGAATTCCCACATTCCAGCTAGGAGCTGGGCAAGACCACCACAGAATATGGCCATTCCAACAACGGCATTGGGAGCTGGGATGCCGCGGACGGAGATGTTGAACATGGAAAGGATGAATGTCGTGGACGCGAAAGAAAACAAGCCCCTGCATCATGTTAGCAAGAATCAACGACGAGAGAGAGGAGGCAACTCACAATGGGCCTGGGTTTGATAAGGTGGACGGGCGGGGGAACGCCTGAGCAGGGGAGTTTGAAACGCCGTTGGGGGCGTTGTCTCTGTGGTGAACAGCAGACTTTTCGTGGTCGTGGTGGGCGACATGGCCTTTCTCAATGTCGGTGTGGGTTGAGCTCATCGTCGCTGGTGTTGACGAGGTGGTGGAGGTGAGTGGAGAAGATGAGAGTGAGCGACTGAGGGGGCTTGATTGGTCGATGAAACCACAAAATTTCAACTTCTTTCCCCCAGTTATTTATAGGTTCTTCTAGATCTCGCTTGGTGACCATTTCTTCTCTGTAAGCGGTGGGGATGCTAATGATCGGTCCCTGCAACCCCACCATATCCCATCTAGATTCAATCTCAGATTTCGTGCCAAAACATGCACGGATGAAAGGGAATCCCGTGAATCCAGTCGGCCGCCGTGCCGCCATCCTCCTCTTCCAGTCGATTCCTAGTCTCTTTCTTTGCCTTCAGTGCCAGACATGGAATCTCTTGGTACGGACAACGACGCGTCGACCCCGCATTTACACAGACATCGGAACGCCTTTCCTGCCCTCTAAGGGGGCCCTACGCCATTCCTACTGACCCACATTCCTACATCAGCCTACGCCACCAACAGTCTCCAGAGCTCCCCAGAACCCCAGGTTCCAAGCATTCCATAGCTTGCTCGTGACCTTGACTCAAACAACCGTCATTATGCCCAGTTATGCCCTTCCCCGCCTCCCCGGTGAATAAATCCAAATCATTCAAATGACTTTAATGCGATATGGATCCATCCGAATTGACCGACCTCCAGAGCAGCCGCGAATGTGCGATCCTCGGACCCGCGTTTGCGAGATTTGGCTTACTCAGGAACGTTTACTGAGCGGTTGCTGTGTACAGATGGAGCTCGGAGAGGTATACGTATGCACAAGGAATGTCAAGAGTTTACAAGAGATTGCAAGAAAATGATGGGTTAGGAGGAAGACTGAGTGAGGCCTGGAACTAGAGGCTGAAATTTGTCGCTTTCACCTGAACACGTCCGATAGGCGTTTCAAACTCGTACAATTTGGCTCATTCGGTGACTAAAGTGATAGTGATTAATAGGTAGGCGGCGCGTACGATGCGCTTCTCTTAGTACGGGATTGCATGAATCCATGAAGATGGTGGCACGCATCAACGATTCACGCGCCGGAGCTCGCCCGTAGGTCGGAAATCATTGATCACTCCGGAAAACATATCCCACAGTGGGGTAGAATAATCCGGCATTCTCCTTCCCTTCTCCATTTATGACATCCACCAGATGTGTGTATCAGTCATCAGAAGAAAGGACGGGGAATATCCTGCTTTACTTCATGGAGATGCAGGTCGTCGCATACAGCTGAGCGCTAGTTGTCTCTTTGCCTTTGTAGGAGGAAGTGATTGAAAAACAGACGTTGATTCTCGTTAGAATGTGGGTATGAGGGCGATTGATAATCATTCCCGGATGTATTCTGCGTGCTATTACCCCGGAAAGTATGAGGGTGACTGCGCACACGTACTCGCGTTTGAATGACGAAATCGCGCCAGCTGACTTATGTTATCCTCTAATCTTATGATGGAAGACGTCGGGATTTCCTATCAGCGTATTCTAGGATTCTTGAGCGTTCTTGCTTTGCTGTATCCATATTCAAACCTGGGTTTGCACACGCACGCCTATGCTTGCCGTATTTATGGAGCTTCGGATCGTTGTTCGGTGCCACATACCGTTTATTGTGAAAAACCCGAGGCCGAGGGAAAGTTGATACGACTGTCCAACTAAAATAAACCATGACATGGCACGGTATCTCGAAGACACGTCCGCTGATTACCGTCCATGAAAGGAACGATAGGATGAGGGGAACGAAGAGACGACCAAGACCTCATCGATAGGCTCGCTATCCATTTATGTAAGACATATGCGATAGTCACATACTACATGATCCCTACTTACCTGGTGGTCAACTTCAAGCTTCTCTTCTTTCCAATCCGACTTCGAATTCTTCCAATTAACTTCCGACGCATAGGCGTAAATATATTAGCGTCGTTCTCTTCCGTTCTAGTATGGTTAACGCAAATCGCTTCCGACCTCCGGTTGAATGAATCATTTAGGCATCGTCGCCACCCACGACTTGAGAGTCTGCGGATTTCGGTGGCGTATGGACGAAGGATCGCACTAAACAAGCATGAAAATTTCAACCGAAGTAGAACGTATACACTCACGCTAACGCTAAACATTAAATGGTAAATTCACCGAACAATATAACGTGGAATATCACTTGCAGTAGAAAGTCGAACAAGTAGGTGGATGAGCAGCATAATCGGTAGACGGACAGTGCACAATGACGGGGCGCGGCGGAGATTCCAGAATGCGTTGCGTCGCGATCAAGATAGGAGGTGAAGGAAGGTTAGGGGTAGGATTATAGGGGCGACCAGCCCAGAGTGCCTGGGACACGGCGTGTATTTACAACGCCGAATGCCCTGACCACTCCTTAACAGTCAAAGCTAGAAATTCGACGAAGCAACGTCGGCCAGCCTCGGCGGGGCTACGCCTCCCATGTAGACCGACGCATCTAGATGAATGAATGATTGGATCCCTCTTCGAGCTGTTGCGCAGACCACACCAAGGGGAAATATTCAGGGACGTTCGCCGTGTATTCAGGGGACTGGGGTTGAGATTTCTTCTGTTTCAGAAAACGGAAAATATAGTGGATCGATGAGGAGGAAGGGCGTGTATGGGGTTGGCTATGTCGAAGCTTCCCCACACGTTCCGAGGGCGACCCCGTTGACTTGGAATGGGGAAGGGACGGCCGAGGAGACGGGGATAGGGAAACGTGAGTCTGCGACCGAAGATGTATGAGCATTCCGCAGCGGTCATCCGATGGGACGCCATCCTCGCAATATCACGTACCATTGTTCCTCGCATTCTCCAAAGACCATTCACTACCAGGAGATCAATTTGTTGCCACCAAAGTACAAGGTTGTGTGCGTTTCTTGCCCCAACGCACTCCTCGCCTTTCCCGTCGCTTTGACTCGCAACTCTTAACGTATGAAATGTGTCGTGTGTGCTGCACGCGTGTTGGCGGTCTGAAGAGTTATACCAACACTCGGTGAGAGTTACTTCGCGTCAAAAATATCTTGGGTGATTTAAAGGCAATATACGATATAGCGGCGGGGTCGCCTGATAGGGGAATTGACGACGACGGACGACAACCAAAGCGTTCCCCACGATCCCGATCATGTTGTGCGCGGACGCTATATGCACCGGCGACCAAGAGGGAGAAGTGCGGGGTAAGAAGATCCATCTCGCGTCGACGTCGGGGGCGATCGCACACCCCACATTGGTAGATAACTTTGCCATGTCAATCTAGTTCAATCTAGTACCCCGGCGGCAAGTATTATGACATTGATGGAGAAATAGACGTTGAGAAGATCCAGAATACAGATGGCAGATGGCGCGGCAGCGAGGCAGATGAAAGAGAAGGCGGGTGAAGGATAGTTCGGAGTGCCGACGCGTAGAGGAACGACGGGGAGAGAGTGGTTAAAGATGAGCCGTGGCGCTAGTGCGGCGGGAAGCACAGCGCTTATATTAGACGCTCATCTAATTATATAAAGTAGTAATTTCAGAATCAATATTGCAACGAAGACGATGAGACCAACAGACCTGACCGCTACGTTATTCGAGGTTGATTTACCGTTCGAAATCACTTCAACCACCTTTCTCCTGTCGGAGCGGCTCCCGTCTTTGCCACCCAGCGACGAACGGGATGCTCAATACGTAGAATAAATATGGAACGTTCTTAGAGTATTTCTTATCGGCGAGCCATCTGAAGTGAGAAATTATCAGCATACTGATCAAGTGGTTCTGGGGGCGGCACTGACCGTACAATAAAGAGGTACGGATAGTATCCATCCTATTGAGAGTCAGGGATTACCTGGCCCAGTCCGCAAGACTTTGGTCCCCAAGCATCGCCGCTGTCGACGATCTGACCTTGCGATACAATTCAAAGTGCTGAAATCGACGGCAGATTCAGCTTCGTTAGCCTGAGCTCCGTGGCCACCGTTCGGAAAACGATGATGATCGCGGATGCAGACAGATGCAGGAAGGGAGGATGGGATATGAGGTATGGGATAAGCTGGGGATTGGGTGGTGCATACAAGGTCCAATACTAGCTTCCAGGTAAGTATATATCCGGTTGAGGAGCAACGAGTAACCGGTAACCGGTAAGAATCCACCCAGAGTTCACGAAGGGTCCAAGAACCAACTGTTCTCTAGGCGCCCGTCATATTGAAGCGAGTAAGAAGCCGAGCATACGGACCATGGACGAGCGAGATAACGAAGCGATCATGCTAGTCAGCAGAAATTCGGCGAGCGTACATGTGACATGGCATTGTCTGTGCGGCATAGAACAAGCACAATGTACCACCCTTGTCGAAAACAATGTTGATGCAATATAGACCGCTGATTCGGCCCATTTGTAGAGACGTTGAAACAACGCTGATACCGCTGGTAACGTCGGCACGGGCAGCCATTTACGTTGGGAACTGGAGGTCGTGACGACTCGGCCCCCCGAAAAATCGGGGTATAGATATCAGGGCTCGGAGATGTGTCTGAGATAGCGTCTGTTGTTTTGTTTTAAATTTGGCTTTGAATCAGCCTGGATGAACGAATTATTCAACCAGATGTTGTAAGGTTCTACAAATCACTGTGCTTACCTCCGATACCCAAAGCTTGCACCATGGAATACGTTGAAACTCCAAAGTTAGGCAATCCACAATTTCGCGTTGCTACCTTCCGATTAATTGTCATTTCATGTCAGGCTCCTTATGATTAGCATTCTGAACTTGATTGGAAGCTAAGTCTGACACGAAGCTACCATGGCGCATTTTGCCGCGATGGCATATTTTCCAGTACTAGTGCAAATGTAAGCGAGAGAATGTAAACGAGTCGTGGGTCCATTTGAGCGAAAGAAGAATTCAGAGCCAATGAGGGTACTGTTGCTTTAGAATATAACGATTATCGTTTCAAGAAGGCATCGAACTGGAGGAGTGCTAATTGAAAATATTCCCACAGTCAATAAGCGACAGTGACGATCACCGAACTACGTAATTGGGATTCTTTACCTCCGTCCCTCCGAACCGCGTTGAGCACGCTGCACGCACGGCGCACGACGCGCAGCACACAATACAATCATCTCATGTCCTAATGGTACACAGGTCCTCCAATTCACTCCTTCTCACAAACCTGATCTCGCAAGAAACGCTCTACTCGTCGTCGCTTTCCTCGCTCCTTAACACCTCCCATGTTTCTATAACTCTGTATGAAGCTTACGCGGCGAGCTCGTCAGCAGACGTTGCTCAGCTCGTTATGAGCGTGGTGGAGGCAATGAGAGCCGTCGATGATGCGTTGAGAGGCTACGAAGGGAAGATAAAGGAAGGGAGAGAGGTGCTGAAAAGCGTCGAAAAGCTTGAGGAGGAAGTGGGGAATGTCGCAAGAGACAGAGATATTCTGTAAGTCAGTTATGAACTTGAACTTTCTTGACGATTCATGCTGACGCCTACGGCACCAGCGTCAACCGACTCATTAAAGCTTCGAAATCCACGAAACGCGCCTCGATTCCCCATTCGAACTCATCTTCGTCTTTCCCTTCACCATTCTCGTCTACGGCGACGTCGAGTAAACTAAACGCGGCACAGGCGGAGCTGCAGGCCTGCGAGGCGCACCTCACGGCCAAGGAACGCGAATTAGAGAAGAGGCGAGGCGATGTTGTAGAACAAGCCTTAATGGGGAGGTGTAGGGGTATCGTGGAATGCGGACAAATTTGGGTTGAGAGAGGACAACGGGCTCTGAGCGTACTTGAACAAGCATCATTGACGGCCAGGGAAGCCAACGGTTGGTGCCATTGCTTCGAATCTACGTGATGTGACTGATCACTCGTTCTACAACATAGACCCCAACCGCCGCCCTTTATCTCTGCACTCACCCTTTCAACTATACCAGTCGCCAGTAGCGGGAGCGAGTGCTCAATCACACGGTTCACAACCTCAACCGCGTCAGGTCCATACACCACCTCTATCAACTTCGGGCACTGGCTCTGCAGGTGTGTTCTTTTTCCTCGGGCCCTCTTGCGTATTCTCATGCATTTTTATCAGGATCTAGCAAACCCCTCCCGCAAGTAAATCAACACGACACACATCGTCTATCTTACATATCCTCGAATGCCTCATTTGTCTCGTTATCTCAATACTCTACTTCCACGGCGACATCCTCGCTCGCCCCCTCCCAATCGGTGTCTCAAGTCAACGGGGGTGACGTCGTTGATGTAGAGCCGAGGATTGGTACCTCCCCCGACCATCAAGAAAGGGAACGAGAGAACTCGCCGCGCTTTTCCTCACCGTTACCTTCATCACCCCCACCGTTACCTTCGCACTCTCCTGCATTACTCCCTCTGCCTCCTCCGAACACAGACATAGTCGACATAAACGCTCCTCGACCAAGTAGTCAGCATATTTACTCTAATGCCGAGTTCCTGGATGTCGGAGGGTCCGTCAATTCCCATGCTACGACAACCACGGAGACTGGTGAGACTGCGACCACCAGAACGACCACGCAAGACCATACGACGGACAACGCGAATGGGGTACAGCGTCCCCATTTCCGCCAACCATCTCCTGTCCAGCATCTTCAACACCATCTTAACATCCCACCAGCACACGCTATCTCTGAGCTCGCGCTTCCCACGTCTATGTCGTTGCCCTCGTTCACGCCAGCTACAAACACGTCTACCCCTTCGCTGCCCGTCACTCCTACCTCTCGGTGGCTGCTGGGCGGTCGACGCGATAGCTGGCGGGAGAGGAGGGAAAGCTGGAGTCACGGTAGTGGGGTGAAGCGATCGTATCTGTCAGAATCAGAGGGGCGCCGAGGTGCCAGCGAAGGTGTCATTGCCGTCGGAGGGAGTGTAGGTGCAGACACTAGCAAGGGAGTTGGCGCAAGCAGTAGTCAGATGCGAGTCAACGAGAGCGAAGAGCCTCCGGAGAGAGGTGAGGTCGAAGAGGACAGTAGTGACGAGGAAGTTGAGGATGCAAGGGTTGTTGTCGTCGAAAATCCGAGGTTCGCCACTGGCAGATCGTCGAAGAAAGCGAAGGAGACCAACGGAGTGGGCATTGGTCGGAGGGGTGGAAGTGGAGGGATGAGCCCCAGCAAACGCGAACGGCGAACGAGCTTAGGCATGGGATTCTTTGGCAGCATCCGCGGGCTCTTCACTCACGGCTCGCCTACGAAGGACTCCTCGCCTGGGAAAGCCCACTCCCACCAAGGGGACCAACGCCCCAACGGAGTCCATGCCGATGACGATGAGAAGGAAGGTGGCGGATTCTTCAGGCGAGGGAGTAGGCGTGGTGGGAAGTGGGAAACGAGGACGAACGATAATCTGAAGGACATGATGCGGAAGGGCAAAGGGCGGGACAGCGACAGTGATGCCGGAGGAGGAGGAGGCGGGGATTTAGGCGAGATGTTTTCCAGCCCATCTAGGTCAAGCATGCAGACTGTTACTGCGCACAATACCCCTGGTTCTGCTCCTTCGTTCGCCTCTGGCGGGGTGGCGATCGGCGGAGCGACAGTACGAAGACCCTCGATGAATGGGAGTACGAGTACGTTGGGTGCGCCTGGCTCGCCCAGCGGAGCGAGGAATAAGCTGAGGAAGGGGCAGGGGAAGAAGGGGAAGAAGAACAACCGGAAAACAAGTACGGATGACGTAGATGCTACAGGCGTCGGCGGCGTCGGCAGTAAGGATGGCGGTAACAGAGGTACCGTTGGAAACAACGACCAAAATAGACCCACTGGAAGCCCCAAACGGACCTTGTCTATGAAGCGTCCCGCGACTGTCTTGCAGGTCACGCCGCCACCAACGAAGCCACTGGCTTCACCCCCTCCGCTGCATTCGTCGCCACCCCCACGGACTCATCCCTCTGCAGGTGGCGGTAGTAGTAACCAGGGCGATTTGCAAAGGAAAGCATCATTGAGCAGTGCGATGAGTGTACCCATTATCTCGGCTCTGGCCCCGTCTCCTTCGAATGTGGGCTCAGGCAAAGGCCATCGACGTGCTTCCTCTGTCGGCCATGGCTCTGGCGCTGGGTCGCGCACGCCAAGTCAAAACTATAGCGGGGCTCGAGGAAGTATAGACGAAGGCATGACGCTACTTACTATCGTCGAGGATATGGCCCGTCTTAACCGCATGGCTTCGGCCAATAGAGGGCGAGGTGGTTTGGGTAGCGATTTGAAGGCAGCTGTAGGAGGCTCGGGTGTCACCGCCAGTAGCGGAGGCCAGACATTGGTACGGTCGAAATCCAAGTCGCATTCAAACATGCCGTCGACATCGAGCGCTGCTTCCTCAGCGCTGAGTGGTGGGCTGGTTGGGTTGATGGATGTCAAAGCGCCACCGAGTGTTGGGAGACGGGAGTTGGAGAATGAGCTTGCAGGGAATACCGAGCGTCAGAATCCTTCTAGCCATACCAAGGCCTCCAGCTATAGCTCACGCGCCGACGACCTTCCTTCCAAATCGCAAAGCCCCCGTCAAGGTGACACCAGTAAAAGAAGTCTTGCGAATTCAAATACCAACGGAAATGCTACAACGCCCTTTGCGATCCCTCAAGCCCCGGGATCCGTCCTCCATCTGTCTGCTAGCTCTACTCCGACGTCAAGACCTCACGCAGGGTCATCTGTGTCGGCGCTAGCATTTCCACCGAGATCCTCCTCCCCTTTATCAACGACGATGCCCTCCGGATCCCCTCGCGGGTCGTTGGATAGCGGTCTCTCAGGCGGTAGTGCTGTCGGCAGAAGTAGACCCGCGAAATCGCCGCTCAAAAGCGCGTTGAAGCATTCAAGCTCGAGGTCGCCTTCGCCGATGACTCTGGGTGGACGTGTACCGCCGAGTGCGAGTGCCATTGGTGGGAGCTCTGCAGCCAGCGGGAGTGGGACAGGCGCAGTCGTGGCGCAGTCTCAAGCAGTCAACCCCACTGTTCGGGACCTCGATGAAGGCGGTCGGCTTGCCGTAGGGAGCGAGAGGAAGAGGAGCTTGAAGGGTAAAGGCGAGGGGAAAGCGAAAGTCTCTAACATCATCAACGATGGCGATCAAGTTGACTCAGATTCGGATTCTGCTTCGTACGAGACGGTGCATGAAGCGTTGACGGCTGACGAAGACTCTGATGGTGATGATAATGAACCGACGTGTCAACCCACGGCTGGAACGGCTCTATCGAACGTTGAAGTGCCTCATACTCATCCCCATTTCGAAACCTCCGTACAAAGCAACACCGACAGCTTCCACAAAGGTGATGACACGCCCAGGATCAGTGCTGCGAACGGTCGCCCGGCAATGGCCATGTCGGACATTTCGAGTGCTTCCGCCTCGACAACAACGATGAACTCATCCCCAAGCCCACACAGTCATAAGCCGTTACCTCCGCTCGGCACAATACCAGGATCTGCATCAACTGCCGCCGCTGCTGATCAAGAAGCCGAGGAGAAAGTACAAAGAAGAAAGAGTGTACGGGTTTCTCTCAAACCAAGCTATGCAGCCCCTCCAGTAATCAATGACGACGAAGACGAGGAGGCCGAAGGGGGTAACCATGAAGATAGCATCAACAACGGTGAAGTCATAGATATGTGGAAGGACTCGAGTGACGAGGACTTGGAGTACGAGAGAGCGAAGAAGCGGCTGAGTCGAGCCGGTGAGACGAAGAAAGGTAGCAAGAAGCGGTCGAAGGTACAAAAGGACATATCGCGGTGAAGTGTTGAAGACCGTTCGTTCGTTCAATTCTTATTTTATGCTCCGGCCATTGGTAGGATAATCGTCACTATTTCGATAATTGTTTATCAGTACATACTCTTCAGTTGAGGCCCTTCCTCCTCGTCTCTTCATTTCTTTACGGGCTCCTGTTTTCCGCTTATATAATCTCTTAAGCTATATATAGAGTGTATCACGATTGAGCATTCCCTCCTTTCTCCTGTTCCTCCTAGCCACTTTGACTCATTTACTATCTCAGACGAGCTACACGAATTCGTTGAAAGAAATGTCTGACCAAGAGCAGAACCCCCCGCCCCAAGATGAAGTCAAAACAGAAGACGCCAACGCCACTATCAATATCAAGGTCCGTTCGTGCTCTTCTGGCCCCAAGAGCCAACGAAACTCAAGTAATTTCTGTGATCCTTGCGTCTGATGATGTACAGGTCGCAAGCTCTACTGGGGAAGAAATCTTCTTCAAGATAAAACGCAGCACCAAGTTGAGTAAACTGCAAGGCGCGTATGCGAACAAAGTGGGGAAAGATGTAGGCAGTATTCGGTGAGTTTATGGGTGGAATTTTGCAGTCAGCGCCGCCGTTCTATCTGGAACGTCTGAACACATGCCCCCTATTCGCTCCAACTGATTGCTGATATGCGACTAGCTTCTTGTACGAAGGAGAGAGAATAAACAACGATGACACACCCGCATCACTGGATATGGAGGATAATGGTATATATGTCTTATCCAATATCGTCGCCAACTCTAACATACCATTGCAGATACAATTGATGTGATGGTGCAACGTACGAACGTCAGTCTTGCTTCATCAGGATAAATGACTGACTTTTTTTATAGAGGTCGGTGGCTGTTGATGGATAAACCTCACTTTGTTGGGTGGGTAGGGCATATTTCCATCCAACCGTTGTGCTTGCAACTTAAGAGGCCACCATTCAGTATTTTCCTGATGCAAGACAGAAGAAGAAAGTCAATTCACGCCTGGGATTCGTGCGACCCGTATATCACGCAGCACTACGCGACCAGTCTAAATATCCATCATCGTTACCCATTCGACCATCCCCCTTTCGAAATGAATCCTGATGTTGATTTTTGTCGACGCTATGCGGTCAATTCATCTATAATTATTGGTATTCCCCTGATCGCTAAGAATGGTTCGAGTCCGATAAAGTATCCACTGCCTCTACTCTCTCCGTGATTCACTGGCCATATCAGTTTCATTATCGATCTACAACATGTGGTACTCACTCAGTGGCAAATGGGTATGGAACGCGGGGGGCTGGCTATTATATATTCGCCGTTTACCCCGTCGTGGACAGGTATTAATGTGCTGATCATTCATGGTGCTGACGAGACAAATACTTTGAGTATTGCAGACCTTACTACCGGTGGTGCGGATATATCCACAATTCCGGATCAAAAGGGCGCGTCACTCACGCTCCTCCTGTCTAGTGTCTCCGCAAGTTTTGTCTTGTACCGTTTGACCAGTGCATCAGTCTCCTGCAGGCGATACGGTGCAACTGTAATATACTACTATTTTGTGTCGGTGAGCCTTCTATGTAGTGAACGGCTATCAATGATGATTTGATTGATTTGTTTCAAGCCAACACTCTTTGACTGAAATCAATCGAGTGGCCTCCCTCGAGCGTTACACAGCCGGTACGCGTAGAAGGGTCCCAACATCGTCTTACGCCGAGGGTGGGCATCCTGACGCCATCTATAGCAGTGAATGTTGACCCGCAGGGAGGTTGTGCCATTGCCCGTGAGCCTGTCGCCAACTTGAATTGGATCTTTGCCTGAAAATCGGTCGAACAAGCTCAAATCGTAGCGGCCGGTCCCCAAATCCACAATGATTTCAATGGCACTGATTTATGTCGAGAAGGCCAAAGGCCGGTCCATCAGTATCATTTCGTTGGCTTGGTTTTTGGTATTTCCTTGATTCATAGACATTGCCCAAAGCTGATGTAGTAGCTAAGGTGATTCCTACCCATACGTTGTTTTCGTCTCATACATGTATGGGGCGTGGGGTATCTATGCTAATCTCACCTTCCTTCCTCTCGAACAATTTCCCCGATCGTTGACGGTCTCCCGGCGCTGTATAAGTTAAGTAAATGTCTAACATCGAGGAGCCCATACTCTCGCTCTCGGGCTCACTATTGAACCCGATGACGCTCACATCTGCTTTTTCATCTCCCTCGCTTCGGGTCCCGCTCCCAACTAGGTGAGCCACTCACGCTAGTATGTATTTGTCCATTGTCGTATTGACCCGTCCGTAGGAGCGTACCTCCGGATCTTCCTCCTGCAGTGTGAGCCATTTCAACGATATCTTGTCTGGCCCGCATTATGTTGCTTACAATAGCTCGACGCCTTATACCAGGACCGATGGCGTCGGCAGTATTGTCGAAGTTACGGTGACTCTACCTCCTCTAACGTCGTCTGGTCCAGACGACGCCATATCTCGCACCGTGACTGCAACGTAGGGCACTATTTCACCATCATCATGATTATATCTCGCTGTGCTCTAGTCAAAGTCAAGACAGTGTCAATGTCAATAATGTTGTTGAAGTCACAGTGACTACGCCAAATTTGTGAGTCTTCCCCAAACCACAAACAATCCCCTGACCCCGTTTAGTTCGAACCTGATATCTCGTACCGTATCTGCTTTGTGAGCCCTGCTGGTAATGCTATCTCACGATGGCGACGCGTTGACGGGCTATATTTTGCTGCGTTCCAGTCAGGATGCTACCACCTCGCAAGCGTGAGCTCGTCAGTGGAATAATAACGGGACCGCCTTTCGTTGATCATTTCTTAGTGTGGATCAAATCCCACAACCAACGAATGCATCAGAAAGCCGTCCCGGGGGTCCCACAAGAGAAGCAGTCGCTGGACTCAGTGTAGGACTTGCCTTAGTCGTATTCATGGTAATAGCGTGTGTTATCTACCGATCAAGACTCTCCAAATTTAAGTTTAGAAGTAGCCAGGAATCAAAACTCCGTAGGTGTCACGAATAACTCACTATTTGCACAAGGCTGACTGTTCCTGTATATAGATATCGAGCCCTACTTGAGACAGGAATACGGAGACACATCAGGACCTAATGTTTCGCCTGAAGTGGGTTCGCCTTTGGGAGCTAGAAGCAAGCCTGGAATGTACACCGTGAGGCGAGAGCGACCCAACATTCGTCCAGAGATGCACACTGCCAGGAGAAACCACGATATGGACGACAACGGTTCGATGCTATCACTCCCTTCATATATTCGACATAGAGTAGTCCGGGGTGTGATAAGGGTGTGCGTGACGGTGCCAACACAGGCAACCTGCTAGAACATATAGGATAGCAGGCATATTTCGCTGCAGCATCATTTGCTTGGTCACTTGCAGAAACAAGAAGGGATGTGTATATACAAAGTACCCAAAAACGTGGACAGAAGTTTATATCAGTATCAGCTTAAGTCCCATACCTACGATTGTGCGACTGGTGCCGGCCAAGGGGCGGTGGAGGAAAGTGCCAACATGATGGCTCTAGCCACGTCGTTGTCCTCCAGACTCACGGAACGCTTGGGAGCCTCCGTCGCCGCCGCTGCCGGTGATAGCTTAGGCATCTCCCATGACACCCACTCGACATCTGATCCTGGCGTGCTAGGGACTGGCGTCAAAGGGGAGCTGTCCCTCAGGCCCAATATATCATCGCTGGAATCCTTGGACAGAGGGGGGGTTTCTGACGTGTCCTCCTTGAATTTGGCGTACAACAGGGACGGGTCGCCGATAAATCGACGCGCATACGGTGGCTTCCGCTGTCGTTCCTTTCCTTTCCTCCTCACTCTTGTTCCTTGAAGTGAGTCTGACTCCACATCCGTAACATATGGATCTGGTCCATATCCCCACGACGGTTGAACTTTACCCACGAATCGGCGAGGGACTGTTGAGTGGGGCGCAGGCTGATCTGCAACCATAGTGGTTGGGGGTTGTATTGGTTTGACGATGACAACTTCAGCGGCATCACCTCCCGTGAACGCAGTAGCCAGTTTCTGTCCGGACATCCCATAGATAGTCGCCCAATACGCCAGAGGGCCGGCAGGGAGAGGCATTGGTTGATATACAGGAGCAGGGAAATCGGGAACAGGCAAGGGAGATCGATACTTCGTGGGTCGTTTGTGTACGCGATGAGGTCGATCGGGTGGTGGACTAACCGACCTTGATGCCCTCCGCTTCAAAGAGGGTTTGTGCCTCGACTTCAATTTCGGCGGAGGCAGGACCAAATTGTCCGGTTCGCCGACAATTTTAACGCATGCACCTACTGAACTTACGTAGACCTCTTTCCGCCGAAGACAGCACTGCGTGCAATTGCAGATATCCATGCACATGGGGCAGGGTCGGTTTTTTGCAGATGCGTCGAAAGGAAATATCCGGTCATCATACCTGTCTTTCTAGTTAGAGAGCAGCTAGTAGCAAACCAAACGGACTGAACCTCATCATGACACATCGCATGCAAAAGTCCTTCCCGCATGTGCAGTTCATCATCAGTCTGCCCGGTCGATTTCGACATTGATGGCAGAACCTTTGGATGGGCGCCGCAGGGAAATCAAACTGTCGGCCTACTCGCTGGGGAAAGGGAAGTTCTTGACCTTTGGCATCTTTCGGACGGACGGACCAAACAACTACTTTCGGAGGGGCAGTTGAGGTCCTTGGTGCGGACCGGCGAGAAGGCGGCACATCGTGGGTCCGCGAGGAAGAGGGCGTCTTTGCGGGAATACTTGACTCGGTAGTAGGGAGTAAATGACTTTCAGAATTGCCTTTCCTTAGTGATGCGGCGTCTTCCATTTCGGTGTCTGCCTCTTGGGACTGTGGTGCATCAATGGGGTCAGACGTCGAATTGCGCGGCGGCGGGGTGGGTGGGCGAGAGGATGAGCAGGAGAGCGACAACTGAGATGGTGCTGAGTGAATTTGTTCAAGAATAGGCGCATCGTCGTTGGCTTCACCGCCCCCCAGCAAAACAGGATCGATCGTGCCATGATAGGCAGGCGGCGGTGTATTCACAAGCGAACGGTGAATTTCCTCGTCGGACAAGGGATATGGACCACCAAATAGTTCGTCCATTAATTGCGACTCATTCTGCCTAAATGTGTCATGTGTCACGGGTGATCCAAGGGGAGGATGTGGCAGGTCGTCGTCTGGATGGAGATACTCGGAATAGTTATTACGAGCTGGGCTTATGAGCACACTAGGAAGGGTGGCCGCTGGGACATCATCGTCCTTCATGTGGGCATTCAACCCGTCGCTACGAGAGTGGGAGGGTGGAAGGGCATCTGAATGCAGGTAGTCGGAGTAGTCATTGTGGATCGGGCTTGGAGACGATTTGTGCAGCGCTTCTTCGTCGTTTACTACCGCCGTTGCGCTCAAGGGCACATCGTCATTGTATTGCGACGGCTGAAGGTAGTCATTGCTAGATGGGCTTGGAAGCGTGTCGCACCCCGCTTCTTCTTCATTAACTGCCGCTGTCGCGCCCTCAACGGCGTCGCTCGCGGATTGGGAAGGTGGAAGTTCATCTTGATGTAGGTAGTCGGAATAGTCCAGGTGGACCGGGCTTGAACGCGTTTCGAGTACAATTGGCTCCTCATTTACGACCGTCGGTGCGCTTTCGGAAGTATCGTCTTTGAATCGGGCAGGCGGAAGCTTGACTATGGGAGCTCCGAACCCATAAAGGTAGTCGTACAAAGCCGATTCATCCATCTGGATCAAATATTAAGGAGTAGGTGACATATAGTTTACGGATTCACGAACCTCTGCGGTAGGGGTCTCAAACCGTGGAGGAGACGCTGTACTAGCAAACGCTTTGTCAGAGGATGGACGTTCTAAATCTCCAAAAGGGGACGTAGATGTTGAGCCCGGAATGAAAAAAGGCGTATCGTTATCTTCCTGGAGCGTGTCGACTTGATGTGTCGGCTTTCTGAAGGGGGTCGACGAGGGCATAGATGATGAGCCTTGGACGAACATGGGCGTATCATCCTCTGCCTCGGACGCGTCGCGTCGAGATCGATCATTAGTTACCTTTGACCGAATCACCTTTGAGGCTAGATTGAATGCGGCTGCATCGCGCTTGACCCGCGACGCGTTGACTTGAGGTTGATCCGAACTTCGTTTTGGACTTCCCACACTCTTCTCTGGAGGAATAGGACTACCGGGAATGATCGCCCTCTTTCGCTGGGTAGGCTGGCTGATAACCTTCTTCTTATGAGATATACTTGGTTTCTTGCTTCGTGTCGGGGTCGGGGATGGCACGCGATCAGCGTTATTCGCCGCCTCTAAGTGTGGGGAAGACCAAAAATCCACGACCGTAGCATCGTCGTCAAGAAAGGGTATAGGAGGGCCGGCCCATATATCCCCGTCGCCCTCACCACTGCTCCCCGGTCTATGGCCAAGCTCAGAATATCCCTCGCGTGGTCGTGCGGGGGGCCAAGGAAACCAGTTCAAGGACATACCCTCCGCTACTCGTTCAGTAGCTCTTCTCGCTGGCGGCATGCCAAATATCTCAGCATTCCGTAGGGCCGTTTCAACATCATCTCTTCCGCCGTTTCGCACAAGCTCCTTTGGATCCATCCCTGCGCACGAGGGAATGAATCGCGTGTTAAGGAGGCACGCATAGTAACTGCTCCGAGGGATGCCAGCAAAGTGCAGGTAAACAATGTCCTTCTTCTCATCGTACGTCGCGTCCGGCGACCTGCCTGCCGATTTTCCAGGACTTCCGGAGTGGTTATTGATAGGATGATCGGGTTTGACGCGTTTTCGCGCCCGTTTGGGGATCGAAGATGAGGAGGCCTTTGGCTTGTAATTCAGGTCATCGAGAGAAGAAGAAAATTTGGGCATTGCGCGCGCTCGGGCTTGGGCCTAGGAAATTACGGAGTGGGGCACATGTAAAGTGACTCGTCGCTGGTCCGTCGGTGACTGCTGGAGGGCAAGTGCGAATTGATTATGTAAGTGAGTTACGGCCGAATCGGGAAGCATGGAACTTGGCCCAGATTCTGCCGCAGCGGTGGCAGTGAAACTTGAATCACCGTGATGAAAGCAAACGAAAACACCGTGCTTGAAGGGAGAAAAGTGGTGCTCGTACCATACGAAAAGCACCACGTCCCTGTACGTAAGTTGCCTCCGCTGAATCCACATCAAATTACCAACTTTCTGCACAGAAATACCACGAATGGATGCAAAACGAAGAACTCAGGGAACTCACGGCCAGTGAGCCTCTTTCTTTGGAAGAGGAGTTCTCCATGCAAGGTAAGACTCATCCAGACGTATAAAGTTCGTGGTGGTTGCTTAAAATATTTGCTGCTGATTTAGAAAAATGGCAGATTGACGAAGACAAGTTGACCTTCATCATCCTTGCCCCCAACCACCCGCCTGCTACCGCTAAGGATGATGATGATGCGCGTCTCAATCTCATTGGTCTGAGTGATCCAAGGTTGGAATCGATGCTCATGATCGGGGATGTCAATCTGTTCCTTAAAGGTGGTCGTCGGGACAACCGTGAGGATGGGGACGTAGAAGACGATTTCGAAGCTGAAGTTGAGATCATGATCGCAGGTAAGTAGGAACCCAATTTAGGGATGAGTCACTGTATACTGAAGATTTTCTCCTTCGATGTTTAGAACCCGATTGGCGTCGTAAAGGTCTGGCGATTGAAGCGTTGCAGCTTATGTTGGGGTATGCTACTACAGGGTCACCTTCGGGCGCGTTCCCTCCACCATCAGAGCCTGAGCCCCAGGACACGTCACATCGTCTCTCCGAGTCCCCACTGCCCATCCCTCCGAGATCATTAGTAACGCGCATCTCGGAATCGAACACACCTAGCATCAAGCTTTTTCAGAAACTCGGGTTCGTCATAACCAAGCGAGTTGAGGTGTTTCGGGAAGTAGAGATGCGCTATCAGGGATGATCGATGACATGGTACCAAGGATGTACTTGTACATGAACGAATAAAACGTAATAGACATGAAGCAGAACGGCGACTTTTGTGTTCAGAGGGGTGAGTACGACGACCTCGAGCCGTCAGACAGTAACTCCTACGGAATCAACGAGACGCCTAAACGAGTCTATCTCATCAAATGAAAATACATCAGCAGGAAAACGGAAAGTCTCAATAGGGGCACTTATCGCCCTCCTCGCTTCCAACTCCTTCTTCAACCTATCTATCACGCTATGCCTATACTTTATCGGCGTCACAGCGGTAAGGACCATCTTCTTTAAGGACGGCAGACATATCAAACCGGCGTGATTGTCGCATAAAATGATGACCAGGTCCATAAGACGGTCGGCGTGAAGCTCGGTTACATCTGCGAGACTGCAGAGGAGACTTTGACGGTAAACGGCAAGGCGGTCGTTGCTGAGTACCTTGACTTCGGAGGCATATGAAAGGATGGGGGGCAAGGTAGTCGGCGGAACAATTGTCAGAATTTCCATACCAGGAGCGCTCAGCTCGAAAAATGGTTCCACTTGATCGAGCTCTTCGCCAGGGCAATCCCTCCAAAGCTGTACCTTCGACTTCGCCGTTTTACGGTCGGTAATTAGGTGGAACTTAGAGTGGGAGTCGGCGAGAATGGGAAGCTTCGCGTAGATCGTACTAAGCAGCGAGGTATCAAACCCGTATGTGGCGCTCTCGATAGTGAGCTTGATGGTTTTGATGCGGGGCATCGTGATACATGGCACCACAGCAACTACGCGCCTGTCTTTGTGCGTGATGCACAGACACTCTAAGCTGGGGAGGGTTATGGATAGTACCGGATGCGTCGACCTGGGAGGTAAAAAGGTGTGAAATAGGACGAGAGATGATAGGAAGGGTAGGTTATCTAATGCGGCGAAAAATTCAGCGATATCAGGTCGTAGGGCACGCGCTGAAGATATGAGCCGGTTGATGGAGCCTATGTTGATGGAGCGGAGGGATGCGAGAGACGCCATGTTGAGCTTGGGGATGCATTGGGGCAATTCCAGGTGCTTCAACGCCGGAAATGGGTTCGCGGCGAACTGAAATGTGGTTTCACGAAAGTGTGAGACATCTCTCAAAGAAAGCACTTCGAGGTTGGGAGCGCCTGTGGAGGCAATCTGCTTCAGCCACTCGGGCGTGCAACGAAATATATAGATCTCCTTCAGACGGTCGGAATACTTGAGCGTGGAAAATACACGATCTCCCCCTAGGCGGTCGATATACAGGTAGAGTGGGCAGGACCCAGCACGTCGCAAACACATCTTGACGAGGTGCCGTGGTGCTGAGGGGTATATACAGCTCCATAATCGAGGGGAATTGAGCGCAACCTGGCGCCATAGAAGACAAACATGCGTAATGGAGAGAAGATTGGCGTAGGGTTTCGTGTAGATTTCTGAAGGGGGAGGAGGTTCCGGCATCGCGAGGAGTCCGAATATGATAGACAAGACCTCGATGGGAAGTTTAGAGATAGCGGATAGCTGCGCGTTTTTGTATCGCTGCAGAGAGCGAACATCGTCGTGTAAGCGGGCTATTTGATCCAGTACGGATTGTATCTTCACGTCCACCTCTTCCGTGGATGGGGCGCTGTCGAGGAAGGACGGTAAATTGATCCTGCTCATAATTTTTTCTCTTCTATGTTTTGCAGGATACAAGAGAAGTTGTGTAAACCGCAACGCCCGCCTGTTTCCGAGGCGCCAAGGCTCCCATCTGTTTTAGGCAGATCACCCTCCCTATTTCCCCTTACTGCCTCCTTTCGTTGTTTGTTTTTGTACAGATACGCTACGCTGCCACGAAAATTTCCGCTACTAGGAGCGTTACAGATACTCCCCTTTTCATGCAATCACCCACAGTGAGAAATGGGGGTAAGTGATACAAGCAAAATGCATTTTGCTCTTGGGTTTATGAAGCATAGGTCACACGACAGCGCCTTCACTTATATCTCGACCCATGGCGAGATATCGATTGCCTGGGGACGGCGAATAAGTCAGTTGACCCGGAAGAGGTATAGTCGATATACTATGGATCACGCATTGGCATTTGTCGGCCATGAGGAGATAGCGCGGGGGACCTAACAGTGATACCCACTGAGCAGAGCCGGAGCACTGCCAATCCAGGCGCCGCGGTCTCTTGATGAAATACAGCCGGGGGGTCAGATGCTCACTAAACTGCCAACACTCCACTCCACGCACCCCAAGGCAGACATGCCAATTTCCCTCGTTGATAGAACTCGGAGCATTGCGATAACGAGATAATGATAATGCGTTCGAGGGCCTCCTTTAAGGCTGCCAAACGAATCGTGATGCCTTATTGATCGACATGAGAGCTCATGCGGTGATTACTGTGGAGGCGAGCATATGGGTGAATCGATGGTATATCTAATTATGCCCACTAAGAGAGGTCGAACGGCCATTCCTTAACCCGCCTGAAGCTAATAGTCTGCATGAGATCCAGGAAAGGGAACAGCACGGCGACGACCTCGCCACCCTTGCTTCACTACAACAAAGGTAAAGTTAGTTTTCGGCGAATCAGTGAGGCCACTGCCTGATATCTCTAGCCGAGCAAACGCAGGCGTCTTTGTTCTCCCCAACTGCCAAACCACCCAGCCTTGATAAATTGAGAAAACTTACTCGGATACCCAACAAACTTAGAGAAACCCCCGTGACGTTGCTGCCGAGGAGAAGCGACCTCAGATGTACCGAGAAAGCTATTCGCATCGCTGTTGCTGTAAACCGGAGGACCAGGAGACTGTTCCATTAAGCTTTTCGACCATTATCGCCGTCGGATCCTGCGTCTAACCGACAACAAGAGTAGAAAGTGACTATTGGAAGTGAACTCGGGCACCAAGGAACCATTACTAATCCAAAACAAGGACCACGTAACTGCAAATGGCACTACCCAAGCACCGCCTTTCTAGGAGATATTGTAACGAGAGAAGGTCTCTGTCGCCGGCCTCTTTGGCCTACAGGAGGTATTGAATAATGAGCTGACGACTGATGCGGAACGCATACCTTTGGTATTCGACGAAGCCATCGGCCCTATGTACGCATTGTGCGAGTTGACTGTATTGATGGTTGTTACTTGATGAGACTGTCTGTTGGAGGTCACCATATTGATGTTGTTTATGACATGATCCCCAGCAATGGTGGTGATATTGGCGTGCGCGGGTAGGAGATGAGCGAAATTACTGTTAGAAGGGATCGCATAACGGGAGGGCGATTCCGGGAAGAATGGGGGTAGCAGCATGGTGTTCCCGGGGGTAGCGGGACTAGTCGAATATGACGAGGGTGCCGACGAGTTCGTCTTCAGGGCGTTGATAGATGTATCAATCTTTTGTAGGTATTCATTTGTCATTCTTTGCGTTGACAATACTTCGTCTTGCTTCGCGTCAAGGCTCCGTTGCCCAGTGAGTAACGTATCTTGCGATGTCGTTATTTTCCGCACATTTTCTGCATTGGTTATTGCCGCACGAACCTATAGGCAGGGTCAACATCGCAACACGAAACCTGCTGCGTGGAAAAAGCCCACCATGAAAACATCTATTGCGACCTTCAAATCTGCACGATGCTGCTGCAGCTTAGTTGCGTCATCTCTGAATCCTATAATACGTTTGAAGAGATTTCGAGACTTCATCGTTTCCACTATTTCGCGGACTTTCAACAACATGCTGGGAGGGATCAATGACTATTAAGCCTTCGTATAAGTGATCTGAACGCACTTATTGAGCTCCCAGACTTGATCCATAGTATCGCCGTCGAGAGTAGGTGAACCAGTGGAATGAACCTTCGTCGCCACTGCTAATACAAGCCGAGCTACGCTTTCAGCTAAGCGTTGCCATTCCTCTTTGCTCTCCCTGATGGTCTAACATCACTGAGGCCTGGCGCTTTGTGGGTGGACTACGGATAACTTACTTGGACAATGTTCAGGAAGCCAAGGGATACCTCCGCGGCGTCCCGCATGTACGGCACTGCTACAACATTGCTCACATCTTTGACTAAGGTCAGGAGGGCCTCCGATGCGTCTAGGACACTACCCAGAGTACTTCTGCGTCCCAGAGAGTTGGGGTTGTTGTTGGTGGTGGGGCTCGACATGAAGTTGTAAATTTTGACAAGTGCTTATCAAATGTACAAACGCAGGATCAAATTCCGGTATCCGTGAGAGTGGGTCTAAGATGGGTTAGCCATATATTTAGTGAATGTAGAGCGGGCTGGGTGGCAGGCGAGGCTAAGAAGATGGTACGGTCAATACGGTCAGAAGGCTGGAGACGATTTTTCGGCGCTTATATATGACAAAAATAAATGTCGGCGAAGCCAGGCGCTTTGGTTCAGACGCTCCTATGTCAACAGGGGCAAGCATTTGCAAAATTTCGGACAATTCAACATGGTGCTCCAGTTTGGATACCCCTACCATTCCCAGCACGCAACAAGGGTTTTTTTGAATTATTGCTTAACCTCCAGAGTGGCATTGTCATATGTGGGAGGGTCAGAGGCTGTGCTACACAATTGCTCGGTTTCCCTTTTCGGCAATAAAGGTCATCAGTTCGAAAGCAACATTAGTTGTGGGGAAGGGACACACGATGTTCCATTCGGGATCCGAGCCGCTGGGGTTTGACAGGTATAGTGTTGGAAGGATGAGAGCGCGTAGGAGCAGGAAGGCCTCCGATAGGCTATTGAAGGTGTTAGCGTCGGTCGTTCGGCAGGGGAGTTATCGCAAGTGACTTCCGCCCAAGTGTTAACATGATATTGCAAAATAATGTTTAGGCCGTGAACACGCCCCGCGATAGAAACTGTGTCTCTGTGATGCAATCAGCTTCACCGTGAATTAAGGTGGGAAGGCTGAGACTACATACCGCACCGTTCGAAGCCTCGAAATTGTGCGTTTGTCAGGGTACTTTACCCACAGGGTCTTGTAGTGGGCATCCAAAGAAATCGCATACAATGACATGTTAACGGTGTATAGCGTCTCCCGGTCCTTTGATAAATAGGACACAACTTGAATCCAAATCTCCCAGGGAAGTGTTTGGGGCATGTTGAGAGGGCAGGCTACGGTGAATGGCTTCGACTTCGAGCCGGCCGTGACTGACGATGAGAAAGTAGTGACAGGAAGTGCGCACCGCTGCTACGACTGTTGCCGGGGATCTAGGATTGATTTGGCCATGTGCTCAATCACAAAAACTTGGCCTTCCAGTGAGCATTCGTCTTGAAATAGGGCCATTGATATCGTTGCTTTGCCATACATGGAGAGCTGTCGGATGCTATGGAATTGAGTGAAAGCTATAACACTAAAGCAGCCGTCAGAAGGATATGATGTCTAAGTATCGATGCAGCCCATCGCAGTTGGTCAGCATCGCCCCGATGACGCCGTCCGGGCGCACGACTACAATAACTGTACTGTCGCTGGGAATTTTATATGCTGCATACCCATTCCCCTGTCCATCCTTGACGACGAGATCAAACCCGACATCTAAGCTAGTTGTCGAATCTGATGGTAAGACTGCGACCGACTTAAAGAGGCCCGGCGGGTAAGCCTTGAGCAATTGTACAACTAGCGATGCTTGAGGGTCGCTCTCTTGTCCGGTAAAGACGAGGATAGTATGGCGAGTTGCATTGAATATGTCGAATAGCCGATCGCCGGTGAGTACGCCTCGACTGGGGATGAGCGACGAAGCATCGGGAGCACGATCGCCCGCCATCAATACACCACTTGGTCTTGAATCGTAGCAGTTGCTGGTGCTCGGTGGCCTGCCCTCAATCTCGTCCAGGACGAACGGAGTACCACGATAATTGACGCCAAGTTGGTCCAAGTGGCTGCCTCTCTTCCACGCTTGGTCGTCCAACCCGGCCTTGAACGTCTTGTCGTGGAGTGCTGAAGTGAGCTGAAGCATTTCAGCGATGACAGGAAGCCGCTCGGCGTTATAAGAGTCGAGCAAAGGGGGTCTTGCGAGGCCTTTAACGACGAGAGCAAGTTTCCAACCCAGATTGAACTACGGAAGATGAGCAAATGTCTACGTTCTCAGATTAACACTCACGGCGTCTTGGGCCCCCGAGTTTGATCCCTTCACGCTTGTCAGTACATGAAACTTACTTTATCCGGTTCAATACAACTGCGTACCTGACCACCGGCAGGGCTGTGAACGTGGGCCGCATCTGTGTGTACAATTAATTCGAAGGCTCAATACGCAGTGCTGCAGCGTACACACCTCCTGCTACAAACACTCTGTCTTTGCGGAACGAATCAACCATGCGTACGTTAGGACTAAATTTCGTATCTTAGTGGGCTCCGCTTCCCCATTGATGAAACCGGCTCACGTATACGGAGACAGCCATGTGGGCTTGTCGCAATCCAAGTTAGGCCGGCCGGACGTCCTCCTCAAATAACAAACAAGTTCTTCGTGGTCAGATAAGATGCTTTGACTCGCTTCGGGGCCGCCAATGAAAAGAAAGAAAAGACCCGGGGTCTCGACAACAGGGCGGAGAGCAAGGCTGTAGATTGATAAGCAACATTTGAGCTTTCTCTAAGGGAGTAAACCAAGGGATTGACGAACAATGACGAAGACATATCGCCCCAGATGCGCCAAAGGGGCTAATACGAGTAACAAATTAGCCAGGGTCGCAAAAGTACAGGTTGAAAGAGACGAACTTGGTCGTGAGTTAGAGAGCCGCGTAAATATACGTCACCAATGATCATTTGTTGAGCCTTTCGTGTCTCCCCCAGAAAGCTGAGCCCTAGTTGCTTGCGAGTCTGACTATGAGCACCATCAGTGCCGACTAGGTAGTCAAAGGTCGCCCGTTCTTCGGTCACTTCTTCGTCCCCACATCGCTTCAACACAGCAGAAACGTGTTCGGAGGACTGCTCGAAGGAAACCAGCTCAATGCCGCGTTCTACAACGCCCCCTAGTTTCAAAAGGTGGGCTGTAAGGATCTCAACTTGCTTCTCCTGGCCAAGCATCACTGCCCGGGTCTGAAAGGGCACAATTAGCATGGAACGTAGTCAGTAAACGGGATTTGTGTTCACCGTAGGGAAAGCGTCCGATGGTTCTGCCGCGTCGCTGAGCATGTCCATGGTCTTGATAGGAACATTGCCGCCTATCGGGTAGGCCGCCATCTGGGGAATCTGCGAGGAGGAGGACAGGATGTCCGACGCTGTGCCGAGGAAGTGATGCATTTCCAGGCTCCGAGGCTTTATAAGGTATGCCATCAGTAAGTTACACGTCCCTCAAGGTACAAGCACTTGCATGGATTCCCGCACCTCGCTGGCCAATCTTGCGAGCTGTATCCCTCTCGATGACTCGGGCGTGGACGCCATTCAAGGCTAAGGTGATAGCTAAAATTAGTCCTGTTGGGCCTGCACCGACCTAGATTCGACATGAGCCCGCATTACCACCACAACTGTTACGTCGCTTACAATGAGGACTGAGTGGTTCATCTGGAAGAAGCTGTAGTAGTTGAAGGAGGATGGTCATTTCATGAGCCCTATGTACTCTATATATACGAGATCGGAGGTGAAACAAGGGAGGAGTAGGAACTCAATCATGCATACCGAGTCGTTCAGAAGAATGAACCAGACTTGTGAGACAGTGGGCATGCCCGTATCCGAGATCGGTCGCGATCGTAATTTCAGTTGGTAAGGGCGCACTTCGACGTACGTTAGAGTGCCGGCGTATTGTCATCCGATTGAGTCAGATGCTCAGTGAGCTGAGGCAAGAACACACGATCCAGTATTGATGCGGTAGTATCGGATGCTAGATCGCGGGAAGCCCCACCGAGGGCGAGAGAGATATCTGCTCGATGCCAGATTTCCTCATCGCCCACTCGGTTGAGCGGCTGAGAGCCTATTTTAAGGTGCATCCGGACTTGAAACGGGTGTAGTGTGACTTTTTATAAGCCACTAAGTATGGAACTCGCAGAGAAGCCAGAAGGTTGCAGTGTTTGCGGGGTTGTCGGGCACTGGCGGGACGTAAGAAGCATCTGAGCGTGAGAAAAGGAATTGCTCTGGTGTAAGTGCTCATCGACTCGGGCGGTTACATACTACTAATGCGAGAGGAACCAGTATGCGTATGGCTTCGGCCGGCAGACTCTCGGCCGCCTATCTTTACGCGGTGCGAGCACGTTTGGCGGTGAGCAGAAGTCTGTATAGAATACTTCGACGCACTAGTAGAACACGACATGTGACACAGTGAGTTCAGAGTTCATTTATAGCCAGCACTTTAGCGTTTGAATCCGAGCGCAACAGTCAAGGCTTAATCAATCAGATCTAGCCAATCGAGCTCTCTGGAGGTTGGCCAAGAAGGCTGTCAATCTCCTGGGAATGGAGGCAAAGAGAAATTTGGGACTCACTCGGAGAGCCAAGTCACGGCCACGTGACAAATACAGAACGGGGTCAGCCAAACTTTGATTAAACGTCGAGAAGTTGCAACGTCCCTACACCTAACGACCATGACCAGGATCTTTGAAACACTCCTCAACAACGCACCTCGCCACAAAGTGGCCGCAACGACCAGTAGCGCCCGATCGGACGTAAGTATGGCCCATTCTCATCCCTTTCCCCCCTAAGATGAATGCAGTTCCCCTGGAAAGACGTGCAGCAGCGGCTGGCCACCCATTGCGCTGAAAGCACGAAGAAGTTTATGCGAAACAACCCACCACGCCACCGCCCTGTCTTCACTCCCCCGAATATCGCCTTAGACACGTTCATTGAACACCTCATCAGAGACTCGGGAGCGCCCCTATCTGCAGCGCTTGCAGCGCTCGCGACCCTCGGATGGATGCTCGAAGCCCACTCCTGTCCGGTGTCTTCGTCGTCACCACATCACCTCTTCCTCGCCGCGTACTACACTGTCGCTCAATCGCTCTACGACTGCCCCCACTCGGACAAAGAATGGGCGGCCCTCACAGGTAAGGCGATCTCGCATAAGCAAGTCGCCTTGATGCGATCCGAGATGGCGTGCGGGATGTCGAGGAGTGCGCTGGGGCGGTCCCATGCAGGGAGAAAGATCGGTTCCCCGGAGTGGGACCTTCTGAGGTGGTTCGTGCGGGAGGATATGTCGCGGTCGATAAAGCAGCTTTTCGAGGAAGAGCGAGTGCAAGTGCGAGATGACGTGTTTGAGGCGGCAAGAATGAAGGCCGTTGAACGTGAGATGGTGAAGAACGGACGCCTCGTGGCGTATGCATATGGTCCGGAGGACGAACGTGAGAGCGAGCTGGAACCAGCGGACGGGTTCATTGTGTACCGATGAGATCCACTAAGTATGCTGTATCAGCAGACAAATGACCGTCGGTATCGCGAACTACATAGCATAAAGAAACAAGACTAGAGATACAACCCTGCCTACTAAAACGTCAGAAAGTAAAAAATAAGTACAGACCTACTAACGTTGCTTATCCCTGATCTGTTTGACCAAAGAATCTAGCAACTCGATCACAAATGGCGTGTGCAAATGCACGTTGTTGAAGTTCTTCGTCATCAATGTTTCTGTCGAACAATCCAGTCAGTGAAACCCCCGGGTCGCACAGGAGCGCGCACTCTTGTTCTCCCGCCATTTATCGTGGATGGTGTCGTTCCAGATAACGTAGTGGGTGTGGTGCATCGCTTCCGCCAGCTGTATAGACGTCAAACGAGGCCATCAGAACCGCCAGCCAACGCACCAGTTGATAATCCCCTGTGGTCACAAAATATCAACGAGACGACGAGACGACAAAAGCCGACAACTCACGCATAAAACCGCCTGTATCATAGACTATCTGACGGTCAGTATCCGATCCTCGCATGAATCGTCCATACACACATTCCAGCACCGTCCCACCCGCTTTCATCCACATCTGGTGCGACAGCCCGTTCCCATGCACGCCCACCATAATCTGCCCGGTAGTCGTGTCAAGCACAGCGCAGCGGAGGAGAGCGGCGCTTACATCCGTCCGTGTGCCGATGTCGAATTGCTCTGCCTTGGAGAGGTGCTCCATCTGCACGGAGTTGATCTCGACGTCGTGGTCCTCGCCGAACTTGGCGAGCGCCGTGACAAAGGCGTCGTGGTCTTCTTGGACGAGTTTCCGCCCTGTGGCCTGCCTGCGAGGGGGTGAGGGCCGTCGATCCCCGCGAGGGGAGAGCAACCCACCGATCGATGTAGGTGATGACGGGTCTGCTCCGCGCATTTCCTTCGATGCCGATCCTTTGCATCAGCGAGTGTCGGAGAGGCGACCACCAGTCGAAAGGCGCTGGGGAGGCCATGATATCTACAAACGACCTTGATTCACGGCGCGAGCATAGAGGAACGGGCAAGCGCACCGGCGGTCATCTTGTTCCACACCTGTGCTTCACTCCCTGGGACTTGGTGTGCAGTCCATCGGTCGACAATGATGATCTCGGAAAATACATGCACCGAATTTGACTTGGCGCGGTCTAATCATCGTCTAGTTATTAGTGTGCGAGATAAGCGTCAACGCGGAGGTGAAATTCACCTTGCCATTGATAGATATCCTCCATGGCCGTGTTGGGGAGGACCGTGTTCAGGAACCATCTATGTATTTGAATCCCTGTATGTACGGCCGGCACGGTGAGACAGATACATACGTGTTAAGGTTGGCCCGGATGTCTCTCCAGTCGTCCCCTCGAGGCAGCATGAAGCGTGAGGGAGATACGGTGTCAGCAGTGGTATTCCCAGGATGTATATACCCGCCACGCACCAGCGAACGGGTTGGCTGCAAAGTGACTAGAAAATGTAAACAAGTTGTCAGTAAACTCGACACACTTGCAGGTACTATCGTAGCTAGATCATTGCAAGTGAATGGAATTGGGGGAATATGTGAAATACCTCGCTTTCCAAGTAGCGAAACTAGTGGCAAGAACTCGAGATACATGTGGAAAAGGACATGATTTAACCACATTGAATGGCGGTGCCGTTGCCGGTGGATGGCCGACAAATGTGCCTGTTATTTTTCGGTTGAAACAGGCAGGTGGCAGAGAATCCTTGAACTAACTTGTCTAACAGTGGGAAGAGACGTGAAGGGATACGGATGTTTGAGTTGACGACTTGCTAGCAACAGATTGTCGCGCAACGTACGTACAGAACATCCCATTGCACGATACAGGCTCTGGAACATATCATACAGTGTGAGCACCATGAGGTACTCACTGAAACCAGGTCGCTTCTTGATGATTTTAGTCTCATGCTAATTCCACGTTCTGGCGAGTTCCTGAACATGCAAACCAAATGCAAGTTCGCCTTCGGAGAGACTCGTCGTTGTTGTTTGCCGCCGGCTTCTTCTGATCAAGGTAGGCGCCTCCGCTAAAGCCAGCGGTCCCACACAGGCGTTCGAGGCTCGCATTTGCTATACGCACGGACGTCCCTCCACTGCGTAGAAGTGCCACGGCGGCCAGTATGAACACAGTCGCGAACGAGCAAATAATATCGAGTTGACTGGCGCAATTGAGGGCGGTGAGAAAAGGCGGACTTGTCCAAATAGGGAAAGCAGTAAACGAGCAGCACGTGATGCCGAGCAAGGTGGGCGGCGTTGTTCATGATTAAAACCGTGAATTCAGGCCAAAGTGGCATCTAAGCCACATAGCACGTCATTCACGGCCGACTCCCAACGTCATCGACTCAAACACTCGAAGCATCGATGCCATACACGACTACGTCAAACACTCTTAAGACTAGCTACGCACCGCCAACGCCACCTAGCTACCAACCCTTCATGCTCCCAAACCTCACACACAGATGGCCACGACTGTCCCACCAACACAACAACCCACGCGAAGCCATACCTCATGCAGGGCACTCACAGGGACAGATGGGAAAGACAATTCTGGCTAACCTCAACGCTCAACGTTCAGCTCCCCCTCCCGCGCATACAAACGACAGACGAGACTCACCAAAGCGCACCTGCAGCGGCACACAGAACGCCAGCGACCAACCACTGCACCAGGAACCATCCACTCACCTGCACCGCTACCAGCTCCCTCCTCCCTCCACACTGATACCTCCCCAACGCGCCCTTTGGTGCACTTCGCGGTCACAACCACCGATCACTCCTACCCATGCCTACACACCAAGACCCTGGCCACGCACGGCCTATTGTCTCCGCAGAGGTCAGCAGACGCCGAACGACCACCACAAACACCACAGTGAGACTCACCAACACGATGGACGTCGACGCATCTCCCATCCGGCCGCCCAAGGGTCCAGGCGCTACTCACCATGGGGAACGACGAGGGCGAGTCCCCGGAAACGTCAAGGCTAGGGAACCAAAGCGGATATAAGTTGGCGATCTATCTCGCGCTGCCAGGTTGACATCGGCACTCACCAAGCGAAACTGTGAGGAGACTGAAAGTTGAGTGTGGTCGTCGGCATCAACATCGGGCTCTTCAAGCTCGAACACTGCGACGATGGGAGCGGCGAACGGCGGAGCGTCGACAGCTGAAAAGGGGGAACGGTTGAGGGGGCGATGACGACGAGAGGACGACGAAGCCGCGAGGACGACAAAGGGGAGAAGGGAGGCAACAGCGGAGAAGGGAGGGAAAGCGAGAAAGGGAGGATCAGAGGTATGTGAACGTTCAACACCGAACTGCTGTTGCCATTTCGCAGTGCTGATGTCTGTTTTTATAGCTTTTGAGCCCTCAATACCGAATGGGGTTGGGCGCTCGCGAACGCACCTGGACTCTCCCAACTCCCGCCCAAACTCTCCCAAACTCCCAACTCACGCCAACCCTCGCAAACTCCCGAACCCGCGCACACGCACGCGAACTCCATCCTATCCCCATCGAAACGCCCGACTTTCCCAAACGCGCAAACCTCCAAATGCGCGAGGTCCTTCGAAATCGAAATCGAGATGGCAATCCCACGGCAATACTCCCGATACGCGTCGTGGTAACGCGTAACGGGGGAGCTCTGGTTGAACGTTGACGTTGACGCAAATGCGAATGCGAATGCGAATGCGGGCGTGGACGAGGACGAGGACGTGGAGAGACGAGTTGTTGGGAGGGTGGAGCGGCCACGGGATGCGATTGCGATTGCGATTTGCCATTAGGTGAAATTGGGGGCGGGAGGTGGGAGAGCGAAGAGCGAGGACGAAGAATGGGGAATGGGAATGGGAAGAGTGAGGGTGAAATGGGGTGGCTGTCACATCAGTCCAGATGCTGCGCTGGCGCGTACGGAAGAGATTCGGGGTCGCGACCGCGCAACCAGGACGGAAATGCGAAGGGCAAATGGCAAATGGGGATACGCCTACGCCTACGCCTACACGGGCGGCTTCGTTTACGGCGGTGCGAAGAAAGGAAGGGGGGGAGTGAAGGAGGAAGGGGATGTACGGAAGGGGTAAACGGTGAATCGTGAATCGTGAATGTTGAAAGTAGGCAGAAGATCGGGAGATGTGGCGATGCGGAGATCACGTATGTACGTGGGCATGTGGGTGTGTGGTAGGTCTACACGGTCATATGTATTATCGTTGATTAATTGATCTATTTCGGGGTTGTTTTTGGTTTACTTCCTGAATCCAGGCGCAGTCGTGAGTGATGCAAGCGCGGTTCCACGGCGGCGCGATTGTGTTTCGTTTGCAGAGTTCGCGCGTGGGAGGTGGTGGGTAACGTACTCGTGTGTGCGTGTTGGACGGGCAGACGAGACGAGACGAGGCGAGGCGAGGCGAAAGAGAACAAGGAGCGTCGCACCACGACCAGCGCAATTTGGGGGTGCTACCATCTACACAACAACTCGGTGTACGCATAATACGGCGCGACGGCAAGACTTTGCAATGCGAAGACGGCGAGGGAACCCATCATCAGGACACAAGTCCCTGATGGCAACGTTTCTGTCTCCGTTTGGGCGGCGAACTGCGGCTGGACGTTGAGCGGAGATGGCGTGCGTGCGTGAAAGGTTACGCCCTCGCCCTCGCCCTTTACCCTGCCCGAGTCGATTCTGGACGCACGCGAACGTTCGACGGACGGGTGGAGGAAATGGGTTACGCCGAAACGAAACGAAGCAAATTGGGATGCGGGTAACTTGTGAGTTTAGATATTCTGATATCCCGATCTTATCGTTCGCCGTTCTGTTCTTTGCATGCAAAGGCAGCGCGCCCGCAGCGAAGCGTTGATTGTGATGAGATCCTCGCGCTCATGTTCTAATTTGCAGGCTATGCGCAGCACTTCACACCAACATCTGGATCCCAGTCCTTCCACGTACGTTGAAACACATCGAACTCACCAAGCAAGAACTTGCGTAACGCCGCCCGAACGCGAATGTGGTTCCCCTCCCACATCAATTCCATGTATACGTACACGTACGCGCGACGGAGGCGGATGTTCCACGGGTGCCACACGCGATTGGGCGCAGTGGGTGCAGGGGACCGGGAGACGGGGTGGGTGTTACGGCAGGCGACGGACACGATTCGGGGAGTATGTACGTGTACGTTCTCCAGAGCGCGACCTCGCAACCGGGACGGAAACGCGAATGGGGATTCGGGTACGGCGTCGGCGGTAGCAATAGCTCAGCAAATGGGGATGGCGGAGGGAGGCGGTGGCGTGACCTTGGGGATGCACGTTGCACATGGAAGATCGTGTAGCGATTGTGTATGGATGTATGGATGTATGGAGGTAAATACGCTTTTGCAGTTATGTAGTGTTCTGATTGACGTTGATTTACTTCCTGGATCCAGAACGTCAGGGCGCGAAAGGTGGAGACGCTGTGAACGTACTTGCGCGTGCACGCATGCGTGTGCTTGACGGAGAGACGAGGCGAGACACGACGAGGCCCACGTCGAGAATACACGATACGATACGATACGATGCGGGACCAATCGACTGCGCTGCCGTATGGACAACAGATGCTGGTGCAATACGGCAACGATCTGCGTCGAAGCTTGCCCTGATTGTGCGCAGGTTCGGTTATCCATTCAGGAAGTTGCTCACGATTTGAGATGCAGGGACATTGTGTACATACGTGACGAACGAACGACGGAAACACCCCAGGGGAGTTCACGCGACAGATGGGCGATACGATAGCCAGGGGATGCGGCGGGCACATGTGCTACCCTCGGTGCTGATTAGAATCCCCGACGGGCAACTCAGAAGCACAAATTGGGCGGGATACAGGTATGCATCCACGTTGATTTCGCTGGGAAGAGCTCGTGTTCGAGAATTTCCAGCGCCCAGAATCTCTAACGAAACAGTCCGAATCGCGGGCAGGTACAAACAAGGATCTAGACATGTACGTTCACCTGGTTATTTCGCTGGGAACGCCCTGATGCTGACACCAGAACGATTAATTGATTTTCAGACATAGATCCATGGCAATGTAATGCCGAAGCCAGTGAATTACTGCGTGTCGACGCATCCGCTCGGCTATGTGGTTGTGCAGGGTCAGTGAACCATACACGATGGTAGGACTCGAGATTCGAACGGCAAGGGGCTTGCATATGGGCGGGAAGGAAACACTAAGAGAGCCTGTGGAGCAAATTGTCTGAGTCATGGCAAGAGAATGCGACCATGCCAGCCATCTCACGATACCACGATGGGAATGCAAACCAACTCCAAATACACTTGGAGGCTTCTGTGTGGCGATGGGATAATGCTGCTTATTTGTGCGTACTTGACGCCTCAGTATTGACCCGATGATGCACACCAACACACG